AACTCTTCACTTGTAGATTCTAAGTACACAATCGGAGTCCTGTTTATACCCTTTTGGTCACATAAATACTCTTATATAAGATTACTATGTCTATATAATTTGATTAAAGGAGAGAAAGAAAAATAAAATAAAATAAAATATATCAATAAATAGATAGTACTTAGGAAGATGATAGGTAAATTACTCTGTAATAGCGACAATGAATACGAGTGCTACATCATATGAATACTATAATATAGCCCTAGCCAATACATTGCATTCGTCTTTTTCTTTTGATACCTCACTTCAAAGTTCCCAAACTTAAGCGAGAACCCCTTCACGATAATCACAGTAAGATAACTCATTATAACTCATCATTTTTATTCTGATACTCTTTCGTTGATTGATGCGATCATTAACCGACACACATACATATATATGTACATCAAAAGATCATTCCCTATTCCTTGGTAAAGTAACTTCTTGACGCCTCATCTCATTGCATGCCATCCTCCTGCAGCCTCTACCTCGCCCCTGCCCTCTACCATCATCCCCAAAATACCACACGAACAAACATGACGCTAAGAAGTGCATGCAAAAAAATACCATGCCATGCCCTGCCCATCAACAAGTATGAGCAAAAGGCACAAGCACAATCAGCCAACGCCCCTTCCCAACGACAGAATCAAAACAAACTTGAGAGAAGAAGAATGAACGCCCGTGTAAATGCCAATATTTAGCCCAGGTCAAGCCATGTCAAGTAATACACCCCAAAGAAAGCAACATTACCCGCTCCATCATTCAGCTGCCCGGACAGGAAAGATACAATCGTGATTTGTTGGGTATTGTGGTATAAGCAAGAAGCAAGGAGCGAATTTTGTAAGGAAAGCTGTGATTTATAATGTGTCGTTATGATAACTTCGTTTTTGTTTTTCGCTTATCCCAATGATGGAACGCCGTCATGTTATTAGTTTTATTGGACAAGTTGTTGTGTAGTCGAAATTGAATTCATTGAATTCAGATCATTCGTTGAAGAGTGCGCGGAAAAAGGTGAATGTATCTTCATCTTACAAAAGGTCGAACAAGTTGACCCAACAAGGCGTCAAGTTCTTTCCAAATATCGGTCTTTTCCGCGAATTTACGATGCTTGCGTGAGAGGACATGCTTTTTCATAATTAGAACGACTCCTGTCACAATATGGAAAAGGAATTACCTCATCAAAGTCCTCAAATTTTTCGCCGCAATTCTCACAGTATCCGGGTTTTGCATCACGCTTTTCCTGCTTTCTTTGCTGGACAGCTTTAGCTTTGCGAGCAGTCTCAACTTTCCTAGCCGCATCCTCTTTCTCTATGTTGATATCGTCCTCTTCGATAACACCGAGTTTCTTTTGTGCCTCTCGCTTGGCAGGGCGAGCTGCTACGTTTTCTCGTACGGCGGCAGTGATATCGGTCATACGATGGGATGCATGGGATCCAGTACCACCACTCGTCTTCTCCAGAACTTTTCTTTGCAGGCCATGAATCTCTTTGCTTGCTCCAGCTTTGAGTCCAGGTTGAGCTGCCGTTGAAGAGATCATCTGAGAGCGAATAGCAGAAGTGATGTTCGATGGCTGGACTCCTGATGCAACTGGTTCACCGCCAAACAATCGGCCAACACCAGCACGGCTGACGAACGCGTTCTGACCTCGGGATGAAGACTCAAATTCCGTACGATGACATTGATTAGTATCGAACGGATTGGGTTGCTTCGTCGAGACAGTAGCGCTTCGATTTGCTCCGTCATCAAGCTGAGCTAATGCTCGTTTGCTGATGGCTTTCGGTGGCTGCATCTTGGCTGCTTCTACCGCAGTAGCAGCTCTTGTCCTCGGTATCGCAGCCCTTTCCTTCTCTTTTTGCCTCTGGACACGGATTAATTCCTTTTCTTTCTCTACTTCCCGACGACTGTACTCTACTTCCTCCACAAATGGACATTTGCCATTTGCAACACTGCGGAATTGAGGCCAATCTCCTTCTTCCTTATTAGCAACCTTTGTATACTCTCGAACCATGATCGGCTTCCGTTTTTCATCAATATCATGTATGTAGATATAAGGCCCTCGAAATATAGTCATCTCTTTCGTAGCAACACTGTGATCTCGATCAGATGGTCCATGAATCCGCTCGTTTCTCAGTAACTGGGAGAGGTCAGTATCTCGGCCTGCTCTACCTGTTGTGTTGCCCTGGACAGAATGACTCCTTGTGTTGTGACTGTGTGCTGTTTGGTAGCCAGTATCCGTGTCAAACATTGTGGTCATCATTCGCTGCAATTTCTCTAAGGCCCATATTTTCATCCCCAGCTCTCGTGCTTTGTGTAATACATCCGAGCTGCGGGCTTGCTGTCGTCTTGCGTCTCCGTCATGTCCTTGGGCACCAAGTCTTCTGGGAACAGGAGCTTCGAATGTAAACTTCGACCTAGAGTCTCTTGACTCTGTGGTCTCAGAGGATCTGTCTAGTAAAGAGGGATTGATAGTGCCGTATTGTGAATGTAATTCGGCGGTATTTGAAGAAGTATAGGGAGTTTCCGGTGGGATCGAACGAGTTGTGACAACATGGGTGACCTCATTAGAGAAGAATTTTTCGTCGCGCTGCGAACGTGTTAATATGATCCACAATACCCAATTGATTACATAGAATCAACACTTACTGCACCTAGAGCGAGGACCTGTTTGGTATATTTCAGCCGGGCATCCTCTGGTATACTCTCGAAGTAGAAAACAAATTTTGGAAAACTCTTCCTGTAGTGTTTTTGCCATTGACGTATCGATTCCAAATTCAAATTCTCCTCCGGTACTTTGTCTGCTTTGGTGATCTGCTGTTGTTGAGAACCTTTATCTCTAACTGCCACACACTTCCGCTCGAAATTGGATGGCTGGGTATTCGATTTCCGAGTGAACACCCTTCCTTCAGCCGATACTTGACTACCACTTTGACGTGGAGGTGTTCTCAAAGTTTGGTGCACATCTAGCATCTGCTTCTTCGCTGGGGGTGGTTGTCCATATGCATCTTCGCGTTGTATATTGGCATATGAACGTTTTTGCTTAGTGGTAGTCGAAGTTACCGCTCGGTAGGGGGAATTGGCAGCATTGGAGATGGTCGAGAGAGGTTGCCTCCTGCTCGACATGTTTGTTGACATTAAGGTGACAGATAGAGGTGATATTGATACTGTTGCCATATGAATATAGATCAATCCTCTGTAGGACAGAGAATTCCTGCGAAGGAGTGGGGTTTTAGCACGCGACTTTTTGACACGGTTTGTGACCTCTTCCCTGAGCTCTTTTTTTTATGAAGACATTAAAATATAGATATAATTCAAGAATCTGGGGAGGGAGAGAAAGGGAAGGGAGAATTGATAAGTGGAATGACAACACAAAAGTCGCTGAGACCACACAATCAATGAATGTGGGCTAGGATTACCGGTAAATGCTGGAGTGGGTGATTTTGGGCGGGAAGGTCTTTCTACGGAATAAGATGGATGGACCTGGCTTGGATGTTATGGTGGACAACACAGCTTCGGCGGGTGCGCTAAGAAACGCGAACCCGGAGTATTTTTCCACCCAGCAACTGTTCTTTAGATAAAGTTTAAACCAATCAAACTTCTACAATTTCTGCTTGATAATACATACATATTCCTATCGCAAAAAGACTCGAGCACTCAAATTAGTCAATTGTTGGCTATCATGAAGTGCAGACGAACACTACTCCAACAATTGGAAGGAACCAGTAGAGTACCGTTATGGTCGTCATCAACACCACTATCTTTAAGACCTCGGTGTCGAGCTCAAGTAGCGTCTGCAGCAACAAGTCGTCGTACAACATATCAACCAAAAAGAACATATGCTTCATTGTCAGCTTCTGAACTTCAATTTGGTCAACCTGTTCATGAAACCCATCCTCATTTATTGAATGCCGGAGAAGGTATGAAATGAGAATTCAATCGTATGATTACGATTGCACTAAAAAAGATATCAGTTACTCCAGGTATTACCGCCCAAGAATATGCGAATCGTCGAGCAGAGTTCGCGGCAAAGCTACCTCCAAATGGAATTGCTATCTTGAGAGGAGCAGATATAAAGTATCGATCTGGGGCTGTATTCTATGAATTTCATCAACAATCAAACTTCTTTTACCTCACCGGATTCAATGAGCCGGAGGCGATTGCAGTGATACAAAGACTGGAGTCCTCAGAATTCATATTTCACCTGTTCGTTAGACCTAAAGATGCACAGGCAGAACTTTGGGATGGTGCTAGATCAGGAGAACAAGCAGCTTTGGATGTTTTCAACGCGGATGAAGTATGGCTGCTTTCTTCAAATAGTCACAACAATAAAGCTAATACTAACATAGTCGGGAGATATCAATCAAGCACACGTTCTTCTAAAGCCACTCATTGAAGGAGCTAGTGAAGTTTTTATGGATATCCATGAGTCCGCCACAAAGCAAGTTGACTTTAAGAAATTATTACACAGGGCTAAAAACCCGACACTACTTGAGCCATTGATGAACGAATTGAGGGCCATCAAGAGTAAAGGAGAAATCGAAAATATGCGGAAGGCAGGCAAAATCTCTGGGAGGTCCTTTACAAATGCTATGCGGCGACAATGGACCGAAGAGAAACATCTTGGTGCCTTCCTGGAGTATGATTTCAAGATAGGAGGTTGTGAGAAGAGTGCTTATGTCCCAGTCATTGGAGGTGGAAAAAACGCTCAGAGCATACATTACGTTTCCAACAACGATATTCTACGAGATGGCGAGCTTGTCCTCGTAGATGGCGGTGGACAATACGGCGGATACATTGCGGATATCACTCGAACATGGCCTATTAATGGCAAATTCTCGGATGCCCAGAAGGATCTTTACGAAGCAATTTTAAGAGTACAACGAACCAGCATCGCTTTATGCAGAGAGAGCGCGAATATGACGCTGGACAAACTACACACCGTTACCAGAAATGGTCTCACTGACCAATTGAAACAATTGGGATTCGATATGTCTGGAAATGCCATCGATACTCTGTTTCCTCACCACGTCGGTCATTACATTGGACTTGATGTTCACGATGTTCCAGGCTATTCTCGAAGCAAACCTCTCAAGGAAGGACATTGCATTACGATTGAGCCGGGAATTTATGTACCAAACGATGAGCGTTGGCCAGCACATTTCAGGGGAATGGGTATTAGGATTGAGGATAGTGTTTGCGTGCAGGATGATACGCCACTAGTTTTGACTACCGAGGCAGTAAAGGAGGTTGTAGATATCGAAGCTTTACGCGATTGAAGCAGGAAGATGAATGGTAAGATAATAATGTATACCACTCCGTACCAAAAAGTATAAATACAATATGAATATTACCCAGATCAATCAGAGAATGAATAACCCGGGCAATTTTCAGTAATTTTAACCAGGAAGCTGTGCCATATCTTTTCTTTCTATAAGCTCAATTCGAAATCAGAATGAATCGAGAGCAGCAGAAAAAAACCAATTGCTCCCAGTAAGATCTACAGTAGTGTCAACGGTGAGCTTCTTCTGGTGAGCTTCAAAATCTTAATTAAGGGTCCAATGTTGATCATTGATCGTCGAACGTTGAATTTGCCCCACTTAATCAATGGCGGCCGCAACCCCGCATCAAAATCCCGCGTTTCTTGATTGGGGCTCAGCCTTGTCTTGTTTCCATCACTCAACGGTCAACCACACATCGCACTACTCGAGTACATCTATTGTGTATATCGAAAGTTCGAAAGTTCGAAAGTAAATTGCGCTTACGAATGATTTACCTACGAATATAAATTCAAATCTTCCTTGAACCTTTTCAAAGCACACCGCACCAGACGGTCCAGACCACACCACACAAACACAATGACCACCCCAAACACGCCCTCTCCCTCCCTCCCAACCTCCCCTTTCCCCGCCTCCGCCTCCGCCCCCGCCCCAACAACCAGCAGCAGCCACAAACCCCCCTCCATACCAACCCGCATCCCGGACCTCCTCCCCTCCACTCCCCCCCTCCCCCTAACCATGACCTCCTCCCTCCTGCTCACCCATCTCCCGCACGACTCCTCCTCCGCCCTCGACCACGCATTTGTCTTCCCCACTGCAAAAATCACCGTTCGATTTCAACCAATTGGGTCTGCGCCCGTACTGCAACGGCCCGTTTCGAAAATTAGTTCGAGTCAGAGGTTTGAGACTGTGGTTGCTTATTTGAGGAGGGTGTTGAAGTTGGATCGGGGTGCTGCGGCGGGCGAGAGTGTGTTTCTGTATGTTAATAGTTGTTTTGCGCCGAGTTTGGATGAGGTGGTGGGGAATTTACATATGGTGAGTTGTTCGATGGGATGGGTGATAGGGGATTTTGGATGCCATGTAAGGAGTGGGGGATGAGAGGTGTTGATGTTAATTCGTGCGGTAGTGTTTCAAGGATTCCAAGGACCAGCTTATCGTTACCTACTCGATGACACCTGCATTTGGATGACCGAATGAAGGATATAATCCGCATATTCAATTGCTCTACAAGACATGTTTGAGTTGGTATCATGAAAAATCATATTGCTATTGTGCATCTGTGCATCTAAAAGCTGGGCAAATATTGGGAATCTAAAAGCTGGACAAGTACGCCTGCAATCTAAGAACATCGCTAATTCGGCTGCAACACTTCACTCCATCTTACCAACCGCATTTCGGAATTCCTCGAGCTCCTTTTCAGAAATCGGATATGTGTGTTCGGGTGCCGGGTATGCTCGAGACTTCGTTTCATCGCGGTATTCCGTAATGGCTTTCAAGCTCTCGCTCCAAACATCACCGTACTTCTTCACGAATTTTGGGAGAAATCGACCAGGTGGGAAATTGCCCGTCATATCGACCTGCACCAGAACTTGTCCCGAGCAACCATTTCCTGCACCGATACCGATTGTAGGGATTGATAACTTTTCAGTTATGAGCGATGCGACTTCTTGAGGAACAGCTTCGATGACCATTGCGAAAGCACCAGCTTCCTGGACTGCGAGCGCATCTTCAAGAACTTTCATTGCGCCGGCACAAGTTTTACCTTGCACGCGGAAACCACCGAGGGAATTTTGACGTTGGGGTGTGAGGCCTATATGGCCAAGGACTGGAATGCCTGCAGTCGTAATTTTCTTGATGGTGGGAGCCATTTCTATACCCCCTTCTAATTTTATACCTTGCATTCGACCTTCCTTGATGAAGCGGAAAGCGGACTCGAGAGCTTGTTCGGGAGCTATTTCATAGGAGCCCATAGGAAGATCTCCAACCTGATGGATCGTTTAGTTAGTAAAGGAGATAGGTGGGTGGAAAGGATATGGGGGTTTGTACATACAGTGAAAGCAGCTTTTGCAGCACGAGATACAGAACGACAATGCATCAACATCTCCTCCATGATAACCTCACTCGTATCCTCCATGCCCAGAGCTACCATAGCCAAACTATCTCCCACCAAAACTATATCCATGCCCGCAACATCCGCGACATGTCCGCTTGGGAAGTCGTGAGCCGTCAATACAGCAATAGGTTCCCTTTTCTTATACATAGACGTCAATGTAGTCATGGTGACCTTCTTCCTCGTACTCGGCGTGCCCATAGGGCTATGCGAACTTTTCCTCGTCTGACATTGTGCAAGAAATGGTCTGGCAGCAAAAGAGGCTGGTCGTGAATATCGCATCAATAGTGCCCTGGTGCTCATCTTCATGATGGAAAATGATGAAGAGGTGGTTGGAATTGATGGATTAATTTTCTTTCACATGGGATTTGATGATGATGATGAGAAAAGTTTGAAGATGGATTGAGATGAGATAGAGAGAGAGCCATGGTGGGAATTGTAATTGTAAAGGCTCAAATTGGCTTTTGTTGAGGCCGTGATCATGTTTGCGCTGTGGTTTCCATACTGGCTGGTTGGAATGGATGGATGGATGGAGCGCAGAGTGAGATTATGAGATTATTCATTATTTGCGGTTTGTTTTTGTCGCTTGCGTGGTTTGGGCCGAAGGGGATGGGATGGGTGGGATTATGTAAGGGGGTATGTAAGGTTATGTACCGAGGCAGTTGGATAGGGCTATGAGTCGGCATAGATAGGATGAGTTTCTTAAAAGTACTAAATGTTCTTTCGAAACATCAATAACCATGAGGATACAAGTCCATATAACCTGGTAGATTTACTTCCAAATAGTTTTGTACTTGGCATCAAACATCAGAAACGTCTTATATTTCCATATTTCCCCGCTCGTTCCTACTCTAGATATCTGAAGTAGTAGAACCAGTACCTAGTAAGTATTCAGATCATGCAATGTACAAGTCGTCTTGATCTTGTGCCGTGTACCTGAAAATCATCTTCTATCGTCCATCCGTCCATCGTCCATTGTCCATTGTCTAACGTTTCATTCAACCATTCAGTCACGAATGGAGGCGTTTGATGTTATATCCGGACAAAGACAATAAGATTCATAAATTCATAACTTTCGTTACCGATTGAATAATAATCTCACGAGACCGGTAAAGTGCCACCACATTCGGCAACTACCGATTCCGCTTTATCGCCCAGATAAGGACCGACCCGACCCTTGGTGTTGTAGACCAGCAACTTACAATACTGTAACTCAGTACAACGAAAACAAGAACAAGAACAAGAACAAGAACAAATCTCTCATATAAAACTCATAACATTACCGTCACCATTACCTGATCTCCTACTTTACAGCTTCCATATTTAACATATATTTTAAACCCATTACCTGCTTTACCAATATTCAAATCCCAAAAGAAAGAAAGTCAAGATGTCTAGTCCTAGACGTAGGATTGAGACTGATGTGAGTGATATTTTACTGGCAATGCACATGGATGAGGAGGGCTAATATCTGGTTTGTGATGAATAGGTCATGAAGTAAGTACTACCTTCTTGGATGCTTGTAGGTGAGGATATTTGGCTAACAATATGACAATAGGATGTATGCGATACCTTTTCAAATCCCGTCCGATCGATCTTATGCTTCAGTGCTTACCAGGAGTATAGGTTGATGTCGGATTATGAGGTGACACTTGTGAATGACAATAGTGAGTTGTAAAAGTCTCTACATAACCTGCAATCTTTCTAATTTTATCCCTCCAGTGTATGTACTCTGCTGAAGAGAACCATCGAAGCTTTCACTCATATATTGTAATAGGCAAGAGTTCTACGTCCGTTTCAAGGGACCAGAAGAGAGTTAGTTTATCTTAGTTTACCCCTCACTTCATACCCATTCGCACAACTAACCACTACCAATTACAGCACCATTCGAAGGCGGCCTTTGGAAAATCCATGTCGAACTACCGGACCAATACCCTTACAAGTCCCCCAGCATCGGCTTTGTGAACCGCATCTTTCACCCCAATATCGACGAGTTGTAGGCCCTTCCTTACTCCACCTGATTGGTGGAGCAGAATAGCTGCTAATATCTGCAACGTATAGGTCCGGATCCGTCTGTCTCGATGTCATAAACCAAACGTGGTCGCCTATGTTCGACATGATAAACATCTTTGAGGTTTTTCTTCCGCAGCTACTCAGATATCCAAATCCGACGGATCCACTGAATGGAGAGGCGGCTGCGCTACTCATGAGGGATTCGAAAGCTTATGATTCGAAGGTGAAAGGTGTGTTTCTTCTGGGAACCATATGGAGAGGCTATGGAAAAACATGGGAGCTGATGGTAGGATAGAATATGTTACGAAATATGCGAGTAAAGATGCGGCAGACGATGCGGGCGTTGATGAATCAGACGACGATTCAATGTCTTCGGTAGCGAGTTTCGACGACGATGATAATGAAGAAGCTGCGGGTACAATGGAGGAAATCTAACTCACACCTCAACCCTTCGCAAGCAATTCCGTCCTAGTTGGTCTCGCTTGCAGATACAAAATGGATGTTGGATGATGGATATTTTATAAAGGCATACGCATTCTACGCATATTTTCACAGGTGTTCACATGGCATGGTTATGGATAATCCTTCAATGGATGTTGACTCTGAGAGTGATTTAAGGTTTAGGAGTATTATTGCAAGTATGCTGGGCGGGGTCTGCACTCACATTTTTTCTCTTCTTCTTTTTCTTTTCATGAGTTGCAACTCGGTCCGCAATGGATATGGATATGGTTGGCTTGTTTTACCTTTGGGTTTAGCCTTTACGATTGAGGGATGCATGGATCAGCGCGTGTAAGGAAGGGCTCTTGATGTTTTCAAAGTGCTTCAGTGCTTGAAGCGAGGTTGATCGGTGACTATGATGGACGTGGACGTGGACGTGAAGATGGCGAATTTCCCAGCGAGCTGGCTGACTAGTTAGTTAGCAAGCCGATATATCTAGGAATTTGAATACAACAAGTTAATAGTGTATGAAGATTGAATTTGGTATGTGAGGATGTGAATGTGTTGTATTATGGATGTATTTGATGTGTGATATTTTAAGTGATTGAAGGTAAGTATTGGGTATTAAGTATTGAGAAGATGGATAGGCAATTGGGAAATGGGTATGTGATACTGAGAATTTGGAATTGGGTGTAGGGTATTGGGTATTGAAGAAAGAAGAAGGGAAAGGAAAGGTAATAGGGAAAGAGAGGAAGGAGGTGAAAAGAGAAATAGAGGGGAAATGAGCATATATCTATATATCTACCTATACTCGAGTATAAGAAAAAAAGGTTATGTTAGATGCTAAGGAGTAGGGAGGTAAGGATGTAATGAGGTATTTGGATGAGGATGAGGATGAGGATGAGGATGGGAATGGAAATGGGGATGAGGATAGCAGAGGATGTAGATGTAGATGTAGAAGATGGGAAAATCGGGAGTTTGAGGTGGTGGTGGTGGTGAGGTGGTGAGGTGATGAGGTGATGAGGTGGTGGTGGTGATGAGGTGGTGAGGTGATGAAGTGAAGTGATGAGGCATTACGTGTTTCCTTACTCTATATTCATATAATATTATAAAATACAAATACTTCAATTATTGGATTTTTACTTCCATTTCCATTTCCATTTCCGCTTCTGCATCTACTCGTACTTCCGCTTTTACTTCTTCTTCCATTTCTTCCACTTTCACTTATACATCTACTTCTACATCTACTACAAGTAATATGATGTGAGATAACATATTGAATGAACAATAGCGAGAAGAGGGAAACTAAACTCGTAGTAAAAAAAGATTGAAAGGTAGGTAGATAACCTTACCTACCTAGCTCCAGTCGTTAGGACAGGACAGATGGAAATATTTCAATAACAGCACTGGGCCTCCATGATCCTACTGATCTCCAACCACATCCCAAGGTACCGGTAGTCAGGTCGCAAACCCACCTCCAGAGGAATTCGCGGCCGCACATAACCTCAAAATGACCTATCCTATCCAATCCCAACTCCAGAATTCACTGCGTATCCACATTTAAGTTCCACCACCCACAAGCGAAGGACCCGACGACGAGTCCGAAGCCAGAACAACCACCACCCACCCAAAAAAATTCCACAAGCTCTACCACCATCCAAAACGAAGATTAAAAATGGCGAAAATTCAATCGCAAGGATAAAGCTTATAACGTTAGAGAATCTAAACCAGACGAACTGAGTTCTGCCAACATGAGGGTCTTGTGGCCGCCAACTTCGTGCTTTACCACTGAGGCAACTGGATGCAACACATGCTGTGATGCGAGATGTCGCTTTACTTTTGTATATGTAGGTAGGGCGGTGAGAGGGTAGTGAATCTCATTATCATGCGATCATTGATTGCATCTTTTGTATACCTCATCTCGGAGTCGCACTGTGGTATTTAATTGGATTAATGAGGGTTCTTGAGGGTATGGGACTTTTTATCGGTAAGCCAGATATCATTATTTCAACCTTCTTGTATCAAGGACGATACTGGTACGAGATTGGTTGGAGATGGATGGCGTGAATTGCGAAAGGTCAAGTGCGGTTGGATGCGAGTTTGATGATGAGTGTATGGAAAAGGATCTCGTGCTTGAAGAAAGTCAATATTTAATGCAATGCTTGATGGAGTGAATTAATAATGCCAAGAGTAACAGATGTGTCGTTGGTAAGCGTCAAGGTCATTTCAAGCTTGTGATTGTCAATTGAAGCTGGCAAGACTTCGATCTGTCTTGGCTCTGGATAGTTCATGCAGTTGAGGTACGATGACTGAAGTTTGAATCACTCAGTGAGAAGTGGGCTGAGTTCATGAAACTCATGTTGATGCCGCCGTTTGCAAGAGTGCCCGGTGGTTTTGAAGCATGTTGGGAGAGTAGAATCCAAGGGAGGACATCGCCTCGAGCTGAAGAGATAACCAAAGTTGGTGAAGAGAACAACGGAGAATGACGGCTTGACTAATATTTGGACCCCCCTAGCCACACAATACGTGGCCGGGAAATATAAATAGTGGACTAGCGAGCTAGCCACCCCGCGAAATTGTCTTGGCTTTCTTTCTTGTCAGGGGTTGAATCCACAATCTGTGGTCATGCGTCTTTCGGCGTGCCGCCAAGGTGTCAGCCCTGTCCAGAGAGAGAAGCAATTCCCAGCAGTCGTGCCCAATCTTTAATCCCTTCTAGAGCGCTCTTTTTGTCCCAGATGTCGACTTAATCGATATTCTCAAAAGTGATTCTGAAATTGGAAATGCTTCCGGCTTATTTTCGTCCAAATTATGCAACTCGCTGGGTTTGTCGATGTGCGTCGAATCTAAAAGAAATCCTCGGGATATTGGTATCTTTTGAGACCGCAAAAGGCAGCTATTCAATTGTTTTCTCTGTGTCGACATTGCTCATTGGTGATGAATCATCAAAGTGGATCTTGGCATCGGAGGACACAATTTATCCATAGCCTCACGCTTCAATCCATGAGGCAACCAAAACAAGAAGGCGACAACATGATCCCTCATTCTTCAACATGTGAGGCCGGCCTATCCCATTTTTGAAATGAAGTCTTTGCTATTAAGAAGGTGGGAAAGATTGGAAAAGCTTGATCGATCAACTTGTTCTCAGCTCCAACAGTAATATATCAATCATCAATCCGTCAATAAAAGGCTGTACAACCAAAACACTCGTCATGATCATCCGCTCGAGCCGCTATTGCACGGCATATTAAAATCGACAAGCACTTGCTCCTCGATTTCACGATAACCCTTCTATTGATAGCTTTGACCTCTCATAGAGCTAAGAGCTTCCACCACTCGGAGCATAGGAAATTGACTAATTCCCTCATTTTACAAAGTCTGACCATGGTGGTAAGTGTATTGCAAGATGAGCCATTTTTACAAACGGCAGCTTGCTTGAGAGTTGTTGGAAAAGATAGGGATTTAAAGGATTCGCGAAGAGATAGATTGAACCTTGTGATAAAAGTACCTAGGTAGTAAGTAAGCTACTCCGCCCCCTTTTCGTGTTAATGACATGGTTATAGTTGCTTGCTTGTGATATTGATGAAGGAGAAAAACGCTTCGCTATCGGAAAGTCACGTGAAGTAAAGTAAGTACAGTAACCTCGGATAAGACTTTTTCCACCAAACGGATTGAGTAGCGGCCAAGTCCACATAAATAATCGTCTTAGAACAGCAACTGTTTTCATTTCCAAATTCCTGTTTTCATATGATCCAATTTAATCCATCTGTTAACAACCGGATATAGATACATTAGAACTATTAAAAGGTCTCAAATTTGTCAATGGATACAATTGGGTACTAATTTGCTACCTGGAGTCAAGGATAATTTCCGGACCAAGGGACTTATCCGAAGTTTAGGGGGTGTTCTAAAGGCATTAGAGAGTTGAGTTTCTAAGGAAGACATAACAGTTAAAGTGCCGAATCAGTTTGCGGGGAACTTCGGAGCATATGAAATTGATATTGTTTGTATCTTATTATATTACAAGGTTCAAAGATGGGGCACTGGGGTAAAAGATGGGAAATACAAAAAAACTACTTTAGATTCATTGAAGATATACTTGACTACTCGATTACTCACATTACTAGTATATAAATATGAATTATCAAGAATGTACTGGCCATTTCTACTAAAGTACTACTGAATAAATTAGATAAGGTCGTGTGAGCAATCACTGATTTTGAAGACGGTTAATAAACAACTTCGGTTGAATGTAAAATATGATAATTCAATACGGGTTAACAACTATGAAATTCACCAAATTCTAATGATATTCTCATCCTCATAAAGATTTGTGTTTTTTTAATTTGTTATTTCCATTTTCCCCTGCTTTGTGTTTGCATATGCTATTCTATTGCAGATCCACCGGTATCGTATCGTAAACTTTGATAACCACCGCTTGACGATCTGATATGATATCGTCCAGCCTCGGGCACAGATATGCAGGTCAACTTACTCCTAATTGTTTTATTATTACTCTATTCTTGTTCAACACTGAAACCTTTTACATTCCGTAGTATTCCGGTACGCCCGAAATAAGAATTATTCCTTTCCGGCATCACCCATTCCGGCCAATAAAATTAGCGCATATCGTTATACGCCGTCTTCACTACTCCACTACTACTACAGCTTCAACCAAACTCGGCATAATCAAAGATACAATACCCGAATAATGTCGTCTACCAATTTGAATAAGAAGGCTTTCGATCCCATTCAAAGGACTGCTTCTCCATATCCTGATAAAAACAACGTTAGCCCTTCTCATCTTCTTGCACAACATCAACCTACCAGCAACTATCATTCTTCATCACTTTCCACTCTCAAAATGGTTTCTACACAATCCAGTGTCAATCGCACATGTCAGTATAACTCTTCCTCAATACTTCCTTCCACTGCTTCATATCTGCTGCATTCAACTTGGAATCTCATGTTCAGTTCAAACCTGCCGTTCCTTCCACTTTGGCTTCAACTCCATTTCCGTTCCTCATCTTCCAATACAACAACCTAGTTTCATCATAGCTTCTATATAGCTTCATTTTGCTAACATCTATCTTTCAGCTTTGCATCCTAGCGGTGTACAACCACAAGTTGAGCACACTGAGCTTGAGGAGGAACTTCACGAAAAGGCACACATCGACTATAATCGTGTAGCTATTGTATGTATTCCACAGGTCTTTACAAATTTGCAGCTTCTAATGTCTATTCTCTGCTAGGTTCCTAACCCAAGTGTCGCTGCTCTTTACGAAGATGCTCTTGTCTACGAAACTGGTTCTGCCATCACATCTACCGGTGCCCTTACTGCATACTCTGGAGCTAAGACGGGTCGCTCACCTTTAGACAAGAGAATTGTTAAAGAACCATCATCTGAAAATGATATTTGGTGGGGGCCGGTCAATAAACCGATGACACCTGATGTAAGAAGATTCTCTATTTATTTGCTATCGTATCGTTTCTTGTGTCGTTTTCTATGGCATTACATACAATCCGTTTTCAGCGGAGGAAATCTACATTGGCTCTACAACTGTTCTATGAATTTCGAAAGCAGCATTTTCGTTTTCTCAATACTTTTGAGCATATCTTCACATCGACGACTCATCAAATATCAACTCTCAATTCCTATTCCTTTCCTTTTCATCAATAAAACAACCAAACTCTGCACTGCACTGCAGTATTTCCCCGCACATTTCTACGTCATAAGCTCTTGGATATCCTCGGCTCTGGATTTGTTCCCTCCATGCCAAGTTGCCAAGCGAAATGCGGGGTGCATAAAACCGATAATATCCCGGTAGCGCTACTACCTACTATCTGCTTCCCCTTTTTGAGAGTCGCGTGCGAGCGTTAATTTAGATATCTTTAATGTCTGGAGAGTAAAATCAGCTAACATCAATACTAGGTATGGAGAATCAACCGGGAACGTGCAATTGATTATCTGAACACAAGAAATCGTATCTATGTTGTCGACGGTTTCGCAGGATGGGACGAGAAATACAGAATCAAGGTCCGGGTCGTATGCGCTCGTGCCTACCACGCCCTTTTCATGCGCAATATGCTCATCAGACCTGATCGTAAAGATCTCGAACATTTCCACCCAGATTATACTATTTACAATGCAGGATCTTTCCCCGCCAATAGATATACTGAGGGTATGACTTCAGGTACTTCAGTTGCCATAAACTTTGCCGAAAAGGAGATGGTTATCTTAGGTACCGAATATGCCGGAGAAATGAAAAAAGGAGTTTTCACCGTTCTTTTCTACGAGATGCCTGTTAAGCACAACGTTCTTACTCTTCACTCGTCAGCTAACGAGGGCAAAGACGGAGACGTCACCGTCTTCTTTGGTCTTTCGGGTACCGGTAAAACAACACTTTCAGCAGATCCAAATCGTGCCTTGATTGGTGACGATGAGCACTGTTGGAGTGACCGTGGGGTTTTCAACATCGAGGGTGGTGTAAGTGTTTCAATCCCTGTATTACTTTACAGCATACTAATAATCTTCAGTGCTACGCCAAGTGCATCGGTCTTTCAGCAGAGAAGGAACCTGATATTTTCGGTGCTATCCAATTTGGCTCTGTTCTTGAGAACGTTGTATTTGACCCAACTACTCGTCTTGTTGATTATGATGACACAACATTGACCGAGAACACCCGCTGGTACGTTTATAGAGAACATACGCCAACCCCCTGAAACTTAGCTAACGGTCTTAGTGCCTATCCCATCGAGTACATTTCCAACGCCAAAATTCCGTGTCTCTCGACAAACCACCCAAGTAACATCATTCTCCTTACATGTGATGCTCGTGGTGTCCTCCCACCTATTTCCAAGCTCAATTCCGCCCAAACCATGTTCCACTTTATCTCCGGTTACACCTCGAAGATGGCTGGTACCGAAGATGGTATCACAGAACCACAAGCTACTTTCTCATCGTGCTTCGCTCAACCCTTCTTGGCTCTGCACCCAATGCGTTACGCTAAGATGTTGGCTGAGAAGATTGAGCAGCACAAAGCTAATGCTTGGCTGTTGAACACTGGATGGGTCGGAGCTGGTGCTACCACTGGTGGCAAGCGATGCCCGTAAGTACAACTAAGATCTTTCGAAATAGCAGATGCTAACATGTGATAGATTGAAATATACTCGTGCTATTCTAGATGCTATCCACTCTGGAGAACTTGCAAATGTTGAGTATGAAAACTACGATACATTCAACCTTCAAGTACCAAAATCTTGCAACAATGTTCCATCGGAATTGTTGAACCCAAGAAATGCATGGAGCCAAGGAGATGACAGTTTCAAGGCAGAGGTAACCAAACTTGGTGGTCTCTTTGTTGAAAATTTCAAGAAATACCAGTCAGAAGCTACTGATGATGTTATCGCGGCAGGACCAGCCGTTAAGGTCTAGGGGCTGTAAAGTTAGGCATTTGATTTTGGGTCAAGCAAACATATGGCGTTTTTATTAATGGGCTGCATCGGATGTATCTTTAAGCATCGAAATTGAGTTTAAGAATGAACAAAATTTACAATTATATTTGATGAGCATTGAATTGCACGTGAGTGGTTGTTGGGGATTGTTTTGGGTCCATTAAAAGTTAAGATGATTTCTAGTAATGATTTTAAATATACAAATCCTCACTGGAAAATGACAAAATGAAGCATAACATTACGATTGCTGCACAGTAGAATAGTTGGATTGTTTGCTTAGTATTTGTGATAATGAAGAATTGTATAGATACCGGTACTATGTAGCTAGCACCAATATTTATATCGATTGCTCCGTGAAATCTTCAAGTACTACCTATCTATCAAATGATTGGTATATCAATTATTGTAATTTATAACCAAATCTCCTTTACCATATCCATATACATACCGGTAACTCGAGTACCCAATACTTACCCATTACCTACCCAGTCTAACAACCCGGCTCACAACTCGCACTCGCAACTCGCACCAACACATCAAACTTTCCTGCACCTCAATCCATAAAAAGCAAACAATCACATCTCACGAATTTCGGCCCTGCATCAATCACATATACACTAAAACAAAACGATACTAATTACAATGCCCGCTCCAGCTCCTTTAGATAACCTCTCTCAATCACAATTGCAATCGCAGACCCAAGTACCGCCCAATTTGACATCTCATCATCGATCCACGTCTTCGGTCACCAGCCACCAAACCGACAGCCCGGCGGGTACACCTCCAGCTCCAGGTACGACGGCTACACAGCATAAAGAACATAAAGCGAAAGGCGAGCGAAAACACGTAGTCGGTGGCGGCAAATACGGACGCGTGAGCAGTAATAAGGCGCTGCATAAATTATCCCGCCAAACGACTACTCACCACAACAATACCAGTAATCATACCCATCACACAAGCAACGACAATCTCAAGGAATTCCAAGCTCCTTGGGATAAACCACATAATTCTAGCACGAATCTCAATCGTCAGAAGAATTATTCGCAGACGGCTTTGAAACGTAATCGGAGCTCGGCAGATGTACGGCAGAGTGTCGAACCGACGAGAAGACCTAAGAGTTCGGATGGTTCGCAAAGTACGCCCGGCAAAAAGAGACCCAGTGGTGTGCATTTTGAACTGGGTATAGGTACGCCAGGAAAAGCAGAGCCTGAAGAGGATACCGAAGAGGGCTGGGAAGAAGCGAGTTCGACTGCAAGTCCGGCTGTAAGTCGCAGTGCTAATACATCTGCCAAACAATCTGCTGCCAATTCCGCCGTCAGTTCTCGACATCATTCTCCTCTTTTGTCGCCCAAATTGAAAAGACCTACTGCTGGAGATTCAGTAAGGGATTTTGCAAAGGAAAGCACGGTGGGCAATCTGGACGGGAATGGTAGTTTGAAAACGAATACTGCGACAAATAGAAATAGTAGTTCTAGTGTGGATGCAAAGATTATCACGGAGAAGTTACTTCAGAGAACTCCTCATCCTTTTTCGGAGACCAAAATGAGTATGGCGACTGCAAAACTGATGCCGAAGGTGGCTCATATACCTTCTAGTAATGTAGATCAAGCGACGGGAATGGTAAAAAGTATGGGTGCTAGTACTGCATCTGGAAATCAGGAATTGATATCAAGATTTGTGGGGGGTGTTGGGACGCCCGGGGAAGATAGCCCCAAATTTCCTCCGCCGGATCATAGTAGGGAGTCTAGGACGGGAGGGGTGAATGGGAGTGAGCTGGAAAAGAATGCGAATGGAGGTGGTGGGGCAGGAGAAATGGCAAGAGCGAAATCGATGGGAAACTTAACGAGGCAGGATGTTGACGTGAAAGAGGAGTCGGCGCTATTACCCAGGAGTCGGAAAGATTCTACAAGTGGGCCCAATAGACCGGCTAATGCGTACAATTCTCGCACGCAACAGAAACTATGGCTCCAAAGAGCATCATCAAATATTGAACCGCAGAGAGAGGGACTCGGTGCATTATCTTTATTGAACGGAGGTCTAGGAATGGGACATCATGGTGGAGGAAGCAGTATGGGCTTTGGTCCTGGAATAGGAATTGGTATGGGAATGGGTAGCGGTATGGGTGGGTATTTAATGGGTGGAGATGGAAAGGGAGACCCAAGAATTAAAGTACAGCTTGAGCGGACGGGACTCGAATATTTGGTGGTGAGACGTCATCAGGATCCCGTTGGACGCGGTATCAAGAGATTAGAAAAAATGGGGGTGCTTGGGCAAGCGGGCAAGAATATCCCTGGAAATGGGCATGGTCATAGTAAAAGTACGAGTGTGAGTCGAGCGGTGAGCCGAGCAGGCAGTTTGAGGGAGAGGAATGCGAATGCGAATGCGAGGAAGGGGGTAAGACAGAGTTTTGATACGGAGAGGGAGAGGGGTAGTGATACAGATAGGGATGGAGTGGCGGGTAGTGGGTTGGATGAGGATAATGTGGCAGCGCTTTTGAGGGGCTTGTGGGAAAAGAATTTTGAGGGGAGTGGGAGTGCGGATTAGGGTTCGGGTTCGGGTTCTGAGGGTGAAGGAAATTTGACTATGCTTGATTGATTGATCGCTCGCTTTGTATCTTACTGGGGGCGCGGGGTGGGTAATAGATGGGATGGGGTAGGCAATCATATATAGGAATGGAGTTACTGCTTCTTATAGGACGTGGATGGGATGGCACGTGGATGGGATGGGATGGGTAAGGGAACACACACGTTCCTGAGATTTTGAAATTGCTAGCTGGTGGAATGGTGGACTGGTGGACTGGTGGATATTTAGATTGAATGTTTAGTTAACGTAATATATGGTTGGTTCACTTGCTTGTATCGTGTAAGATAGAGATGGATGGATGGATGTTGGTTGGTGTGGGTTGGTGTGTGTATATTGATTGTGATTATGATTATGATGATGATTATAACCAGATATAGATATAAGTCTCGAGTAAGTCGAAATAGCTGGCTAGAGTGATGGATAGATGGTTGGATGGATGGATGGATGGTTGATAGATAGATGAATATCCTGAGAAGAGGAGGAGGGTGAAGAGGAGGGTGAAGAAGGAGAGGAGGGTGAAGAAGGAGAGGAGGAGGAGGATGAAGAGGAGGGGAAAGAGGATGAGGGTCAAGAGGGTGAATAAATCAAAAACTCGAATGCATACAGCAGAGCATAGCGTAACGAGGCGAGGCGAGAGATCGGTCGGTCGAGATGTGGAGGAGAGTAGAGGAGAGGTTAAAGGTTGGAACTTGGAACTTAGAAAGTGTTGGTGGTGATTGTATTTGCATGTGGCATGTGGGTGGCTGTCTTATGTGGTATATGGGAAATGGGATATGGGACATGGGAGTGCGGATGTGGAGTTTGTAGAAAGTGTAGATCTAGGGGAGTGGGATGGATGTGGGGATGTGAAGATGTGAAGACGATGAAGATATACAGAAGCTCACCGGAAGTGGAGTCAATTACTAGTTACTAGGTACTGTAGTTATACATAAAAGAAATCTTTATCAATATCAAAGCAGGCATAACATAACATGAAGAACTGAAGCCGATCGCGACTCAACTTGAGTTACATATGGGGAAAGCAAGGTCATCGGGAAACGGTTTTCTAATGTCAAGGAATGGTCACCGGGAACTTCACCACATTATACTCGTATTTCGATTCCCATCCATCAGCGCTCGCTCCATGATGGGATAAGTTGGCTCACTCACTGGGGATATATTTTATGATTTATCATGCATGAAGAGTTGATTGCATAAAAAGTAAAAAACAGCGAGGAAGCTTGCCTCACGTCACCGGGAGACAATTGCACAACCAAAGGTTTTTTGCTTAAGGAAGATACGAGTAGATGGATAGCTAGACTTACTCGGTACATGTGACTGACTTTATTTGATTCAGTTCACATTACAGCAGATCTATCCTCTGCTTGGATAGTACAGTAGGGAGACTGGGTAGCAGTGTAATCACGGTATGCGATTTAGTTTCATACCTCGTTGCGTGGGATTGAGATTAGGATTTGGATAAGATAGATAGAGGAGATAGATAGATCAGAACTTTTTATGCTATGATGGATTGGCAATAGATATATTGGTGAAGTGAAGGGAAGGTTGGTTAGATTCTAGACTTCATGAGTAGATACTTTTAATTATCAAGCTAGTTTGCGGCAATGGGGCTAGATGTATAGAAACATTTATGCAACATATCCTATTTTTTTTGGTATAATATCCTAAGCTCCTTTGCTATGCTGTGCTATGTATTCATATATCTCCCAAACTTTTCATTACATATGCATGCGCACACCCTTATCTTTGAACCAAACTCAGTCTCAAGATCTGAACAACATCAAACCCTCCTCTTCCCTCAACCCCTCATCCTCACTAACATCCTCCTCGTTTCCATTTTCTCCCAAATCCAATTTCCGTCCCAATAATGTTGCGAAGAATCTATCTCTCGCAGTCTCTTCCCACATATTTCTATCCTCTGGCGCCATGAAATTCTGCAATTTTTCATGAACTGTGAACTTCATTTTCCTACCCTTACTAGCCTTGGTATCGACATTCTTTCTCGTCTTCGCCTCTTTAACTGCAGTCCATTGCATTGGTTTACCAGCATCACCAGTGGCTGCGGAAGAAGAATCAATCATTCGTTGATCGAGCAATTCTTTGAGAAGCAGTTGGTAGAAATCAGCATCGTCGTAGATGTTGGGGTCGGTAATAAGTTTCATCTGTTTTTGAACGGGAGCACAGGAGCGGGGAACTTTGGTGCGGGAGACTAGGTGCTCGGAACTAGAAAGAGTATCTTGGATAAGAGAAGTGATAGATTGCTGAGGGGCATTAGGGTTAAGTTTGCGGGAAATTGGAAGGGCTGTTGTGGCGCGGACTTTGCTAGACCATTTTTCGAGGACAGTTTGTCGAGTGTCGAGATTGGCAACCTCGGAGGCTTGCATTCGCTCCCAAATAGCCGACGAGGCAGTGGTGGAGTCAATTTTGCGCTTCCGTTTCTGTCCTGTTTTGGATGTATCGGATGCCTTTGAGAGATCGTGTCGAACTCGATCGATTGTATTCCATAATTTAATGGCTGCCTCCTCTGCGGCTTGGAAAGGATTCTCAACGCTGTCCTCCTGATCCTTATCATCAGCCGCGGCTAACGAGTTCGTGGCTACCAATGCTTTTTGGAGGCGAATGCGGACGTTGAGAAGAGAGTCGAATGCTTTGCGTTGTTTCTTCACAGCATTGCCCTTATCAGCGTCTGCCTTTGCCGCTTGAGAAATTGTTGCGACAACTGTTTTCTGTTCCTCCCCCATGATCTTTCGCAACTCAGCACGTCTTGATTGCTCATCCTCATCATTCTCATCGTCATCGGATGCATCTTCTTCTTCACTCTCTTCGTCATCGTCGATTTCCTCTTCATCGCTCTGGTCAAAGTTTTCCGAATCTTCCTCTTCCTCGTTAAAACTTTCTTCAATATCGTTCGTGGGCTCGGGATGTTGAGCGTCGACATTCATGATATCTTCATCAGTCTCGTCTGCCTCCTCATCCTCAATGTCCTCCTCGTTATCATCGTCTTCCGCTTCAGACAACTTCACGCCCTCTTCCTCACCACTGTCCGACATGAAATCAGCAGCAGTAGGTCTTTTCTTCACACCATTGATATCCACAGGCTTCTTCGTAGGTTTCTTTGGCTTTCCACTTCCTCGAAAAACGAAATCCTTGAATCTCTCATCATCACTCTCCCCTAAAGCCTCATCACTGTCGACTTCCATATCATCAAATTCTCCATTAAACTCCATTCCTTCGATTTTTGCTCCTTCGTCAGCACTTTCATACACTGAATTGGATTCATCTTCATCATCGGCGTTCATCAATTGTTCGCGAGTGACTCGAGATCCGGCATACTGCGGTCCAAGGGCGGCTTCTTCTGGTTTTCGAAGCTTGCTCTTTCTATAACATTTTATCAGCAAAGTTTCATCGCAATCGCAGATGGAACGATTCCTTACCCAACTTGAACATAATGTTCTGTCCCCGCCAGTCCATCATCACTCTCCTCACCACCACTTTCCGAATCGCTCTCTTGCGCCGGCTTATCATCTTCCGGGTCGAAATCTGCACAAAGAAACACAAGTCAATAAAGCTGAACTCATGGCTTTTACCCAAGAACGCAAACTTACCCTTAGGAATAGGATCTTCCAATTCCTTAATCTGTTTTGCCAAATTCTTTGGTTTCGCCATATTGTTTGCTATCCTATTGAAACTTTGAGAAATTTTGTTTTTCCAAAGAACTTCAGTCCAAAAAATTAATTTGGAGCTCCCCACGAAATCTTGGCACGCTAGCGGGCGCATATCCGCTCAAAAGTCAAGCTCTCAGCGCATCTCCTCGAGTTATGCTTCAATCCGACATTGGAACAAAATGAAACCACGATTATTTTCCACTCTGCGGAGCTTACAACATGAGAATCCGTTGGTATGTTCAAAGTACTCCAAGTGAGGAAAGCTAGGTGAGAAACTGATCGTCGGCAACCATCAGGGATTACCACGAACCGGCAGTATTCCTCGCATGCAGCGTGGGCTGCCCGAACGAAGAAAGATAAAGGATGTTAAGAAAGTCATTGCAGTTTCATCTGCAAAAGGAGGAGTTGGAAAATCGACGCTTTCTGGTAGGATTACTAAGTGATGTCTACGTATCAGCAAACATTGATTGAACAACAGTCAACCTTGCGCTCGCCTTTGCTCGTCGTGGTCTCCGAAGTGGAATTCTAGATACAGATATATTTGGTCCCTCAATACCTACACTACTGAATCTATCGGGGGAACCCAGATTATCCTCAAGTGCGTCTTTGGTTTGAATGCGATAGTTGAGACACGTCTGATATTTGGGCGGCAGACAATCAACTCATACCCCTCTCGAATTATGGCGTAAAGTCAATGTCAATGGGCTATCTAGTGGGCGATGAGGCACCAGTTGTGTGGCGTGGATTGATGGTCATGAAGGCATTGCAGCAGCTTCTACACGAGGTAGACTGGGGTGGGTTGGACGTGTTGGTTCTCGATTTACCACCGGGAACCGGAGACACTCAATTAACTATAACGCAGCAAATTGTACTTGATGGTATGTGCATTCTTCTTGTCGATTGAACGTACTGATTGTTTTCAGGGGCGGTAATTGTATCAACTCCTCAAGATATAGCTCTCAAAGACGCTGTGAAGGGTATCAATATGTTTAAGAAGATTGATATTCCGATTCTTGGAATGGTACAAAATATGTCTCTATTCACATGCCCACACTGCCAGAACAGCACACACATTTTCGGGTCGCATTCGGGAGTCACTCACGCTTGTGAAACGCATGAGATTGATTTTCTAGGAGATATACCATTACACGCGAGCATCTGCGATGATGCGGATAGGGGAAAACCGACTGTTGTAGCCGAGCCCGAAAGTGAGAGAGCAAAAGCATTCATGTCAATCACAGAACTCGTAGGAAAAAAGATTGGGTTGTTTTGATAACATTCATTCAAATCGAAGGATTAACAGTAAGGGCTCAGCAATACGCAAGAAAAACATCGTTACGTTAGAAAACGTTCAAAAAAAGGGAGATCGAGGACGGCCGTAGAAAGTAGCAAGGATCCAGCCGCGTTGTCAAGTACAGGGATTCTTTCGTACCTGAATATGTTGGTTTCAAGGTCATGTCAAAAAAGAAGCCTTGAAAAGCTCGCGCTCAGGTATCCTATCAAAAGCGATCTTTAGCATGTTTCATTGCGCATCAAGTAACGATACTGCTGGGAATATTGTTCATTCGAGGAACAAGCATCCAAAATTCTAGTCCTCATACGCAAAGCCCATGTTAGCCCCTATGATTGGCAAAAATGAATAAAAAGGGAAATTCCAGCCTGAACACCTATACTTGCAGAGAGTTGCCCCTTCCTCTCCCCATCCCTACTTGCCCATTAGGCAAATCCTTCCTCGTCTCCATTTGTTTGGTATATATGACGACTTCTTGTCTGATCTTTTCGCATACTTTGTCCCGACCCGGTAAATCCGACTATAAAAGTAGTTAGATAATATGAATTAAAAGGTGTCATCGCATTTTCATTACCTCTACCGTTTACGCCATCAGGTGTGCGGAACATACTCTCCTTCTTTCCTGACTTGCCAAGCTTTCCTTTTGCAGCAAAGTCTTGCCATTTCTTCTTACCATCGTCTAATTCTTTCTTTGCCTTGATCTTCTTTGGGACTTTGGCTGGTCTTGTGGGGCCGTCACTGACTTTGCTTGGCTCGCGCTTAGATTGTTGCGCCAGCTCCGGGTCAATATCTGCGGCTGCTGAGATAACATTCGATGTCGATGGGGGAGTAGGAATCGAAGCTACGACTGGTGTACCATCAGCCTTACGCTTATTTGAATTGACTATAGGTTTTATATCCTTGGCTCGCAGGGTCTCTGTAGTGTCATAATTCTTGAATTTGACAATATAAACAGGAGATATTGAAGAACCAGTTATGGATGTAATTCGAGCGGGATAAAATCCTTTGTCGCCTGAATGCCATTTCGCCAATACCATGTCGTTGACTGAGAAGCTTGTGGCGACTTCTGGCTCTTCTGGTGGAGGAGGCGCTGCTTTCTTGAAGGCAGGATGATTTTCTCGCGACCATTTCTCCTTAACAGGCGGTTCCGACGATGTCTTTGGTTGGGCTACAGGTGCTGGAGCTGGCTTTAGTTCTGCGATCGCGAATTCGGTGAGGGAAATGACTTCTTCGAGTTCAGCTTTTAGTGTCTGAAGCTCTACATTATCAGGATCTGCTTGAAGTCCCAACTGGACAGTTTCTAGCTATAAAAATGTCAGTAATGCAAATATGCGACAGAATCGATGAATAATTCTGAGACCTACCTGCAGCTTATACTCCTTGATATCATTCTCTAGTCCTGTAAGTTCCGACATGGCAAGTCCAAGTGACTTCACTCGTGTATAAGAATTGAGATTTAGATAGATGTCTTCGTCGCGACGTGAGAAAATAGCATACAAAAGTACCGCAATACGATACCAAGGAGAATGCGTGTTGGCAACGGGGACAATGAGACGTCAAATCTAGAGCACCGATAACCTTAGCCTAAGATCACGTGATACGGCACTACTAAAGTCCGATGCTAAGTTAAAATTGCTCGTCTCGACCTTGCAACCACATCTTGGGTTTGCCGCGATACGACACAGAGAGTGATTCACTCATTAATTCCCCTAGCTCAACAAGAGACGGAAATTCGTCGTCAACGCCGATATCCGCTAACCGACGGGTATCTTACACATTTGCGCAACTCAGAGTCTATTATCGCGGAGCTAGTCTCCAACCAAAACACAAGATGCAGGGCTTCAATATGGGACGTTATGTACCTCCTGATCAGGAAGGAATAATGAGCGGAAATCAACTGCACGGCAAACATGCTTTAGGCGCTCGAGCGAATAAGGTTTCCCTGGGTATCTTAACTGTACGGTTCGAGATGCCGTATCCAATCTGGTGCACGCACTGTCCGAAGCCTACAATAATAGGACAAGGAGTGCGGTTCAACGCGGAGAAAAAGAAAATCGGCAACTATTTCTCGACGCCGGTATACAGTTTTCGCATGAAACATATTACCTGTGGAGGTTGGATCGAGATACGGACGGATCCAAAGAATACAGCTTATGTGATAACTGAAGGGGCGAGGAAACGAGATACCGGAGAGCATAAAGTTACGGAAGGGGATACCAAAATTTTGACCGACGAAGAAAGGGAGAAGCTAAGAGCCAATGCATTCGCATCTTTAGAGGGAAAAATTGAGGAAAGAGAAAGGCTAGTAGGTAGCAAGAAACGGCTGGAAGAATTACAAGATCTCTCCGAACAATGGGAAGACCCATATGAAACGAATAGAAAGTTGAGGAATACCTTTCGGGAAGGGAGGAAGACGCGAGAAAAAGAAGCTGGCGTAGCATCTGCATTACAAGATAAAATGAGTTTAGGCCTTGATATATTGCCAGAGCACGATGAAGATGTACGGAGGGCCGGTTTCATTGAATTCGGGAGTAATGATTCTTTGGACAGTATCACTAAGGCAATCTCGAAGCCTCTTTTTCAGAGCGATAGCCAACCTTCCAAAACTGAGGGAAATGGCAAAACGCTCTCGCGACGAAAGCAGGCTGAGGCACTGGCTGCAAAACAACGTAGCGATGCCGTGGCCGAGATAAGAGGTAATACAAGAGCTGCGATAGATCCATTCCTCTTGAATAATCACTCAAACGTCTTCAAGAGCACGCCAAAACTCGTGTTGGCTGGAATTAAGAGGAAAAGATCTAACCTAGTTCTTGAAGATGCTCCATCAAAACCAAAGGTAGCTGGTTTGGTCGATTATGATTCCGATGATTGATACTATGAGGGGTGCGGTCGGCCATCTAAATGGAATTCTGGCGTTGTGGTTATGAGTCAAACTTGCGATACCCCCTTGCTACTTTGATATGCAGTGTTTATGGAAAACACAGAAGTGAAAGAATGAGAAAATGAAGTGAGGACTTCATGCAGGCTTGGAAGTGACCAATAGGTACCACGTTTTCATTGACTCATGAGGCTGCCCAAAGTCTTCCTGCCAGGCTAGCTCTGTACGTATTGAAGGTATGGTGGAGTTCGGCATGAAGCTTACGTATCAACAGTAAGATTGTCTAGTCTTGCAAGATGCCCTAGCACAGCCTTTTGGCCAATTTTTTCGGAGCGGAACCAGCCTTGGCGCACGAGCCAATGTCAGTCCTCAGCCATGACCCTGACGCTTTAAGTCATCAAGTGAGTGGCACTTTGCTATTATCAAGAACATCAATATGTTATCAACATCTTTTGCGCAAAATGCAATTGGTACGATGATTTTGAAAGATGGTTTCACTGCCGCGCTCATTAAACTTGGTTGGAAAAGGAGGAAGCCTGGGAGTTAGTCCTTTTTTCTATGACACTCCAATCACCCCTTTGTTCTTGCCGCCTTGTCGGATATCAACCCAGACGGAAATTACCGTTTCAACAAAAGTTTTGTTGCACGTCTGAATGACGATGTGTTTTTTTTCCCATGTCTTATCGCTGGCAGTGAATTAGCTTATCAGACGAGGCGGATTCGTTATGCAGAACCTCGTCTTCACAGGCCATCCATAAGCAAATCAAAAGCAATTCCTATTCAAACAGAGAGGTTTTTTTTATGACAAGAATCAATACGATTCCTCTCTATCGCCATGCTAAATCAAAACCTCCCTCAAAAGATGCCTCTCTTACCTCATATTTGCAGACCAAGATGGCCAATTTTATGATCTAATCGAAAATCCGCGTTCGCCAGACTCCAGTACTCTTAAAGCTCCGAACCTCCGACATAGACTGACTGCGTTAGCTACCTAGCTATACCTAGTATTTCTGTGCCATCAAACCCATTGAGACACCTTATGCTATTAATACAATCAAGATCGAATTCGTTGTCTCGGTGTCATGGAAGTAGGCGCAATGAGTCTCGGGGTAATTTCAAATCGTTTCCTCGCTGTTGCCGAGTTACAATAGTATCAATAAGCTTTTGTTTAGATGTAGAGGTAGATCAGAGGTTCATTTAAAGTTATTTTTGAAATCAAGGGTGCTGAAATAAAACCAACATTCAATCTCATGCTTTCTCGTGGCTCCGGCCTCCAATTCTTTTTTTCTCCTCTACTAATGCTTTCTCTTATGGCTAAGAGCCCCCCAGAAGACCTCGGTTCTTATCTCGTACTTCATTATGATTTGATTTGGATGGACTTGTTGATGGTAACACCCGAGCAGTTGTAGGCGAAGATTGGCTTGATTTACCTAGGTATCCACACCTTATAGTCAAGCCCTCACGGCGTTGATATCTCGTGAAGCAAGCACGTAAATATTCGGAACCACATACGAAAGGAAACCAACACTCTAAATTTCTCACCTTGTAAAGATAGCATCTGCCCCTTCGAGAAAGCGATTTTTGGACGGATGTCAGAATTGTGTTCCTCTCTTTCCACACGTGATGATAGATAAGAGAACCTTCATGACCTGTGATCTTGGCGTTCTATTTTTGAAACCATACAAGTTGTTCCTATACAAAAGGATTGGTGCTGCATAGTGCACTGCACAGAATACAACACAGAATACAACAAAGCATTCAAAATTAAATTATATATACTAGGTATACCAGTCGATTTGCTAAGGTATTCACTGTTCGGCATGGCAGTCACCGTACTCACAACAATTGGTACCTAGGCAACCACAGGGCGAGGCAAGCTGCGCCTTCTCAGCCTTACACAGATCAGAACTCTACACATATAATGCTCCTGCATCCCGAAATTCTTCAACAGATTAATTTAAGATCACGACAACTTTCAATCAAACGACCCATAAATACTCATCGTACATTCAAGATGACTTCCTATAATCCCATACCCAACCATCCCCCCATCAGCTCCGACCCCAATCATGGACCTAGCAACGACATTGCCTCATTCAAAAAAGTGCTCTCTTCCAGCACCCGTGTTCTCGCTCTGTGCGGTGCTGGACTTGGCGCCTCTTCTGGTCTTGACACTTTCCGTGGACCAGGTGGCATGTGGCGAAATCATCGCGCACAATCACTTGCTACCTTGGATGCTTTCACGAGAGATCCGGGTTTGGTTTGGTTGTTTTATTCATATAGACGGCATAAGGCTTTAGCTGCGGAGCCAAATAAGGGTCATTTTGCGCTGGCGGAGTTGGCGAAGAGGATGCGAAAGGGTGAGGAAGAGGGGTTTGTGTGTTTAACGCAGAATGTTGATGGTGAGTTTGCGGAGAGGTTCGCTGATCTGTCGCTGTTTATTGCCATATATTAGGATTCAAGATATTGGTCCTGGGGAGGAAGGAGAAATTCTTGATGGCAATTGTTCCAAATCATATCTCCATCTGATTGTTTCGAGCCATTCGATTTGTTTTAGGCATATTTATTTGGGATATTTACTAATTTCCATTAGGTCTGGCTCAACGTGCAGATCACCCGGAAGGTTCGCTCAAACTTCTCCATGGATGTCTCTACGACATCAAATGCGCCAATCCAGTTTGTGATTACCGTGAACGCAACAATTTCAATGATCCTTATCATCCATCACTTGCGATTACCAGCGAGGATGACGAAAAACTTTTACCTGCCGCCAATGAGATAGTGAGACATTCCCTTCCCTTGTCTCTTAGCCCTGCAATGTTATCTCGAGTTGGCACCGAAGTCCAAGTAGGAACAGCTCCCCCAAAGCCATACACAGCTGACACACTCCCCAGCAAGCCCTGATAACCTACCTCGATCCAAACAAAAAAACTACCACCATTGCCAAAGACGAGCTTCCTCACTGTCCCCAATGCCCGAACTCGCTCCTACGCCCAGACATCGTCTGGTTTGGCGAAACCCTCCCTACGCATACCCTGAACGAAGTAGATCGGTGGATCGATAAAGCCCCCGTTGATCTCATATTAGTGATCGGGACTACGGCACAAGTATATCCAGCAGCCGGATATGTTGATGTGGCTCGGAATGCTGGTGCAAGAGTCGCAGTGATTAATATGGATGCGCAAGGATTGGGTAGTGCGGGTGGCTTGGGAATGGACGATTGGTTGTTTTTAGGGGATGCCGGGGAAATTCTGGAAGAAATTCTGAGTCCTCCGAGTGGTGAGGAGGGTAAGGGAGAGGAGGAGGTATCGAAGTAGCGGCACAGCGTTCAGGGGTCGAATTGAGACTGACATTTGAGGTTCATATCGTGGCTGACAGGTATCACATTCTGGGAACAATAAAAATGGCCGTATTGGCTCATACAGACCGATATTCTACTGTTGAAAATCAAGCTTTCAACCCTTAAGTTTCGAGTGTTCATATTGAGAAGAAGTCATATCTTCAATGATCAATACTTTCAGCCACCTCAACGATGGTGCCAGATTGCGCAGTGCATTCTGTGTCTATGTTGGCTCTGCTGCTCAGACAAGTCAGCTGAAGACCCATTACGCCACAACATCACTATCCTCATCTTGTCTGCTTTCAATCCTTGACGGAACAATTGATCCTTGCTATCATCGATATATTTAGGTTTGAGGATCAAATACATTTGAGCTATTGTGATACCAAGAAATACAGACACGTGCTAATGCGCTAGGCATATCACACCCATGTAGACATTCCCATTTCGACCGGGGCTATTGCCTCAAGCAATTATCAAAATTTGCAGTACAATCATGACACACTACTCATAAGAGACGTCTTTTACCTTACCACTGAGGCGATGCCAACAGAATTTACATGCCATGAAATCTCGAAAATTTAATGGCTAGTCGCCTTATCTCTGCCGTTGATATTGTCTTTAAACCTCGCCATCACCTGTTGTCCATATCGTTCAGCGTCTTATACCATATGGCTGGTACTGTTTATCGACCCCTGATCAACACGATTCAAGATATTCGGGTGCTCAGGATTCTCCCTGGGAAAACAGGGCATTTTGATGAGCCTCTGGAATGTACATTCAAATATGTCTCTTTAGCTGATAAGCCTGATGTTGCTGCACTTTCTTATACCTGGGGCGATGTTCTCTATCACGAAGATTATCCTGCTAGTAAAATGATAGCCAAGAATCATGTGGGAGCTTCGCCATCGATTTCCAATACTATTGATGGAGTGCCCGTGAAAATTGGTAGGAACCTTCTTGATGCTCTCAGGTATTTTCGCTCTGAAGCAGCAGCCAATGTGATCCAGTGGTCATCTACACAAAAGCCCCATTTTACGACAGAGACTCAACTTTGGGTGGATGCCTTGTGCATTAACCAGGAGAATCTTACAGAAAGAAGTCAACAGGTTTCTCAAATGCTTCAAATTTATACAAGCGCTTCTCGCGTATTGGTTTGGCCAGGCATATCCCATCATTGAGGCGAAAGAGAACTCGCTGCATTCATTGACAGCTTCGAAGATGACCACTGGAACACGGCCCACATGCTTCTTAGATCACATAATACAAAGCTTATTGCTGTACTCCAGAATCCGCATTTTGACAAATGCTGGGAAGCACTCGAGGAGATTTACAAAGCGCGTTACTGAAACAGACTCTGGATTGTTCAAGAAGTTCTAAGTAATTCGGAAACTTGGGTGTATATTGGAGAGGAACTTATTCAACTCTTACCCCTCCTTACCATGGGTCTAGCCCTACAAAATCTATAGTGGAATCTGTCAGGATTCCTCCCAACCTACCTCTCCTGGATGGCAAATTACAGTTTTCGGATCCAGCTGCCAAACCCATGGAACTTCTCGATCTCCTCCAAACCTTCCGGAAGTTTGAATGTCGAGATCCACGCGACAAAGTTTACGGATTAGTAGGACTATCCACACAATATCAAAAGCAACTGGCAATCGACTATTCAAAAGACGTATCTGAAATACATAAAGATGTCGCGAGGTTAATCATCGAAACCACCCAGAGATTAGAAAACATTTGCACGGATGAAAAGGCAGCATTTGACTGTCGACAAGGCTTGCAAGAGAAACCATCTTCGTTACCAATATGGATACCGAATTGGTCTTGCATCCGGGAGGGCACCGCACTCTGTCCTGGACTCCTATGAGGTCGAACCGCGGATCAGTTGCGTCAATGGAGTGCATCTGGGGAATTGAGTGCCCAGATACATATTTCAGACGACGGCAATGTACCGAAACGTAAAGGTGTACTTCTTGGCACCATCACACATATCATGCGTCCAGTGGCCGATAATGGATCCCAAGATTTTTACAATATAATATACTTTAATTGCTGTGTACAACGCACAACATACATAGCTCTAACCAAATCCCGTTGTTTACGGCCCTGAGAGAGACGCTTCTGAAAACTGGGTACATTGATGAACCTGTATCACACGACTTACCACTTCCTATATTCCTTAAGCTATGTCAGCTATTTCTGGCTCAATCTTCAGCATTGCATAAGCGAGATCAGAGTGATGTGGAGAACCTGTGCTATTATCTGAAGATGGCAATGGAGGATCGATGTTTTTATACGGGAATGATGGGTGAGGAAGGAGGTGCACGGAGGGTAATGGGGGTTACGTTTGAGTTTTCGAGGGAGGGGGATGTGCTTGTGGTGTTGTATGGGTGTAGATGGCCGGTGTTGTTGAGAAAACAAAAGCAGAAGGAGGGGGTGAGAGCGATGATGGGTTTGTGGTTTTGGAGGAGGTGAGAAGGTATTCGAGATTTATTGAGATGATTGGCGTCTCAAAATTGATGATGAACTTGTAACGAAAACGAAAGTCATATACGAATCATGATCAGGGGACTTCTCGAAATCGTTAACACACGTGAAATTCTCACTGCTGAGCATGATAAAAAAGGAATTGACAATCAAATATTCGCAATTCGAACAATCCTTTTTATCAATCAACCAATCAATCAGTACAAGCTATTGTTGTCTAGCCATCCATCTAAATGCACTGCATACACTAGTCCCGATGTTAAAGTAGATAGAATTAGACAGTGGATTCAAGAGAATAGAGCAAGAAGAAGATAATAGGAACGTTTCTGTGGTTTCAAAGAAGGCGTATGTGAATAAATTCGCAATTAGACAAAGTCCTGAATCCATGCATCAGTCCACATACCCATCATTACAATCTTCCAGACAATTTCTACAGTAACAAATGCAGGTTTAATCTTTCCAAACACTAGTTTGACTATCTACCGGTACCATGCTTTTGAAATATGCATTCCTTTTCGGATGCATGAATAAATGAATATGTTAGAACCCGTATCTTTGGTTCGGATGCAGTGGTTTACCGTGTGCAGTTTAGTTGTGAGTTTAAGGCTCTTTCGGCATGATATGTATATGTACTGTACTGTACGGGTATCTTGAGGTTGAGGATGGAGTTTATTCAGGTCACAGGTGGTGGTGTGTGAATTGAAAGGGTTTGTGTTTGATTTTGTATGGTTAGCCTACTTTAGCCAATATAAATACTTATGCTCGATAAATTCGACCTCATCTCACACATCTTTCTTTATTATGAGTGCTATCTCCTGCAAATACATATTCAATCTTCCCCCATAGTAATAACTTCTTTATATGTAAGTCAAAGGTGTCACTATGAGCCATTTCTGGTTCCTTATTCATGCCGGTGAAGCCTCCCAGGCTTGCCACAAGAGTCAATGACAAATTAATATGAAATAGCAAGAAGCAAACAGTGAGGAATTTCAGTAGGAGGAGGCCTTCTCAATCCAAAAATCACATTTGATGTTTGAATTTGGTTTGTATACCTATGCTTACCAGACTAGGAGAAGGGTGCAAGATATCCTTTGACTTCCAATCTTTTTTATGGCTTCTATGATTTTGCTTGAATAATGTTGAATTAATTCACAGCTTAGTTCTTTTGATATTGCATTTATTGTTCCAGCGCTGCATTCTCAACATACAAATATGACGCTCATCCGCTCTTTCCCCATTTACTCTCTCTCCATCCTCTCTTTCCCCATCCAATCTCGCCCCATCCCCTTTAAAAAGCCGACCATTTGCACCCACACTTAGATTGCTTTTTTATCCACAACCGTTCGTTATCAAAACGTCTTTAACACCAAAGTACATCATAAGATAGCCATGGCATCCATCGACGTCCTTTCCCATACTCTGTCATCCATCACATCCATCAAATCCCAGGAGATCTCAAACCAGAGATCCACATTCGAGCAAGGCAAGGCAAGACCTTCTTCAAGCTGTCTTGACTGAGCCTAAGCAAAGTGAGAAACTTCGCATCTTGCTAGATCGTATTGAGAGTCTTCCTTCCATGGGAAAGCTAGAAAATCACCATTCTTTCTCTTTGTGCAACATCAGAAAGTTCCTTGATCAAGCTCAACATGACCCATCGGTTTCGGAAGCCCTTCTCAAGGATTGGCAAAAAAAGCTCGAAAAGGAGCTCGATATTCATTCGTTGAAGTATGAGTATGCATCTTTGTATGGTCGACTTGTCAATGAGTGGCTCTCAGCTTCGGAGGATAGTATTGCTTTTGATGACAGCTCATTTGAGACCATAGGTCGAAAGGAGATGCACGAGCAGCGAGAGAAGTGGGAAGACTACGTTTTCAAGCCTCTAATCACTGATTCCAGTGCTATTGATTCATATCTCACCACGCTTTTCACCTCGACGGCTGACATCAAGAAAGCTTGGTGTGAGCTGCGACGCCGGACCGTCATCTTTGAGAAAGGAATGGAAAACCAAGCACACTTCGACGCAAACTCCCTGAAATGGGTGATCGACGGCCTCCTCCGCAGCGATCTTCTCACAGACGAAAAACGCGCCATTCTGAAGGATTTTCAAAATAACAAGGTAGTCCTCGCCGAAGTCGCCGACGTCCTTAATATGCGCATGTCTTCACTCGACAAGTGGGAATGGGGCTCAGAGGGCACACCTGTCGAACAACGCCGCCATATCAACGGTCGCTATCGTTTTTACCACGACGAAGATCTCCTACAAACCATTCTCCTCCGCTACATTGGCGTGAAATGGTCCGTCTTCTTTAAACGCGAGCTAACCAGCTTCAAAGAATCCTCCAATGTCTGGGCCACTTCCTCTCCACAAGTTCCAAAAGCAGATAAGCACAAACGCGAGTACTTCTTCGGCCGCGGCCACGACTCTGATGCTACCGTCGAAAGTTACCGAGAAGATCACTTCAAATCGGATATTTTCCTCGAACAACTCCAAGACTCCCTCAAAGAACAGCGTGGAGGCTACTCTGACGATGGTGCCACAGAAAACGCAACCGACACACGTAGTTCTCCCCAACAGATCACGCAATCAGTGCTCCACACTCTGGCCACCGAAATTATCATACAAACTCGGCTCAACAACTCTTTGACTGTTGTCCGTTCCGATTTTTCCTGGTTCGGCCCTTCTCTCCCCCATTCGAGTATATTCTCCGTCCTATACCACTTTGGTGTTTCGTCTAAATGGACTTCATTTTTCCGCCGCGCTCTCGAAGCACCCATAGGCTTCCCCTCCGATGGACCATCCGCCACTGTTCGAATTCGCAAACGCGGGACTCCGATCAGTGGCCCTCTAAGTGATATGCTAGGTGAAACCGTTCTCTTCTGTCTTGATTTCGCCGTAAACCGTCGAACCAACGGCGCACGTTTATATCGTTTACACGATGACACATGGTTCTGGGGCAGCTCTTCCGTTTGTGAATCTGGCTGGGCCGTCATGCAAGAATTTGCCAGCCTCATGGGGCTATCTTTCAACCCCGATAAGACCGGTTCCTGCACCATAACTCGCCATCCTACCAATATCACCCCACCCCCTTTGTCTCCCCCCCAAGGGCCTGTTAGTTGGAACTTCCTGCACCTAGATCCTCTCACTGGGCGATTCTTGATTGATCAAAAGCTGGTTGACAATCACATCAAAGAGTTAAACCTCCAATTGAAAGCCTGCAAATCCATATTCGATTGGATCCAAGCCTGGAATATCTACGGCTGCCGTTTCTTCTCCACGAATTTCGGCCAACCAGCCCAATGTTTCGGACTCGCCCACGTCAACGATATCCTCGCCACCTTCTCCCGGATCCAAACTCAACTCTTTTCCGAAACCGGTGGTTCTGTCACCTCAACTCTCAAATCCATGCTCCACACCCGTTTCGACGTGAAAAATGTTCCAGAAGGTCACCTCTATTTCCCCATGTTCATGGGTGGCCTCGATCTCAAATCTCCTTTCGTACCCCTCTATCTTATCCGTGATGACATTAAGAAAAATCTAGATGACGTTATGGATGCTTTCTTCGTTCGAGAACGTAATAATTACGAAAAGGCCAAAAAGCAATACGAGACTGGCACGGTGACTCGTCGTCAACACGGCCCTCATCCCAACATGCGAGAATACGAACGTGTCGGCTTCCCATCATTCGAAGAATACACAAAGTACAGAGAACGCAAGTCGCATGCTTTATTGTGTGCGTATCGTTGTTTGATAGAAGAACCAGTGGAGTGTGGTTTTGATATCAAGATCAGGAGGGTAGTGCGTGGGCCGAAAGGAAGTGAACAGAAAGAATTGACAACCTATCAGATATGGATCGTGGAGTTGTATGGTTCGGATATGAAGGAGAGGTTCGGGGGATTGAATGTTGTGGAGAAAGGATTGCTTCCGACGGGAATGGTGGGAATGTTTAGGGAGAGTAGGTTTAAGTGGCAAGGATGAGTGATTGTGGTGGTGGAAAATGATGTATGAGTTGGGATGAGAGGTGTGGTATGAGATTGAGTACTTGCATTTTCCCAGAAACTGTATTATTATCTATTGAAAGAGAACACACTACTCATATACTTTGGGATCGGAGGTCGAACATGGAGATAGAGAAACCTTGATACCCTCTACTTCACAATGAAAACAATGAAAAATGTATCATTCACTTCATTACAAACCTTCTCCGTCACATCTTCTCTTACTATTCCAGCATTCTGATCCCAATGTCCGTATAGAGGTTGGAGGTAAGTGAGAGATTTGAGATCTGAGATTCATCAAGCCAAATGTACTACTATGTATAAAAGGAGACTTAAACGAATATTCGGTTGAGAAGAATAGGGAGCGATAGTGATAGTGAATGTAGTGAAGTTGTCGCCAGGCTGAATAGATACTACTGTAGGTACTGTGGGGATTCAAACGGCAAAGTACTCGTACAGTACTGAGTTCTTGTAAATATCCTCGGCGTTTATGGAGTTGAGAAGAGAGAAAGGAGATTGATACTAGACAGAAACATGTGGCAGAGAATTACTCGAGTACTTACCGGTACGCGTATCTAATAATTCGGAATCTCGGGAGATAGCCGGCTTCGCTTTGAGAGGAAGGAGGGATCGGATATCTAACGGATACAGTATTTCATGGGGGTTTGTGGAGAATTGATGTGAGGTATTGAAGTCAAAATCCAATTCGACCTCTCAAGCCACAACACCTTGGCAAGCTTCTGGAACGAATGTGAAAGTTTATTCCCGCAGGTTCCGCATTATCCGAGTCCATAACTGGTATCCCCCACTTTCTCTCCAATTGAAATCCATATTCGAGGACTTGACTTTAGGGAAATAAATGATCAACAAAGAAAAACATACCGGTAGATGTGACGTCGACAAGGATTAGAAATGATGCAGTATTGCTTATTAAGAGCTTTCTCTGGAACTGCAACTCCAAGAATGCGGTATCTGTTCACTAATCATGTTTCCATTTCCATACCACTAGAGTCTTATATATTTAGACTCGGTCCTCCCAGAGTAGCTTTCTTACCGCCAGTGAATATATCCTATGCCCGAGGACATTCACCAAATTTCCATCGATATGCTTTCGTCCGAATAGTGAACTTGATATAGCTAGCTTCTCTATATCAACCTTACCTCCGAACATAATCATTGCAACTCCCATCCCACCCACTCTCAGCAAACAAAAAACATCGGATATTGATCAATCGTCGAAACAACAGTGTCAAACATTCATCTTATCATGTCCGAATCTAGAGAGAAAGAGGACGAGAAACTTCCAATCCCAGCTTCAGAAGATTTGAGCGCCGTGACAACTGAACATGGCGTGGAGTTTGCGCCGATTAAAGCTATACCGATAGATATACCCATTTCGAAATTGAATACGAAAGGAAGTCGGACCAATTCACTGATACGAACGCGCTCATCGAATGGCTTTGGTTGCGATGATCCAGAGAATACTTGGGATGGTAGTGGTGGTGATATTGAAGGACAAGGAGTCGATGAGAAAGATCCGTTTGAGGTTCGATTTGAGGGCGGCGATAGTGATCCCATGTGTCCAAGAAGCATAACTCATGGAAGAAAGTGGCTGGTGGTTATCATTGTTAGTGCAAGCTCATTCTGCGTGTAGGTTCATCCCATCTTTCATGATATCTATCCCTTAATTGGTACTTGGTAATTGGGGGCTTTTGGTAGGAGTCGTCTGATGTCTTGGGATCAATATCACAATCTACCATTCCGGTATCATGAATAATACATGGGGCTGAGTTACAGCATCATGGAAGCCAAGGGTGTGAATCTAACTTGCATATTAGTACCTGTGCTTCATCGATGTATACCAGTACATACGCTCAGCTCGAGAAGGAATTTAATTGCTCAAGAGAAGTTGCAACCCTCGGACTTTCCATGTTCATTCTGGGACTTGGTCTGGGACCTATGTTGCTAGGACCCCTTTCGTAAGCATTCATCCATATACATACTCGCTATCCCTCCTTCATCCACTTACATCAAATAGTGAATTCTATGGTCGTCGTCCAATCTATATCTTCTCCTTTACCTTCTTCCTGATATGGCTCATTCCTTCGGCAGTAGCGCAAAATATTCAGACTCTGATCATAGCAAGATTCTTCGATGGCCTTTCCGGAAGCGCTTTTCTCTCTGTCGCTGGAGGCACCGTGGGAGATATGTTTAACCGAGAACAACTTCAAGCCCCTATGCTGATCTATACAGCATCGCCATTCATAGGTCCATCGTTTGGTCCAATGATCTCCGGATTCATCAATCAGTACACGTCTTGGCGTTGGACTTTCTATGTTTTGATTATCTGGTCAGCCTGCAATTTAATATTGATTTTTCTTCTCGTCCCTGAAACTTACCACCCGGTTGTCTTGAAAGCAAAAGCCCGCAAAATCCGAAAGGATACTGGCGATGACCGTTGGTATGCACCCAATGAAAGGCTCAATAAGTCAATCCCGAAAACTATTGGCCTCTCCCTCCTTAGGCCTGGTCAATTATTGATCTTCGAGCCCATGTGCCTCAACCTCTGCATATTCTCAGCGATCTTGCTTGGTATTCTATACCTATTCTTTGGAGCTTTCCCTCTCGTCTTTGAGGGAAACCATGGATTTCAACAGTGGCAGGTTGGCTTGTCATTCGTAGGGTTGTTCATAGGAATGCTCATCGCAGCGGCTACCGACCCCTTCTGGCATAAAAACTATGTAAGACTAATCAAGCAGAGAGAAGGAGTGACGGGAGAGGTCGGTGGATCCGAACCAGAATATCGTCTACCTCCTGCTATTCTTGGAGCCATTCTTGTTCCTATCGGTTTATTTCTCTTTGCATGGACGACATATTCATCGGTTCACTGGGTGGTTCCTATCATTGGATCAGGGATTTTCGGAATGGGGTAAGTGATGAAAATTTTCTTCGTTGAGAATGATAAATAAAGCTCGTGTGGCAGGAGGTTTTCCTGTTAGGTCCCCGAACCGCGTACGTTCCATCGCCGAAGTGGCGCGGGCGGGGCCTTGTGTTTCGTTCCTGCATGTCGTTGCTCTCGTCATTTATTTTGCATATCTGGCCTCGTTTGGGAAATTTGAAGCTTGATCTTCATTCGATTTCAGGCCATGGTCGTCGATGGACTCGATGAATGTCTCACATGACACATATTTCATGTGGTACCAAAGTACTTTCCAAGTAGCTAACCGGCTGGGATTCATGCAGAACCCTTCTTGTCTTTACTGGCGTCTTCACCTTCCTAGTCGATGCGTACCCACTCTATGCAGCCAGCTCCTTGGCAGCGAATAGTTTCATGAGAAGCTCCTTCGGAGGTAAGTTCCCAAACCTGATAATCCCCCTGAAGTGAGCCCGTCACCCACCTACGTGATGGAGGAGAATAAAAAAATAAAATACAGAGGCTGAAGCTGGGTAGCCGCCTTTCCGCTCTTTGGTATTCAAATGTATCACAAGCTCGGCGATCAATGGGCAACGAGTCTCCTGGCGTTTTTGACGCTTGTCATGACGCCTTTCCCATACCTCTTCTTCAAATACGGGAAGCGGATCAGGGGCCATAGTCGTTTTGCGTCCGCGTGACGATCGATCCCTTTCTTCAGCGGTACATGCAACGACAGTTAATATAAATCTGGACATGGGCTTGGACCCAATTGGCCTGAATCGGGGGCGCACAAGAACATACATAGCGTTGGATGGCCAATTTGCAAGGTAGGAAGGAGTGTGAACTTTCGAGAACCAGTCATCGCTTTATTAAAAACGTTTTCAACTCCAACGTCTACGCCCGCTGCTTCATATGATGGATGGAACTGCTGGTATATACCCCCCAAACTTGAAGCCCTTTTTTTTCGATCTTCGCCAAGATTAATAGAATACCAATGGAATTTTCCCAATGGTCAACGCCTTTACTAACAAAATGTGTCACGGGTACCACACGTTTGGGGGTTTCTCTTCAAAGCTTCCCAAGCTCCCCAAAGTACCCCCAGTACCCCCAGTACCCTCGTCGTTGTCGTCGCAAGTTGCTATGCTATATTATGATATGCTATGATATGCTATGCTACTGTACTCAACTCAACGCAAGTTTACCGAGATGCGGCGTCACTCGACATCGGGTCCACAGCTGCATTCAGAACCTATTGATGCGTAGCGCCACAATCGTCTCTCTCCAAGTATTGCGAGGAGATTGTTTCTATAGATAGATATATGAATGGATGAATGGATGAATGGATGAATGGATGAATGGATGAATGGATGAATGGATGAATGGATGGATGGACGGTTGGACGGTGGGTTGGATAGATGAGGGTGGGATTGATAGATGAATGGTGGGGTTTTAATATATTATACACCCTTGGAGAGCTGATCTGTATCCATCTGTTTGGTGCACTGTATTGCACTGCACTACGCCCCATATCTATCTATTGATCTATCTCTTTCTCTTTATGATATACGGTATACGGTTGGCTGGCTTGGCTGGCTGGATGTGATGGATATGATGGGTATGATGGATGTGATAGATAGGACATGTGACCCTTGGGAATATTTTATAATTTTTTTGTTTTATTTGCTTTATTTTAGATGTTGAAGATGTGTGAGTATAGTATGTTGTAGTATATGCAGCACTTACCTAAACTTAAGCATCTTGAAGATACAGAGAAAAGAATACTCGAGTACTGTGATAGGATAATGTATTTTGTTTTCTTTTACTACTATATAGTATGTGATATGTATATGTTACATAGTGTATATAGTACTTATGTGATGTGTATAGTATGTATAGTGTATAGTATACACACTAGGTATGTATCCTATGTATATACTGTATTGTACTGTACGATGTGATATAATTACCTATACTCCAATCCACAAATGGAGAACCATGGGGATGGAACGGGCTCTGTTGGGTGGGTGGGTGAGTGGGTTTGGGTGCAGATTAGGTAAAGAGGTAGGTGGGTTGTATGTGTGTATGAATGCATGCATGCAATGTGAGATGTTAAATTTAAAATGTACAGAGTTATTATTCTATAGTATTGATTTGGTTTGGCTGGCTTGGCTTGGCTGGTACGTACTCTATTATATGTATGCATTCTGCTAGATTGATTTAGGTGGTGATTGGGGATTTGTTGCTTGTGGTGTGTAGTATGTAATATTTATACTCGAGTAGATGGGTGTGTAGTGGTTGGTGGGTGGGAGATGTATAGGACATGGGAGATGGTGAGATGAGGAGACGCTGAGATGGTGAGATGGGAGGTGAGGAGTTGAGGAGATGAGGAGATGCTGAGTGGGGGGTGGGGGTGGGTGGATATATTGGATATTATATACTACTGTATGTGGTGCTTCTCTTACTTTTGGTGGAGAAACGTTATGTGACAGACAGATGGCTGGCTCGATGAGTTAAGTTTCTTTGGATGGATGGATGGGATGGGTTGGGATAGGTTGAATAGATTGTATTTAATTTCATTGGTTGATAAGTATGTGTATGTATTACTTACTATCACAGTAGCTGCTAATAATGTATGAATGCATATGCATGTATTGTTACAGTATTCAGTATTCAGTGTGAGTAGTTGCGTACTCGAGTTCTCAGAAGGGGGAGGGGAAGCTTTTCTTTTCCTTATCTTTGGGATTTTGGATTTGGGAGAGGAATACCCTAGGTGCTGATTATTGAGTATATGATACTCGAGTACTGGTGTATGATTTGGGTTGAGTTGATCTGATGAGTTTTTGATGGAGTATGAGTATGAGTATGAATATGAGTATATATGTGAGTATTTGGGAATATGTATTTGATGTATTTAGTATCATATCATAACATATCATATCAATACAGTACTCGCAGGTGCAGTAGAGTACCTAGTAATCTAAACAAATAGACTTCATAAGAAAGCTGTCATACCGATACATCCATTCGATATTGACAACCTGTATTGTACTCGAGTTGTGAGTAGGTGGTCAATCCATGATATTAAATAATTTGGTCAAATGTGGCTGTTCCTGTTTCTGTGGCTGTGTAAATTAATTACTGTGGCTTTATAACAAATATCAAATTCACCCATCCCGCTCAATGCCCGCCTCTCTAGCCGCTTTCTTCAAAAAAAGCTTCTTTTGGTTGATCCGATGAACACTAAACTAATAAAACTTACCTTTTGCCCCGCGCAACAATACAAGACGCAACAACACACCTCGTTCCTGCCACGAGGCGTTCAAGATTGAAAGAAAAAGGTTTTGGTGATACTTGTACTGAGTACAAGATCTTCTATTGATTTGCCATTTTTATAAGGTAAATTAATTAATTAAATAATCTGTTTGATCGATCAAATCATCTCAGCTTACCTTACTTTACCTTACCCGTTCCTACCACTTTCCCAAATCTTTTCATCCGCCAGAGCACCAAGGCTAAGTGCAATTTCAATTCACGATTCATCGAATCCCGCCGTCTGAAATATTTCCAATCTCTTCCATACAAAACGAAGAAAATATATAGGTTCCAATTGAAAGGGAAACAAAACTCTGACCGCTCGCAACAAAGGACGGCGAATACCCATTTCCAATATATCGATTTTGAAGTGATACGCAGAAAAGGGAAAGAATATCTCAATTGCATCAGTGGTGGAAGGCAGTTTATTTGGGCATCAATGCGATTGCGGTGGGACAGGCTCGCGGATACTTGCAGCATCATACAGTAACACAGCGTTCGATTATTACATTTGCGCATTCCTCCAGCACGAGAGAGGAGGCTTGGTGGAAGAAGTAGGTTCTCCGCGTGACTATACATGTGTGGGTGTAGTGCTTTACGAGAGACTGGGTATTGGATTGGTTAAAAGGAAAATTCGAGCAAGATTGTCAAAGGAGAGGGTGAGATTTTGGGTCCAAGGAATTTACGAGAAATACGGAGCGGCCGAGTCGGGCAAATCAACCTGGTTTCTGGGAAAGATTACGGAAGAGAGAGCTGGACCGGTCAAATAGCGGTGCATGCGAACGCGTGCTGGTGCTCGGATAGGCACGCGGCGAAACGTGGTAAGGGATTGGAAGACGCGGGTACTTACTTTGCGGCAAGAATTTATTTCGGAGCATCGCTAGGGTTACCCTTTGTGGCATTAAGATTGCTCGCAGACGCAAGAAGGTGGTGGAAGTGTGCGCTGGAAGTGTGGGAGTGAGGAAACAAGGTCATTGTGCATTGTTGCTGGACGGGCGGTTCACGGCACCATCCTGTGTTGCCTTAGTTGTGCGACGAGGCTGCAGCAACAGGGCTCTCGTTCAAGGATTGGCGAGGGAGCTTGACTGGGGCTTCTATTGATTGGAGTGTGGTGTCGCAGAAACGAGCTAGCTTCTGCACAAGTACCAAGTGAGGTATTTAAGACAGGATGTCGGGAGAAACTGAGATAGATGATACTGAGGTTTCGGATGGCGCTTCGGAGAACGAGTATAGTGATCATGAGCAAGAGCTTGATGTTATAGGAACAGAGGACGATAATCAGGACATGGCGGAACAAAAAGTAAGACCGGACGGTGATGATAATGGGAATACTGTGGGAGCAGCGGCTACAGCTACGAAACCGAAATTCGACCCTAAAGATCCGTTGAGACCTAGAAGAAAGAAGGCAAGAAGGGCTTGTTTTGCTTGCCAACGAGCCCATTTAACTTGTGGTATGTTTGATTTTCTCGAGGCTCCATTTTCAGGCTCTTTTCGTGCCAAGAGCCTTACCATTCATCATTTAATTCCTTCTTCTTGTCATCATTTACTACCTTTTCGGTGAGATTTGCTACATGTGCTGAGAATGAATTCAATAGGGGACGAGCGTCCATGTCAACGTTGTATTAAACGAGGTTTAGCAGATGCTTGCCAGGATGGTGTTAGGAAGAAAGCAAAGTATCTTCACGATGCACCCCCTGAAGCTCTTAGACCTGTTTTAGGACCAACTTACAACCAGCAAGTGAGCAACAATCGAGCAACGGCAGTATCAACGCCAACAGCACCTTCTCCTGGTATGGGGAACTTTTTCTCTCAGCCTGATACTTCACCGTCCTATCCGCTATTTGCAGCTAATCAGCAATCGCAAATGCCACCTCCATTGCAGAATCGACTCTCTTTTGGAAGCAACCAACCGTCGCCGATATCTCCAACTTTTCATACCGTAGGAAATCGACCAAGTGGAATGCAAGGAATTTCTCTACCGCAAGTTTCAAATGATTCCCATACTGCATTTGGTGGTGGTGGTGCATTTTTCGATCCCAGTAATCCCGCACTGTTCAACTTTGATCTAGAAGGATTGAATTTCGGAAATCATTATGGAGCACTGGAATTTGGAATGCTAGGGCATATGGCATCAGGCTCGGCAGAAACACCGCCGCAAGATTCAACTGCAGGAATGCCACAAAATGTTGGTGACCTTGGCTTTAACAACAATCCAGCATTCAACAATAACCCATCCTTCAATCAGATCTATCCCCATGATACATTGCCGGATTTTGCTGTAGGTATGGAAAGGCCAAATGGAGGAAATGTCTTCGGTAATAGTACCCTGCACCACGGTCTGCCTCATGCATACGCAATAGCGGCTGGTGGTAGTCAAAACAGTCCTAGCACTGATGCGAGCCCTGCGGCAAGTACCATGGGATTTGAAGGCTCACCCACTGCTACTACCTACCAAGCATCAGCAGCTGCTCACAGACCAGCAAAACGACAAGATACGAAATCTGGACCATCGGGCAAGCTTGGACCATCATCAATCCTTGGAAAGAGGAATCGGGATCCTTCATCTATTTACGATACAGTTCACGAACCTTATTCATACACCACTGGTTTTCACAGCTTGACCGCTTTCATTCAAAAGAGGTTTTCGCCAAATAAGACACTTCGAATAGCTAAATCTCTCGCTTCCATTCGACCATCTTTCATTGCTTGCACAAAGACCCTTAACCGACAAGATTTGGTGTTTATGGAGAAGTGTTTTCAGAGGACCCTGTTCGAGTACGAAGACTTTATGCTGAACTGCTGCACGCCAACTGTAGTCTGTCGGAGGACCGGAGAAATTGCTGCTGTCAACAAAGAGTTTACCCTTTTGACTGGATGGAGGAAGGAAGTTCTTTTAGGCAAGGAAACGAATTTCAATATCAACACAGGAAATAGCGGTCCCTCATCCTCGGGAAGTTCAGGTCGAGGAAGTTTTACGACACCTAGGATGCGGCCCCTAAATCTGGCGGACTCGAACACGAGTGGTAAAACCCAACCCATCTTTCTTGCGGAATTATTGGACGATGATAGCGTCATTGAGTTCTACGAAGATTTTGCACGATTAGCATTTGGGGATAGTAGAGGAAGTGCAATGACTCGTTGCAAGCTCCTCAGATACCAAACGGCGAAAGATAGCTCCCAATCTCCTGAAGGCGATAAGGGCAAACGGAAAGACATCATCGGATTCAATGGAGCTGGGATTGGGGGAATGGGTAATAGGATAAAGGAGATTGATGCGACGCATGGGATTGAAAGTTTGCAGCAGGATGGAAAGGTAGATTGTAGTTCTTGTTGGATGGTTAAGAGGGATGTTTTTGATATCCCTATGTTAATTGTTATGAATGTGAGTATTCATTTTTTCCCTAGGGATGGATGAAGGAGATGAGATGAAAGTGGAAAATAATGAGATGAATGCTAATGATCTGTAGTTTCTTCCTTGCATCTAGATCCTTTCTACCTATTATTCTACGCCCCTATACCCTCCTTTCTCCATATCACGATCACTCATGTTTTAAGTGGTTCGATACCTTTTCCTCGTCCTCTTACATACCTTCGACTCGGCAGCTACCCTTCTTCACAGCTTCATTTCATTCTTTGTTTATGTTTGTATGCATGCATAAGGGGTCGAGGCAAAATTGGCGCAAGCTTGTTTGGGTTATCTTTTTGGATTTTGGACTTGGAAATAATTGGGTTTTATGAGAATGATTGTGCATTTGCACTATATCAATGGATATCGCCGAGAGTTGATATATATACCCTTTTTGGGAAGATGAGATGAAATGAGACGAAGGGGGTTATTCTTTGAGATGACGCAATGGATTGGAGCTTCGCTTGTGAATACTTTTGGTTTCTTTTTCGCTGGATTATATTCATATTCATATTAGAATTGCATTTGCATTCGCATACGTTTTGGGCATATCATATGGTTTATGGGTATTTGGATGGATGGATTATATGAAATTGGATAGGATTGGCTAGGGTATGGGAATCAAATGCATGGAATATTATGATGAGAGTGGTGGAAGGAAAGGGTGTGGGTTGTGCGGAGGTGGATGGAGCAGAGACAGAGGATGATAAAAACCAAAACAAAACGAAAGAATGGAAGAGGGGAATGGTGGGTGGGTTAAGACTGGGGAAGGACTGCTCGGGGGATGGACGGGGAATACTTTTAGAATGGGGATTACATAAAACGATGCTATGAAGATGTTGATGAAGGATTGGAATGATTGGATATGAGAATGATGGAGGATGTGGACGAGGATGAATGTTAAAGAGCACAAGGATGAGAATGAGAATGAGAATGATACCATATTTGCTTTTATATAGTACGGGTTTGAGTTGAATCCTGTGATGTGATGTGATGTGATGAGATGATACGATTCGACACGATTAGATGTTCCAAAAAGCAAATAAATCATCATCATCATAACGATTTGATTGAGTGTCATGTACTCGATGATATGATATGATAGTTAATAATAATTTTCTAATAACGATAATGGTATATCCAAATCCAAATCCAAAAAACTCCAAATGCTATGCTAAAATATACAAGTATGTTTCCCCCATCCCTCCCTCCATTCATCAGACCCCTCTAAATATCCATATTCATTTCCATTTCCATATCCAGTTCCATACGTCTGGTGTGATGTATTGAAATCTACTAATCCCATGCGCTCGTAATTTCATACACATCCTTTCCCCTTCCTTTTCTTTCTTTTCTCTTCATTTCATTTCCATATGTACCCCCCTCCCATCTTTTCATTATTCGGAATGAATGGAAGCTTAGGATATACTGGGTACTCGAGTAGATGGGTACCAGGTATCCTTTCGTATCCCATCTCATCATCATCATATGATATTTCTTCATATCCTTATCGTGGTTCATCATTTCTTCGTTCCATCCACATGCACATGCACATGCACATGCACATGCACATACACCCTTTTCTTCCCAGGAGTTTGCAACCCCTCAAACTTCAAACCTCACACCCCAAATCTCCACATCAAAACCACAAACACCCCAAAAACACTTCCCTTCAACACAAAATATCCCAAACCTCAACTAATCATCAGCCAAACTCCCACTACTACCCGAGCTCCCGGATACCGTGGAGCGATCGCCCCGAGCGCGCTGCACGAGACTGTAGATGCCGTAGGCGATGAGGGCTAGGATGAGGAAGAGGATGATGATTATTACGGCGATGACGTCGTTTTCTTTCATTTTGGCGGTGAGGCGGGGGTTATGAGGGATGAGGGAGAGGGGGTTTGGTGTTCGGGATTTGGTGTTGAAGTGCGGTGAGCGAGAGAGAGAGAGAGAGTGAGGTTGTATGTATGTGTATGTGTTTGGATAGATAGATGATAGATGAATATATGAATAGATGGGTTGTGAGGATGGATGTGAGATTGGTGAAGATAATAATTGAGTTGAGATGAGATGAGGAGTGTAAGATTCTAGGATAGATGTTAGTATATATGAATATGATTTGTAGGTTTGAACAATAATAGTATTACGTACCTTGATGTCTAATCTAATTCCAATCGATTAGTTGTTTAGTTGTTTAACAAACAAGGCTGAGATGAGACGATAGTACTCTGTATAGTATCGGTGTAAATAGCAAGTTGAGTAGGTAGATAATCAAACAGCTAATCTTGCGATAAGATAATGAAATCGTAAATCGTGATAATCCAGAAATATGCGGAACGGAATGATAAATGAGGTACTTTGATAATAATATCTAGATGTATGTAAGTGAGGAATGGAATAAAAGAAGAAAAGGAAAGAAAAGAGAGGAAAGGGAAAAATGGAAGAGAGGTTCTTGTAACACTAGGTTGTCCTGCCATCTACTTTTTCGAAGTGGTGATGGTGACAGGGGCTGGAAAATCAAAGAGGCGGGGAAATTGTCGCAAAAAGGTTTTATTGATGGTGGTTGGGAAGGTAACAGGGAAGGATATGCTCGGAAAATGAAGATAAATATGATATAAATATTGAAGTTTGAATTGATGAAGGGTTGATGAATTGAGAGATAGCCTTGTTAATCTCGAATTAACATTCTCGCACAACACTCGTTGTTACAGGTACGATACCCATTCATATTCATATTCATACTGTTATACACTCTCACTCCCATCACCAGTTAGTTAGTTACACGCTGCCTCACATCATCGCGTCAACCTTCCCTCGCTTCCCAGCCACCCCTTTTATGCATCTCATACTGCACTTGTACCTGTAACCATCGCGACTAACTTCTCATTTCTTCCATCAAGCTACTCTTTTAAACAGACTAGAACCGAAAAACAGGTACCAAATAGTCCCAGCAAACGGCTTTTTACATAGGTACTTTCATAGTTCGTAATGTACTCTATATATTGTACACTATTGTGATATAAACATAGTATAATACCCAATCCGCACTTCCCAATACATGCAACTTTGCGCTTGGGCTAGGTACAAAGGTACGAAGGTACATGGCCGTGTATGGTGTATAGAGTAAGTACAAGAAGATTAAAAAAAAAGGTACCGAACGGTAGATAGCCGTTGCCACGTGGAGAGGAGAGTTTCGGTATGGTTATGGATATGGGTATTGAAGGCTAGATGGAAGCTTGTTTGCTTTTTGCATTTGTACCTAACTTGGACTTTGTACATGGACTTTGTACTTTGTATTTTGTATCATACTTGTACAAACTATACTCGTGTCGAACGAACAAACGGAAGGGAGGGAAAGGAGGGAATGAATGTCAAAAGGGCAAACTTTCTTTGGGTTAAGCTTTTTTAATGTAATGGTGCAAGGGTAGGATGTACAGGTACCGGCTCGGCTGGTATGCTTTATTTAGAATTTAGTGGGTGGAGATTGTACGGTCTTCTTCAACAACAACAACAACATGCAACATCTTTGATGGTCTAATGGTCATGATTTCCGCTTGTCATCCTTTGTGACAATGATCCGCGGGAGATCGGGGTTCGATTCCCCGTCAGAGAGATCTACCAGATTATTCCTGGATTCACTTGTTCAATGTTATTTTTGAAGATTTTTTTGGGGTGGGAGAGCGGGATTTTTGGTAGCGGGGTGGAGTATTTTTTTCGGAAACCTTTTATCTTTGGGTGGGGCTGGATATGTAATCCATTCGTTGACCTGTAGGGTCACCTCCTTGCGTTTTGATTGATTGATCATGATGTTTAATTAAGAAATGAATAGATGGGTGTATGGATGGATATGTGTGACTTTGATCGAGGAGGGAAGACTAGAGAGAATGATACTAATAAAGAACGATAAGGCGAAAAAATAGCCTTACCCCTCTGCCCCCCCTATTTTCCCGGACTGGACGGTTATACGAATTGATAGCCTTGCTTATATATCGCAAACCCCACCATTAGGTACAGTAAGTAGTTCTAAGTTAGAAACCTTTGTAGCTACCTAGGTATAACAACCATCTCATCTACACAACCATCTACACAACCATCTTCACCACCCCCCTCCCTCTCACCCCAACCCCCCAAAATGTCCCCCTCAGAACCCCGCCCCCTGATCATCGGTCCAGACAGCGGTCCCGAACCACCCTACCCATTACGCATGCAAGGCGAAGTAGTCTCTGGCTTCGGTCGCGGCTCCAAAGAAGTATGATTCTCACCCATTTTCCCCCATTTGTTTATGTTTATGTTTATTCTCTCGACCTCAATGTTATTAGTATTAGAAGAGAAATACCAAAAAAAAACTAACAAACACTCACTCATCACTCAGCTCGGAATCCCTACCGCAAATATTCCCGTAACAAATGTGCCCTGGATCGACAGCGCCCCCTCTGGTGTTTATTTTGGCTATGCAGCCCTCAACCTCCCGTCTTCTCACCCCGCGCTTCTTTCCTCTCCTCTGCCAACCACATCCACATCTACATCCACCCCCCAAACCACCCCCCAAGACTCCTCATCCAACTCCCCCTCCCCCTCCTCCATAAACACACGCCTCTACCCCATGGTAATGTCCATCGGCTACAACCCCTTCTACCGCAACACGGTGCGTTCCGCCGAAGTACACCTGCTCTCGCACTTCACCCAAGATTTCTACGGCTCGCACATGCGTGTTGAGATCCTGGGTTATATCCGGCCCGAACTGGATTATGTGGATAAGGAGAGTTTGGTCCGCGATATCGAGATGGATATTGAGGTTGCGAGGAGGAGTTTGGAGAGGGAACATTGGAGGGCGGGTCGAGAGGGCGGGGATGCTTGGTTGTTGGGTAAGGAGGGGGAGAGCAAGTAGAGGCTTGGTGGAAAGGAAGAGGGAAGGGAGAGGGATGTATGGACTGATATGTTGGGTATGTTAGAAGTGATTGAGTGATGAAGTGATGAAATAGGCCGAGGCGTTTTGGAAATAGATGGTGGAATAAATAGATGGCTATGGTATAGAATCAAGACGAGATACGATATACACAATACGCAATACAAATTCACAATACACATTTCAAGCAAGTCTCGCATCGTATCTCAAGCACATCAAAAGCACATCTGAAAAATAGTAAGTATATTTTGGTTCTGTCTGTACAACTACGAGCACCAGAAATGTCATCAATCCGACCGCAACCATGCTAGGAAGACGCCATCAACTAACTGCCTGTCTGCCTATAGCACTCGCAAAACGCAAGTAACAAAACATCAATAAGGCGCAGAAAACATAGGGTACTCAAGTAGAGAAAATTAAAGAGAAAAGAAAAAATGGAGCTTGAAGTCAGGAATAATAGTGTATCCCATCCACTCCATCTGAGTAAACCCCTCCATGCACGCAATTCTTATCCTGAAGCTCACGGCTATTTATGTAGAGCGATAAGCTCTATTCGTTCATCTTTCCTTGCCCGGCACCAACCCTTCATTCGTTCGGTGAGTGTCCTTCACATCCCATTGTTTTTCATATCATAAATCATCTCAGCTCATCTCGTCGCAAACTTATAACCATCCAATGTATGCAATCATTGGTATTCTTCAGTCCTCAGTGGTATCCATTTGTGGGTTTGTATGTGGCTCCCAAGCCTCGTCCGGAGTATGCGGAGCTTCCTTCTTCGAAATATGGGTGTTGGCATGCTTGCTTGGCGGAAATACGCCCAGCTGGGTCATAGACAAGCATCAATTCGAGGAGGTCTAGTCCATTGTCGTCAAGGTTGGTGCAGAGGGGTTGGCTCATATCGCGTTGCCATTTGGGGAATGAAGGTTTGAAGTCGGGGAAACAGGTCTTGTCGCTGACACCGGGCCATTCTTGATCATTAGGTGTACCTAAAAGTCTGAAGTTGTGTTAGCTAGCTCAAGGTGCGGTTATGCGTCCCATTGGGGTAGATGGGAAGATTTGGAACGTTGAGGGTCTTACTTGAAGATCTTGAAGATTTCGTCAATTTCCGAATCACCAGGAAACAATGGTTTTCTTGTACACATCTCTGCGAAAATGCATCCAACAGACCACATATCAACACCAGTAGAGTATTGCCGACCTCCGAGAAGAATTTCAGGAGCACGGTACCATAGGGTGACGACTTCGTGGGTGTAAGTTCGAAGAGGAACACCAAAAGCACGAGCAAGACCAAAATCTGCAAGCTTGAGGTTACCTTCCCGATCAATGAGTAAATTCTGCGGCTTCAAATCCCGGTGAAGAACTCGATGTGCGTGACAATACCGAATACCTTCGCACAATTGACTCATAAACTTCTTGACCATAGCATCACCCAAACCTAATCTACCCAAGTCTGGACCAGATCCTTCAGGTAAAGCTCTACCTCTACCACCATCGGCAACTGGAAGAGCCTCCATATATTTCTTGAGATCAAGGTCGAGGAACTCAAAGACGAGGTATAGTTTATGACCATCTGCGTGAACAATATTGAGAAGTCGAACAATGTTTGGATCATTCATCTCCTTGAGAAGAGAAATCTCTCGAATGGCGGTACTGGGAACTCCTTCATCTTCCGCTTCGAGTCGGATCTTCTTAAGAGCAACGATACGTCCGGGATGGGAGAGATCTTTGGCTTTGTAAACAACACCATAGGTTCCTGCGGGTAAATCGTGTTAGTATGAAATGCTGCGTTATCTAGCAGATATAAGACCCTTCGCTATTGTTTCGCTGGGGGTTTGACGCAAAGAACCTACCTTCACCAATCTTCTCCAGCTTCTGGTAATTCTCCATTGTCGAATGTGCTTGATGCTGAAAGGTAGAAGAACTTAGAGGTCAAGTTGAAATAAATCTGCTTTTGTCTTTTGAAGTGGGGCGGTGTGAAGGAGGGGCAGTTTGGAGTGGTAATTGGGTTTGGTTTATGGTAACAACAGCATCTATTTTGAAAGAGGACTATGCAAAGATTTGAAGGATTCCTAGTAGAAGATGGGAGAAATAAAGTAGCTACAAAAAGATGGTTATGATCAAGGGGGATTGTTGTTGTTGCATTAGTCTGTAGTAGAATTCTGTGTGTTGTATTCGAATTGGAGAAGTTATTGAGGAGGAACTCGTACAATACGGCACGGTACGGTGTGGTATCGTATCGTTGGTTATGTTGGTTATGTTTTGGTATGGTCGGTATTGTTGTATTGTCGTTACCTGTGTTATTCGCTCTCAAATCAAGGAGTAAACAAAAGAAAATAATCAAATCAAACAATCGTAACCCGGTCGGCATATAGCGGCCGCGTCGGTCGTTATGACGCGAACGAGATCGGCTATAAGTAATCCCGAAATGTTTAACTGAGGTGAAGCTAAGTGAAGTGAAAGGTCAAATTCCAAGTGAAGTCAAGTGAGGTCAAGTCAAGTAGTGAGGTGAAGCACAGTTCAAATTCACTAAGAAGTGACTTTCTTGTTTTTTGGCAAGTTCAAGTCAAACTACTCGAGTACTCTACTCACTAGGTACTGTGCTCTTTTGCTTACACCTAAAACACTTAAGGTTATACCGGTATCTTCGTAAATTTATAACTACCGGTACTTCTTCTCATATTATTTACGAGTACATCTATCCTGATAACGACATAGGAGCAACTCCACGAGGCTAGGTACCTATTCCCGCAAATCATCAGAGAAAAAGGTAGTCAATATCACCTTTTCATCGGGATTGAACATTGAATTGGGCATCGTCGTCCAACACCTTGTACGGAAGTAAAGACTTCACCATTCACCTGGCGCCAAAACGATGAACACAGTCCCGGATCAAAGTACCGCCCAAATAGCCAAGATGGAGAATACGATCCCTAATCAAACTGCTACCTCGATAGCTAAGATGGAGCAAAAGGATCTTCATCAGAGTGCTCCTCAGCATCTGAAAGATGTTTTCAAGCTTTACAAACAAACTGCTTATCCTACAGCTCAAGACTCTCACTCTACTCCTGGTATTACTGATCTTTGTAAGATTGGTCTACCCCGTCTAGATCTACCCGCAAAGGCTCGAAACATAGCTTTTAGAGATTTTATGATATCGGCTCCTCCCATCGAGTCAACGTCGGCCAAAACTCCTCGAAGACGGTGTTCAATTCAATCGTCAGATCATGAGCTGCCTTTGTCTGGATCACCCCTCGAAGGCTCATCGTATGGCTCGGAGGTCGTACCTGGTAGGAAAACATTTTCTTTTTTTCTTTTCCCTAGCACCGATTGCAATACCAGTCTACACTGTCTATGACACCTATCTGGAATTTTAAAGATTTAACTAGTTTGGGAGATTCCGTCCATCTGATAGATTCAATTCATTCAAGGAAATCAACTCATTTGAGAGAAATCAACCCATGTGGAAGACTCAAAGTCTGTCTATCTCACAAATCTATAATTCTTCAGATATCGAAACCACAATCCATATGAATATATATCTAGAAAGATGTCGTCTGAAAACTCAGGATAGACTGCTATGACTATCCCGAGGACGCTTACCTTTCTTTATACCTCAATTCTCGGGCCATCCATCTGAACACACTGGTTTTTCTTTCTGTATTTTTCTTCCCGAGCTCCCCAATTGCCCTCGACAAAGCATCTTCTAATCATGATCCAGGTCTCATCGTCTTCCCATCTCTCATCCCCCCAGAGGTTCAAGAAGAGTTGATCCGGCGAATAGTACACCGTGATCTTCGGGATCCAAAACATATGACAAATCTCCATGCCCATTATGATGTTGAATTCCCACCTTCTGAGACTGCTTCTGGGGAGTCCATTATCGCCAGGCCTAAAGATCCCACTGTGCACCCAAAAGCACTGAACTATCTGGAAGTTATGACGAAAAAGTTACGCTGGATTACTCTTGGAGGGCAATATGATTGGACAAAAAAAGCATATCCGGAAGAGGAGCCCCCACAATTTCCCAGTGACATTGCGAATCTCGTCGAAGGTCTTTTTCCTGATATGGAACCACAGGCAGCCATTGTCAATTTCTATTCTCCAAAAGATACTCTACAACTACATCGGGATGGTGCAGAGAGTGTCGATCGTGGCCTGGTCAGCATCAGCCTTGGTTGTGATTGTATCTTTATGATTGCCTTGGGCAATCCAAATTCTGATAAAGATCACATAGCCATTCGTCTCAAATCTGGCGATGTACTCTTTATGAAAGAAGAGTCTCGATTTGCATGGCATGGGGTTCCAAAGATAATTCCTGACACATGCCCAGAATATCTCACGCAGCTCAAATTGGATATGAAGAACTTCCCACAGTTTATGGTAGATAAGAGAATCAATTTAAATGTGCGACAAGTGCGAGAACGGAAGTCGGACCGTTGATTCGCCAATTTTATGTTAGCCCCTTATCAGGTCTAAAACACAATAGATAGTTTACGACTAGTAAAATACGACTAGTAATACGCGGCATATCCGATGACACACCCACACTACTCATATACTAATTCCTTATCATTTTGAACAGAAATTTCATATAAAAAGCTTTAACCCGCTGTGCTTGCATCGTTAACCACCATTTTCATTGTTTCATGGACCATACAATAATTGAAAAAATTATTATGGGCGGCAACGCAGATGTCTCCTCTCAATCACCATTGCCCATTATGGGCACTTGGGCGGCAACCCAACCAACAAAAACAGATATCTTGTGGTATATCCAGAATAAACACATTATACATTCACTCATTATCACGATCTCTCACATTAAGACGTACTGGCACGAGAAATTCTTCGACAAAAGTCAACAACTTCTTCCACGAACAATTATTCCGGAGTGGCAAGCTGTCGCCAAAAATAAGCGTGACTCGGTCAATGGATTAATCCCTGAGAAATGGCGCTTGGACTCGATACCCTCAGTTACTGAACAGAAAGATGTAACAGGCGACTACATTCAGCAATTTCTATCTACTAGAGAGATTGAGATTACTGAGACAGACGCTGTTGGAATAGTAGAGAAAACGATGAGCCGTGAATGGAAAGCAAGGGAGGTTTGTGAAGCTTTCTGTCACCGGGCATCATTAGCTCATCAATTGGTTGGTTATTGATGTTTCCATTTCCAACACGGATTCTAATGTTCTTTGTCTAGGTAAATTGTTTACATGAAATATTCTTTGAGGATGCTATCTTAGAAGCACAAAGACTGGATGATTATTTTACCGAGCATAAACAACCAATCGGTCCACTACATGGGCTACCAGTGAGCTTGAAAGACCAGTAAGTCCACTCCCTGATCCGTGGAAGTGAGTTTCTCATCAATCTTTAGGTTTCATGTCAAAGGTGTCGAAACATCGATGGGTTATGTAGGTTGGATCGGAACTTTTGAGGGGAAGAAAGGTACGGGAAAAGAGCGAGTGTTCGAGAGCGAAATGGTCAAAGAATTACGGAGTCTTGGTGCAATTATGTTTTGTAAAACAAGCGTTCCTCAAACTCTTTTGGCGGGTGAAACCGTTAACAATATAATGGGCACGACCGAGAATCCAAAGAACAGATTATTGGGACCAGGTGGAAGTTCGGGAGGTGAAGGTGCATTGATAGGGTTGAGGGGAAGTCCAGTAGGATTTGGTACGGATGTTGGAGGAAGTATCCGGATTCCAGCAGCTTTCAATGGTCTTTATGGTATCCGTCCTTCGGCAGGTAGAATGCCATACGAAGGCATGGCCAACAGTTTGGCCGGACAAAATACTATTTTATCTGTTGTGGGGCCTATTGCCACCACAGCTCGATCTTTGAAACTGGTCATGAAGAGCATCCTCAGTGCTCAACCTTGGCTACATGATCCATTAGTATGTGAAATACCATGGCGTGATGAACAAGAACAGATGGTTCTTGATATTATTCACTCCAATGGAGGTGGGCAATTGGCTTTTGGCGTCTTCAAATGCGATAGAGGGGTTGCTCCCCAGCCTCCCGTTGCTAGAGCCATTGACATTGTGGTCAATACTGTTAAGAGACTGGGACACAAGGTCATCGAAGTGAGTGGGACAAAATATCCAAACTACTATGAACAATGAAAAAACCAATTCCTATTCTTTCACCCCCATTTGCTAATCAGACCCGTAGTGGAACCCCCCTTCTCATCAACGAGGATGCGCCATAGGAGTAAGTCCTTCTACTCTCCACCCCCCCAGATCTCACCTAACAATTACCCAGAGCAAAGCATGGTCATTTGACGGAGGAAAAGATGGTATGTCCTCTCGCAATCTTCCAATTCTCCAGTCCCTCACATTGACATATCAAAGTTCACGAAGCCCTCGCACTCTCCGGCGAACCCATGATCCCACAAATCCAAGACCACTTCAGCATCCTCAAACCCCAAATGACCGGTTTCGACATCGCTGCCGTCAACGTCGCCAAAAGAGAATACCAGAAAGAATACATGGAATACTGGAACAGCACTGCCGAACTAACGGGGACCGGACGAGCCGTCGATGCCGTGATTACGCCGTTGGCTCCCATGCCTGCGAATCTTTCTATGACGTTTGATTATATAGGTATGTTGTGTGGAGGATTCGGCATCACTTACAATACATGTGGCTGATTCTCATATCATATAGCATACTCGACATTTGTCAATCTTCTCGATTATAGCGCGGCGATCCTACCGGTTACGACGGTGGATAAGAGGATTGATGTTTTCAATTACGATTACGAGCCCTTGAATGCGGAAGATGAGAAGGTTTGGAAATGCTGTGAGTGGAATGTCTCGTTGTCTTTCGTCATTTATCTTTTATTTCTTTATTTTATTTTTATTTTGAAGGTTTAAGTGCTTGGCATGGGAATTGAATGGACAAAGAAAAAAGCAAATCTAATGCGAAAATCAGATGACCCGGAAATCTATGATGGCGCGCATGTTTCGGTGCAGATTGTGGGGAGGAGGTTTCAGGAGGAAAAGGTCTTGGCTATTACGGGGATGTTGGGGGAGGCGTTAGGGATGGAGAGATAGGTAGAGGGGATAAAGGGAAGAAATCAGTCTAGGATGGGGAATAGGCATTTTGGTATTTATGCGGTACTGCAAAGTTTAGGTTCGGTATTTGTTCATTAGAGAGATAGATACCAGATAGTTTTTGTTTTTGTTTTTCTTTTTGGAGTACAGTATGGGAGTTAGGTTGGGTTGAGCATGTATAATATGGATTTTCTGTCTACTCGAGTAATACTCAAATAATTGAATCATTGAGTTCCGAATCGTTTTTGAAGAGATCATATCACATGGTGTATGGCTAGTCTTGTGTTTCAAAGTTGATCGTGTGCCTCGCTCGGTGAGTCATAGATAAATTACAAAAAGAACTAATTTTAAGCTCTTAGTCTAAAGCTAAAGCCAAGGAGCTTTTTAATCGGTAGTTTTATCTCCTTTAGTCTAGCTAGTTAGTTAATTAGTTAGCTAGTTAGGATCTAAAATCGCTTGGTCCCTGAATGCATTAATTAGCTGTTAGCTAATCGACCGAGCAGACTTAGACTATATTTATTAAGCTTAAATTACCCACTTATAAAAGCTCTGACTTAATAAAAGTCTTCATAATCAGCTCCACTTCTTAACTCAATCTTGCATAACATGTCCACATCCACTCTCCAGCCACACTGACTACCCCACCCACTCATGCCTGTAGCAAAAAGAAGTTGGTCGGTTGGTCGGTCAGCAACCTCAACCCTAGATTGGGAAATATTATATTGAAATAAAAAAACCCCCAAAATAACAAAATATTATTTCCGAATCCGGGAATCGAACCCGGGGCTACTCGGATCATTAATCAACTACAGAGTAGATGATGTTTGAAAGCGAGTTATGTTAACCCCTACACTAATTCGGATGTTGTTATTGTTTGATGGATGAATCTGAGTAAAAGAATCATATAATAGAGGGGCAGCAGCTGGAGAAAGGGTGGAAAGGGTGGGAGAAGGAATGAGGGATCGCATGGTAAGATTATTGGTAGATGCGTTGGTTATGTGGAGAAACTGGTGTCTATTACCTTGGGTGCGTTGGTAACTAGAGAACAAATCACGAAATTAGTGTTTGTTGATTTTATATCCAATAAAATATCTACATAATTAATAGGTTCTAATGGTCCGGATTGCGGTATAGATTCCTAAACTTTTGGTAACCGAATAGTTGTTAGTCTTTGTTGGTGAACCGATGGCCTGGTAGATTGAAGTTGAAGAGATTCATTATTTAAAGGCGATTCAAGAATCAGGAACTATTTATCTTTGCACTGCCGTTCGGACTATTGGAATCCTTGCGATACATCTCGACTTGTATTGATACTAAATACCCGTCTCATGCAGAGAGTCTACCTCTCGTTCCCTCTAACGGTAAACTATCTCCTCCATCCACTCTATGATACACACCTCGTCTCCCAATAAATACGTCTTTCAAATTATCCACAAATCCAATATCATACAAATTTTCAATGTCCCTTAAACTCCAAACCCTTTCCCATTCGCCATGTCCAATATCTCCTACGGGGTTTTGTCCATCCGCTGTACGCAAAACAATTTGTTGACTTTCTGCCGGCCAATGCGTCCATGGTGGTTCTATTCGTAAGTTTTTCTCTCGATTTTCGGGAAGGCAACGTTTGAAAACATAGCCTTCGGACATTTCAAGACCCCAGTCGGACCATTTCATACTTTCGTTGGTGGTGGTACCGCACCAGATCAGATAAATATGATACGAGAAGAGACCGTAGACTAATGGGGTGATGAGGAAACAGAGAAGCGTTATGGAACCAATCCGAGTATGTTCTTGGAGAGACCATCCCCAAATTGAAAAGTAACGAGACCAGGTAAAACCGATTCCAGCAAAGGACCAATCCGGGTATTCTGCTGTGATGAAGGTGGAAAGAATAGAATTACCAACGTACACAGCATAAGTGGTTAAATTTCCAGTGGTAAGAAGCAAGAGGAGAAACCAGTGTTGGTTGTTGTAACCAACGCAACTATTGATGAAAATGCAGTGGTGATCACATTTTGCGATACAACGTTTACAAACATGACAATGCTTGGACCGGGCGGGTTTGAGTAAATGACAGGTTCGACAAGAGTTACCGGGATGAAAAATAGTGTAGTCGTAAGGATAAATACTCATTTGATCGACGTGGTTTGAAGGTGTGATATAGCCTGGATCACGAGATGCTGCTAGATAGAGGAAACCATATGGTAATATCAAAGCGATAACTGCCTTTATTTTGCGAGAAGTGCTCATAAATGGCCATGCTGGAGGTAAGAACATAATTTCGGCTATGGCAAGGAGGAGAATAAAAAATATCTGAGGTTTGTTAGTATGAACAAGGGGCTTTCTACTCCTGCGATAGAGAGTCCGACGGCATACCATGAGCCACACGGATATCATATAGTGGACTCACTGTTAGACGGAATGAGACACAAATCAAAAGAAAGGTAATCTTACCATAACGACGGGATGGCGGTCATTCCATAATGTATGAGCAAGTCTTCCTACTGAAGCACTGAGACGACCATTGGTCAACCTCTTATCTACAGCTTTGAAGCCACGAGGAATATGAACCCATATCACTCGATGTAAACTACCTATGGGTGTATTCCTTTCAAATTGTAAGTATATGGAAATTAAGGGAAATTATGAGAATGAATACCTTAATGCTGGAAGTCTACCGAAGAAAGCAACGAATGTAAAAAAGGAAAGAACTAGAACGGCTATGGCCACATTTTGAACGGTCCCCATGTTTTAATGAAATGCGGTTGTTTTCTAATGACAATATGCTCATGAACACCTAGTTGCATGAATGTCAGATACAAGAAAGTCAATACTTCGTACAGTCTAGAAAATCATGATATTGAAGATTATGTGAGCACAAGAATTACGAACCGCGTTGTCGGTGCTTTGTTTTTGCCAAGCCCGACATTTTCGAGAGTCAGCTGACCTCGCGACCGGAATTTTGAAGCTTCTGGGCGCGTCAAAGTCCATGTCCATCCAACATCACCTAACCTAGGATGGATAAACTTCATTCATACCACAACGCTTCTATGAAGTTTCCTTAACAAGGCCAACACATGGTCCAAGATGAATCAACTACTCTTTTGAAATCTTTCACTGACAAAGTTCCTTCACTATTGACGTTGGAACCGACTTGCGACCGACCGACCTCCAGTCGCAAGAGCCAAAATCATGGCTTCGATCGTTTATGATGGCGTTGGTGGTGGTGGAACTCTTTTTGCGGGCATGAAGTTTTTTATTCTTCAACGGGTTCCTATGCGCCCCAGATGGATAGAGTTAATTCAGGTAGGATTGTCTTTAGAATGGAAGAAAAGGTAATATGCTGACTTTGCGATAGTCGAACGGGGGTGAAGTAACAAAATTCGAAAAGAAGGCCGATATCTTGATCGCGGATGGTGCACGAAAAGATGTACCCCCAGGGTCTGTTTCATGGAATTTTATTGAGGAATCTGCGAAAGCTGGTAAATTGGTAGACATTGAAAAACATCGATGTGGAGCACCAGCAGGCACGATTAGAGAGCAAGGATCCGCACAGCCTGCGAAAACTACGCGCACACCTTATACAGCCGAAGATGACCGTTTATTGACCAAATGGGTCTTGAAAGCAGAGCGAATGGGACGTTCTACCAAGGGTAACCAAATATACATGGAATTTGAGACGCTGGTATGGACATCATCTTAATTTTTGGACATATAGGCGGGATATTAGATTGACATTTATTACAGTATCCTCGTCATACATTTCAATCTTGGCTAGATCACTGGAAGAAGGTTCTTCTCCCTCGCCATGAGGCCGGACGGCTGCACTACGAGATCGAGGATGGTGACTCTCCATCCCCCGAAAGACAACCAAAATCTAGTAGAAGGGAGCCGGTCAAGCCTCCTGCGACAAAGGTCTCTCACGATCGTGTCCAACCTAGTGCACCAAAAAAAAGATCTCCGGTTCCTGCCTCATCATCTCCCCCAAAACATTCAAGCTCCCGACTACCTCAACCGGCACTTTCACAAGCTCCATCCCCTGAGGGAAGAATGCGGAAGATTATAGCCGGGCGACCTTTTACAGAGGAAGATGATAGTCTTCTCCGAGGAGAGTTTGTTGGAATTCACAACCTTGATCCGAACAAAGAGATTGAGGCTTGGGAGACTTGGGCTGAATTGGTAAGTTCAACTTTTGTAATCTGTATGTGATTTCGCTGATGTAAAGGTATGCAGCAGGGATATCATACCGCCCAAGAATGGCGAAATTATTTCTATGATACGTTTTCCCCTAAAGAATTAAAAGCCAGGGAAAAGAAATTACAGGCAAAAAACAAGCCTGCACTATCTACCGCTAGTCGGCAAAAATCTAGTTCTCTAAAGGACGAATATATCAGACCATCCATGCGAACAAAGCATTCTATCTATAAGGCTGATGAATCTTCATTGACAGACGCTGTCAGAAGTCCCATTGCACCTCCCACCAATGCTAGATCAAGTGTCAACCATGAAACAAAGGCACGAGAAGCAGAATCACGGAAAATTGATTTGGAAAAAAGACCTTATACAAATTCTCTTTTAAAGGAAGAGGACTATTTCACGTATACACTAAAGGACTTCTCGGGGTCAATCGGTTTTGAACCGGGTGACCTAAACTTATCTCCCAAAATTCGCGGAAAAGAAATATCCATCTTCAAGCTTTGGCAGATTGTTATGTTATTTGGTGGATTTAAGAAGACGAATGCTGGAAACCGATGGCAAGAGATAGCCGATAGGTTAGGCTTTCCCATTGCCAAACGTGCCAAGGCTGCTGAAGATTTAAAGAATTGTTATGACGAAATCCTGCACGAATTTGAAATAGCAATTGCTGAGGCTGAGAATGATACTGACAATCCCGAATTCACGGCCTCTCAAGAGGAAACTATGATAGCTTCACAGCTTGAAGATACGATTTCACGCGGTGTTCAAAAAGCTTTCGGCCATGAAGGAGAATCGGAGGTTGACGATGAAGATCTGGATTTACCACCGCCATTGACCCAATCTAAGCAACAGTCCACTATATCAACCAAGAAACGCGCCATTGATTCTGATAACATGTCGAACCACAGCGGATCATCTGCAACCAAAGGTGAACCCCAAACTAAGCGTCGAAAAGTTGATAAGGGCAAAGGTAAAGAAGTGGAAATCCCATCTACCCCAGAACACATTTTCAATGCTACACAACTACCTGCCAACCATCAGTCATCTCCACTCAAACATAAGTCATCGCCACTCAAATCTCAGTTTGGTGAAGGTGACGGCTTAAGCAGTAGCGATCATGAAGCTCGAGAAAGAGTTCGCCGTATCCAGCAAGATAATCCAAAAGGATCATCTCGGAAAGTTTCAGCAAAAAATCCTATACTTGAACCAGAGACGCAAGACTTTCATTACACAGACATTGACGATGAAGTCTCGAAAGCATCTCCCACTCCAGCTCCGAAGAAAATAACCACAGCTCCTGTCATAGATTTAAGTGGAGATTTACCTACAGAGTCAGAACCAGAACCAGAATCAGAGTCGCAAAACTTTGTAGAAGTTGAGATCAATAAATATATTGCCCTCGGCTACTCTGAACAAATCATATTTGAAGCTATCAATGTAACGACATATGTATTCGAGCTTGCAAGCGTGGTTATGGAACAATTGAAAATGGGGCACTCTATACCGGATAATATGGTTGGCGTTTGGACTGAAAGGGACGATGAAGCGTTGTTTCAAAATAAAGGGGCAGAGTACGAGAGAATAAGGATGAAACATGGCGATGACAGGATTGCTGCGAGACGAGATTTTAAAGAATCCATGAGGGACATCGAGGAAGTGTGACACAGTGGAGAAATCATATCGAGATTATTGAACAGAGTGGGGCGCCGCAAATACAAAACTATAGGGAGTGCAGTGCGATGGATGAGATACGATCTCGTGCTTTCTTTTGATCTGTCTTTGGGTTGGGGAGCATAGTTCCTTCAGCGTGCGATACCCATAGAATCGAGCATTGTAGTGCAGGCGAATGGCTATTTTTATGGTATCCAAGATCTTTTTGGGAACACTATTACTACTCTCTCTTATCTTTAATCATAATTCAGGTCATATGATATTACAATGGCAGTAGGCATTAGGCATTATAATCTGATAAAGTCCCATATCTATAGATTGACGCTGTACTGTTCTTTATCTTTATCCAACGGATTTGCATCGCGGAAGCGGCTGCGTGAAACATGATAGATAGATAGTCTGCGATTTGTAGGAGTGGTTTTTAGGAACATAAGTTTGATACTTCAATATTCAGTAAATCAGATTGAATAAAAGCCAATAAAAAGGATCAATCGCTTACATAAACGATTAAGGTTAGCAACGACAAGGGTGTGACGATGGGGTTAAATTGTATATGAGGTATAGAATTCATAATAATGGAACGGTAGGTAAGGCAGGGAGGGCTTGGGAGTGAGAGGGTAGCCATCGATATTGAAGGACTATTTTAGCTTCAAACTCTGAAATCTTAATACAATCTCAATACATGCTTTTCAATGGACGCTAGCAAAATTGCCCTATTTCTTTGTACTGTACGTACAAGGAGTTCCTTATCCTGTATAAGGAAAAGGCCGGTATGAGGTGCCCATAGGGAAGTGGTACATCTATGGGGATCGCATTTCTTAAATTATAATCTTACTGTAGGATTCAGTGGAGAGGAAAGGGATAGCGAAGGGAGCGGGTAAGGGAGGAGGTCATATTATTGAGGATGTTTATTTGGCTGTGGGATTTATCGCAATTTTACAAGGGAAGAAAGTAGTGCCTTGGAGAAAATCAAGGAGATTCTTTTGATGTATGCTTTATTCACATAGCAGTTAATAGCTATGTCTTGTTTGTTTATAATAAGACAAGCATATTGCTAAAGATTACTGGATAATAGTCCCAAGACTAATCCCAAAATTAGTCCCGAAAATCGAAAGTTTGTAGGTTGCAGAATGATCCTTCCATCTATCCATCCATCCATCTGATCTACAACGAAACCAAGAAAAAGACAAACAAACTACCACTACCACAACTATCTATATCCGTACCCCCTACCACGATATACAACAGAGATCTTATAGTCCTCTGATAGGTAGATAGAAGAACAGATACCCTGGTATTGATATGCAACAAATCTTTTTATATAGAAAGAGCAACTGTGGTTGGATCGCTATCACTACACTTTGGTAATTAGCTATGGGGGAAAACAACATATTGACGCTACAGAGATACAACAAGGGGGTGCCTGGATACGGTGTGCAACACAAATCCTTTGAAGTTGAAAAATCGGTTGTAGTTATTGGGAAAGTACGAACTGCTTCACTCCCGAGGCTCAAAGATTACTTAAAGTTTCTACACTACCCGAACTGTGACAAGGGTTTCCTAGATGCAACATACAACAAAAAGATGTTTGATCTGAAAGAAGAGATGTGCTTGCCAGTGGTAGGAATATGAGAATAACGTCGCTCTGGTAAACTAATCAAGAAATAAAATTTCTATTCTAGAGAGCAGGGCACCTATTTAAGTTGAACAAGATACCCAACTACAATAGCAATGAAAGAGTAGTAGCTGTGGTTAGCGAGAAACTACATTAATTTCACCAGTGTGGAAGAGAAAGACGCTAGAGAGTTTCAACAAGGGGTTCCCTAGATACGATATGCAACAATTAAGAAGAGAAGGATATTATTTGGCTCATTGATGAAAAAGAAACAAAGGAGAGAAGTGTATAGCTATTTTTGGCAGTGTAAAGGAAGGAAGTTTGGAAGTTAGCATGGGCCTTGGTATTTGAGATGTGCAACATATTGACTTTGAGAGTGTGATGATGTGAAAGGATTGAATGATGAAATCAAGTCAATATCTCCAGCCGAAACCACTTGACCAATTTACAAACCGAATATAGTTGATTGGCTCAAGACAGCATTTTGCCTGTGACTGATTGTCCAGAGATATCCTGGACTCTTGTACATCTGATTGGGGGAAAATTACTCAGGAAAGGCTTGGCAACTATCCAAACCTTTGATTTCTGGGGTTAAGAGTTCCTGCTGTTTTTGAGGAGAACCGTGGTTAGTGGTAAATCTGAGAGGAAGAGGATATTATTTGTATGAGCTATGGGGGATTGAATTTCCCCCTGTCACTATTATCTCTTGAGTTGAATCTAATTCTTATGAGCCGACAGACTGTCATATATGGGTTTGAGAGATGCCCATCTGGGTTTCTTGAGAATTGATTTAACTTGACTCATGATAGAGTTTCCAGAGCTGTGGCAAGGTTTCCGAGAGTTTGCCCTAACAGTCACTCCTCTGAAAAGAGATAAGCTTATGACCCAATGACTAAAATGTGCAGAGAAGAGTTGAGTGCCGATACTAGCATGTTTGTCTCGAAAGAGAAGGAAATTCTGAGGTTAACTTTCAATCTCAGAACTAAATATGCTTAAACACAGCATGGTTGAATTGGCCAATGTGGAAGGAAACGACATGGAAACAACATTCTAACAATGTGAAGCCAAAAGAAAGACAAACTGGAAGGAAACAATGTGAATGAAACATGCAGGACCAAAAAGGTGCCTCCTACTTGAAGAAGGAACAAAAGACAGTATTTTCAAACACAGGCACATAAATTTAAGAATGACAAAGGTCAAAAGAAGTAGAAGTAACTATCTTGCATGGCATTAGACCTTTTGCCAAGCATGTCTTTGACAATCTTTGATTTCCTTACACTGTACAATCATACAATGAAGGGGCAGCAGTTTATATTAGCCATGATATGATGTCCACGGTGTCAGCCCTTGTAGAACATCCTTTCCTTCCTTGCAATCACTACCTCAAGCATTTATTGCCCTTTTTCACGTCAACAAGCTCCACTGGAAGAATCTCATGCTACAATTGGCATACAAGACAGTATTGGTACTGTATCTCCGTAAATGGAATGCGAATGATGATGATCCGGGAAATTGGTCCTCCTGCCTCCGGAGTACACTTATGTTAATGGAATATATGTATTTTGCACCAATACCACAAAGTCGATGCTCAGACAGAGTTTCCGAACCCTGAACAGAATGAGTTTTTTTGGTTGAAAGTTCTATGTTGTGGATGACAATCCTCAGACTAGCCTGAAGTAGTTAGTCAGAGTTTAATAACACAGTTTCAACTTGGTGGTTCGACCTTGATCCCCACATCATTTGTGAGTCCTTACAATAAAGATGGTGGGAATGGATTGATATTAATTGTCAGTACAAAAAGCAAAGTTTCTTGATACAATCTTGATCGGAGGGCTTGATATATGAGCTCTTTGCTTCTACATCCCTTTCAAACTTCGTTGATACCAAGTCCATCAAGTCTGCATTGCTCGGCCCTGGATTATTCAACAGGTACCATCGTCTTACTGTTGTAACGCGATATCTCAATAGCAGTGGGGTACCGATTCTCCCTACGAAGAGCACCGACTGCTGAATATCCCCAACTCACAAGTTTGAGAACGATCAAGAGGTGCTCTTCCAAGATTTGGGTAAAAGCTAGAGACCTGGGATATACCTATAGCAATGGCTCTATTCATCGATATTAATGACATGGGGATATGGTACTCGAGTACATATACGTCGATTGCTGATTATCTCTTTACCGTCACGATTCTCCCTATTTCTGATGCAAAATGATGTCTTATTTCGATACCGATCAGTCCTTTTGCACGAAGATTCAGTTTGATCTTCAGCAGTCAGCTAGTGCTGATACAATATTTATGATATCTTAAGTGGGTCAATTCATCTGGGTCTTTAAATAACCCGCCTGCACCAGAGATCATCCCTGTTTATTCCCTGCCAGTTTACTGTTATCAACGGGTCCTTGAACGATCATTAGTTTGATCGGGGATTTTTACATACATCTGCAGTGAGACTAACCAACCAGACAAGAGCCGCACGCACCACTTTGATGTCGCTACGTTCTTCAGCGTGCAAAATATGGCAAGGTGTGAAAGGGGCCCTGTATCCCATGTGCCAGAGTGCCAATACAAACGCTCTCCCTGTTGACCCGCTCGCCCTAAGCCTCGTAAAGTGGAGGTAGTGGATCTGTGGTAGCCGTTGTGAACAGGGTCAAGAGTGGAGGGGTCAAGAGCTAACAATTTGTGGCATTACTTGGACAACAAAACGGATGACACTGCCACCATGATTTTTTGGATGGTTTTCCAACTTTTGCTTTCCGACTCTGCAAATCTATGAACCTAAGAACGTGGTGCGATCACATATCACAGTTCCAAGCAAGATGTCGACAACGACGAGCGCCTCAACAACATCTATAACCTCAGCGCCGAGTAGTCTTGTGGGCCCATTGACCACGACGTACACACCTCCTGGCTCCGATTGTAGTCAGATTTTCTGGGCTCAAAATCCACTCCATCAATGGTTGGCTCAAGGGGGCATTGGTAGTGGAAGTTCGACTTGTATGCCAAGCGGATACCGACGTCAAACAGCATGTAAGTTCTCGAATCCATTCTAGTCTTCAGCTTTCCTCGCCAATTAGCCATTCAATACGGTCAAATATTATTGATTACAATTTACTGGTCGTGTATCTAAACACTTCTTGACCTCTTGTGGAGCGGACTATGCGATTTTAGCATCGGCGAGCAGTATTTGCTGACATATATTAGATTATTATTCGCCAGGAATTTGCCCAACTGGTTACAGTGCCGCCTGCTCGTCGTTTTCCACAGGTTCAAGTCTTAGCAAAACCGTTGCAACTTGTTGTCCCACGTATGTAGCTCGTTGAGTAAGCATTTCAACTCAAACGAAAAAGGAAGCTAACGAAGAGTCGCAGAGGCTATACATGTTTTGCGAATAGGCCCGCGGATGAAATATATGGCTGTACATCATATTTTTCGGATAATGAAACCCTATCCATCAATAGCGTATCATTTGATACTGTTACCGCCGCCAGTACAACCTCCTATCCCATCATGTACGCCAGCACGACAGTAATGGTCACATCGGGAGTTGATTTTGTAGGAGCATATGGTATAATTATAGAGAGAGCTACGGACGATCCTACGTGGGAATCAAGCACAACGTCATCTTCTACATCTTCGTCAACCGCATCACCAATTGCAAGTGGGTCAACCACACTCGTTTCCGCCACTTCGTCTTCAAGTGGCATTTCCTCAGCATCCACATCCACATACATATCATCACCGAGAACGGGACTAACTACCGGCGCCAGAGCCGGTGTTGGCGTAGGAGTCGCCTTCGGTATTATACTCATTTGCACGGGCGCTTTCCTCCTGTGTAAAAGGCTCCGAAAACGTCCCCAAGGATCGCAACCTATTCCTATAGTCGACATCGGCGCACAATCGCAATATTATGATAAATATAACGATGGCCCCCAGTATAATGTTCCTCAGTATGTGGCGGAAGCTCCAGCTACAACGGTATATCAACGGGGAGAAGAGCTACACGGGAATCCGATATCATATGAGATGCCGGGGAGTTCGACACCGGGGAAATAGACCCAGGCTTGGAAGGATGGCGGGTTTGGCTTGGGAGCATGGGTGTAATGAATGGATTTTATGCAGTGCTGGGAAATCACGCACGTCGGGCGATTTCAAATTTTGGCGGAGGTTTGACTCGTCAGAATATTGTTGTACGATATTTTATGGGTAAATTTGGGTAGTATCCATAGATGACTACCGGGTGCCCAATTGTTTTGATGTAAATATATACCTGAATTTTCTTTTTAATGATAGAAAATAAAGAGATTCAGAATCTATTAGATAATTTACTAAAATTAAATCTATATAATATATGATATAGACACTCAAAAAGTTTTTGATAAGAAAAAACCATTCATTATAAGCCAGTAGAATAAATAAATAAACGTTATCTTCCTAACCAGTTAATACGGTATATAAAAAGTTTAAGGATGGTTAGCGTTTGTGTATTAAGAGCTGGACTGTGGGTTGTGATTTTTGTTCACCGCCCTGGGCAATAGTGGAATAACTATGATCCGAAGTCCCTGCCCAATTGACACAACCACCGGCATTTTCTCTTCATACATTCAATCTGCCCCAATGCGGCGGCAAACTTCTATTCCCACCGCGGTACGGTTATGGCCAAAGCCTTGGGTTGGCTGCAGAGCTCCAACACATACCACACAATGCCCTTCCACACGCATTTTTCGGCGCCACTTCTATTTTCCTTCAACGGCTCCCAAATATCCAATGTGGACTGTGGGGAAAGCCCCGCCACCCAGGGGGCCTCAACACTTCGCTGTTTTTTATCCTTTCCTCTTTCCAATCCCACGAACGGAAGTACTCTATTGGGCAGTCAATGCGGGCCATGAAAAGTTTTTGAGAGCTTTCATCTACATAATTGAAGTTGGTTTTCTTGGATACTTAGCATATCTCAGCTGGGAACATAGAAGGAATGGCCAAATTTTGAGCCCCTTCGATTCTCCTAGATTCACCAGATTCACCATAGTTTCCGAGGAAAATGTCTCATCGACGAGTAAAGTTCTGACGATACGACCCAAGACAAGTTTAAAATCAGATCCTTATGCGGTATATTGGGAGAATGGTCTCTGGTCGGTGGAATTTAAGCAGCCATTGTTACAAATCGCACGATCGTATACGCCATTACCGCCTGACGAAAACGTCGCGATGGGAGACCTTCGTTTCTTGATACGAAAAGAACCAAATGGAGAAATGTCGAATTATTTGTTTGGACTGCAGGTCAATTCCGAGATTGAGCTTCGAGGCCCTCATGTCGAATTTGACTTGCCACAAAATGTGGAAGAAGTTGTTTTCCTGGCAGGTGGAACGGGAATTGCTCCTGCTTTGCAAGTTGTTCACACCTTGCTGGAAGCCCGAAAATCGGATGGCAAACGACCACAGATGCGTATTATATGGGCAAATAGGAAACGGGAAGATTGTATGGGGGGCGAAAAACATACACATGATTCGGGGCTGGATACAGTCACAGCAGAATGCCTTGGGTCCATCGTGCAGCGGTTGCAAATGCTCCAGCAAAAATACCCGGAAAGCCTCCAAGTAGATTATGTTGTGGATGAGGAGGGAAGATTTATTGATCAAAGGATGATATTACAAGCCACACACTCCACTTCAGAAGTAAAGTCTGGACCGGTCACAACCAAAAGCGATGCGAAGTTATTTTTCGTATCAGGACCCGAAGGTTTCACAAATCACTTTGCCGGACCAAAAAAGTGGTGGAATGGCAGACAAGATCAGGGAGACCTTGGCGGAGTCCTTGGTCGTATGGGTCTCAAGGGTTGGAAGGTCTTCAAGCTCTGAATGCAAAAGTGTGGGATTGTCGAAAGCTACAATCATGACCATAACACCTGCGAGACCGTGGTTCATTGTATAACATGCATACGTGCGATATAGATTATCGTAATCCTCTCTTGCCTGATGGTGATCAACTACGCAAATGCGATTCGAAAATTGATCCTGCGGTTTGTGTGAAGAGGAGTAACTCCATCATCTTTCCAAGATCAAAGGCAAGAAGATATAAAGAAAGTGGTTCAACTTGTAGAACAAACCGGAAAACTTGTAGTTTGGGTGACGCTAGGACATAGTTGTTCCAGTGCACTGTATATTGATGTATGGTATGTATAGCGCTGCCAATCGGAGTTCCAGCATGTACCGGAGAGTCCAGGGTTGAACAGTAGCCATGGCCGAATCAGGATAGTAGCCTGATGTTGTTGTACAGGAGTTGTTATCTTCTACAGGAGTGCAGGTTTGGCACGACGGAGGATTGGCGATGGTTGGCCCGAGAAATATCGTTGGCGTGATATCACTACCAGGGATGGAGCTGTAGGGGTAAAGGATGTTGAAGGTGCCGATAGCAAAGGTAATGTTCTCGCTTCCATTACATGTGAATACGTGGGTACCTGAGTCAGAATCCTATTTCTGCATTGAATATGGAGGCGCTGGCGTAGTCGCACTGGCGAATTGAATTGTATTTCGAAGCACCATGGATATGGGTTACTGAAACGAAATCCTCGACATGGACGCTGAAATTATAAAGTATGAAAGCTAAAAGCTTTAGTGAACGTATAGCTGGGATTGTAGGAAGTAGCAAGATTTGCCAATAAAAAGGTAATATGGTATGAATGTTCCGTTCCAAAACATGCATTGCACGAGAAATACCACCCAGAACCCAAATGAACCCCTCCAAAATCTCAAGTTATCCTAATACCCAAATCTCACCCAGGACCCCAAATAATCCCCCCCCCCCTCTTCAAAAGCTTCCAGATCTCCCCACCAACCCACGAACCCAAACTTTTCAACCACCCCCCCAAAACCTTCACCAGCTTCAGAAGACCACGAGCACCCCATCCAACTAGACTTTTCAGCCACCCACCCAAAACCATCACCAGCTTCAGAAATCCACGAGCACCCCATCCAACTAGACTTTCCAGCCAGCCACCCAAAACTTTCACAGTGACCCATCCAGCCCTAAGTATCCCCGCATAATTATACAGAGCACACACAACAACCGCACACAAGCACAACTTTTTCCAAGGAGTGTTCTCCCCCATACATACCATTCCCTCGAGAAACTTTCGAGCACCTCGCGACCAAGGACCAGGACCATGACCAGAACCAGGACCATGACCAGAACCAGGACCAAGACCATTTCTTGCGCTGTTTCTCCAAAGCCCGTTTTCGAGATCTCGTGCTCGTGTTCGCGAATACGAATACTCGTGCTCTCTGCGGCGTAGAGCAGCGTCTCTTTGAATCCGATTGGCTGTTTCTAGTCTTTCTAGCGTGGCTCTTTGGATCGGATCTTCGGGGTAGAGCTGAGAGATGTGGGCGTGGGCGTGGGTTTGGGGGGGTGGTAGGGTAAATGCTCTGCGTAATGCTTCGTGGTCTGGATCGTACTGCTGTGATATTGAAGATTGGAATAATGAAGCTTGAGGAATTATATAAGTATTTTGTAGATCATGATGTATAAGTCGTGTTTCCGGAATCTCACTCTCACTCTCACTTTCGGGAGAATGTCCCAGTGTTTCTGGACGAATGGCGTTGGTGGAAATTTCATCGATTGCCAGTCTGGTGCAAATAGTTGGTCCAAATTGCTTCACAACACTCGTTTTCTCGTATGTAGCTGCCTTTAAACCCAAGATACTCATCAAATATATATAGCTCGGTTTCGAAAGCCTCCGTTCGTATGCGCGTATGTCTCTTTTGATAGGTCTCAAGAGTAATGGGGAGATTAGGAAAACATGCTCTATATCGATATAAGATTGCCTAAACATTTTTCCATTTTCGAAATGTAATCCGTTGTGCTTGTCTGGTGGTAGTGCCGAAGGCTCTTGTGAGATTATGATACGAGTGCTAGCATGTCTATCAATCCCCTTCTTCGAGGTTAACTGCCCGTAATTGTTAGCAGAAAACAAGGGTATTGGTGTTTAGCATAGCTGGGATGTCACCATAGCCACATAGCATTTGACGTCTCCATTATCCAGTCGAAATATATCCAAGATCGCGAAAAAGTGCACATAACCCTCTTTATTCAATTCGAAGTTGCAGTCAGGCAGAATGCACTTGACGCTTTCACTCCCTTCCACCTGTTCTGGCAGCCATACAATACATCCAATACTAAGCTTTTTGTTCATCACATATTTCAGTGAGGCCTGTTCATTGTGTGCCGAAATTTCTGTTCGAGAAGTGGTAGATCTCTCCCAGTGTCTAATGGGAGCCATTTGTATAGACAGCACTTCACGCTATTTGAAAATACCCGATTCTTTCGGTCAACAAATTGCAAAGGAAGATAAGTGTCATAGATGAAAGAAAACATAAGAGAAACGGCGCCATGATATAATATGTTTGATATCCTCTCGAATCTCCACGATGCTGTTCAGCTTTGTGTGTGTGCCAGCACATGATATCGGGCACTAACAGCCAATAGAACCCTGTGCCACAACGACGAGGTTACATTCAAGTACAGCGCCTACAACTTTCCACAGGAAAGCGTCATAGCGCACCAAAGAAGAGTTGATGCACCTTGGGATTGGGTGCAGAAAAATTTCCAATAGTTGGGATATGCAGGTATATCTCCAACAAGTTCAGCTGTAGCTGGAGTGGTAGGGCTTTGAAACAAATAGAATGTAACGCATATTAGGGCAAGGCAGAATGATAGGGATGGCCACGATTGCCCCATGTGTCTTATAAGTCATGAAAAAACTCATCACTATATGGTCTCGAGTTGTATACCTTCATGTCCTATAGAAATAAATCAGCCTCATCCATAGCTTACCATCCAACCCCAACCCATCGCCACCAATACCCTGTCAAAAACATCCATATCATTCTCACTCCCCTGCAATAACCCCTTGCTAATAAATCCACTCATAAATCCCCCAAGCCGACCAATTCGTAGATCAGCAGCACTGTCATACCGATATATATTTCAACAACAACACCTCCTCCACCACCTCTACCACAAGAAAATCTTCCCATCAACGACTACCGTATAATCAAAGACGATACCGGTATACGATTACTTAGTAATATTTTGAAAGAGGCCCACTTAGCCTTCGTTGCAACATCTATAAGAATGAATTTGCAGAATCGAGTTTGAGTGTGAGTGTGAGTTTTGAGTTTAAGTTTGTTTTGACTCCATGGGTTTACCGAGGTTACATATTAATTTTATTGTGACACTATGTACTTGTATACTCGAGTTAGTTCAACAATTAGTCTAGGAGTATATACACTGTACAGATAATCAAATGGAGTCGAAATCGACGAGAATCGTATACCGCTACAGTATGAACATCTGATTCTAGAAACTCGAAATAATATACAAGATAAGATAATAATGAGATAATCAAGGTCGGAGGATACGTACTAGGTGAGTTCAATGCTGTAATTTATGGCACATGAAATGAGTTCATAACCGCCAACTATGCTATTCGAGGTATTATGATAGTGAAACTGTTATACTGTGAATATTAAACTCAATATACAATAAACATCACGAAAATGCTCATACCATCCATCCATCCATCCATCCTTCTATGCACCCCAGCCCATTCCAAGTTCCAGCCCATAAAATCCCATATATTCATGTGTCGCCAACATCATATCATACCATGCCCATGCCATGCCATTCAATTCTATTTACAAAACCTTAACCCTCGTCCACTCACTAACCGACCCCCCAAATTCAACCCCATCTTCGCCCACCACCTCCTAACCTCCAACTCTTCACCCTCATTCCCCACACTATCTTCGAGCGCCTCCTCAATATCACAAGTCTTATATTCGACTCTTCCACCCGGCCGTCCATCCGATCTTTGACTCAGATTTGCCCACCATTCCAGAACTTCTACATGACCGTTTTTCGTAGGACCCACTAGAACCTGACTATCAAAGGCGAGTTTCTCGCCCTTGAGTTCGCGCCACGTGTCTAAACACGTAACATGACCATGAGCCGACGCGACTTTGGCTACGGATTCAGAGTGTGCGACTGGAATACCGGAATTATCCCACCAGCGAAGAACGAGATCTTTATTGTTTTGCGCAGCGGCTAAAAGTGCTTTACCAGGTTTGAGTTGTAGAGCCGGCAGGACATCGGAGGTGTTCGATGTAGCTTCTGCGTGTCGAGTTCGTCTTTCGGCTTCGTTATGGGGAAGGCTTGCTTGCTTCCACCATTCGAGAACTAGCATATGTCCTTTGGAGGATGCCTGCTCTAGCGCCAATTCTGTATACTTTAGGGGGAGTCCGGACTTTCTCCACCAGTCGAGAACATGTACGTATCCTGATTTTGAGGCTCCATCGATTGCTTCTGCAGTATAATCCTTGGAAAGAAAAGAGGGAGATGTGCGCCACCATTCCAGAATTTCGGTGCGTCCATAAACCGCAGACGCTTTGGTGGGTATAAGTTTTTGTCCAAAAGTAGCCCAAAAAACGTCCTTCAATTTTGTTTCCAAATATGAGAGAACTTTTGTGAGACAGAATTTGATTATGAGTTTGACACATAATGGGGAAAGCTCTCGCATATTTTGGGGTGCTGTATTTAGTTTGTCGATGATCTTGCAGACGGGAGATGTAAGGATAATCCATTCGAGTGATCGCATATAAGTTTGTAATTCGTCTTTCGCATCACCGGGCTTTCGTTGCCATTCGACTGGTCTCGGAATTTTGGCATAAACGTTAAGCGCTCTCGACACCTCCCAATCCCCTACATATTCGAAAATGAGGGACCATATCTCTGGTGGAAGAAGCGCATCCGTCTTCATATTGTATCTTGCGAGACTGGCAGCACCAGAAGCAGCAATATCCACGTCATGTCCAATTGTCAAGAGTTCCGCTTGATTTTTGATAACGTCGACAAGTTCGTTGAATCCATCCCAACCCACGAAACATTTCCCAGGTCCCTTTGCATCATAATGCCACAGTATTGGTTGCATAACTCGAACCCATTGCCACTTTCTCCTTACTTTATTCAATTGTTTCTTCGTGATCGGATTCTCCCACATAGATGTTGTCATTCCTGGTACAAGTAATATCTTTTTGGATACGTCCCACCCACGGAGAATTTCAAGCAACAGACAATCGGTTATGCCGTGCAACATTTTCGCAAACGTGTCGGCATCAACGGGTGCCAGTACAAGTATATCTGCCCAGTCACACAATTCGAAGGCCTCTTGTCGACAATATTCGATTTGATCTCGTTCTATGCCTTTCTGTGGCTCGTCCGTCTCCCTTGTCAGGAATTTCTTGTTTTGGTATGCCAATGTTTCCTGGGATAATCGATACGATGGCCATGTCTCTTCGTCGATGATGGCTCGAGTTTCGATTTTAGGATTCTTGGATAATCGCACAACGAGTGCAAGAGCTTGTGCGACATCTTTGCTTCCATTTGCGGCCACGAGGACTTTCAACTTTTGAGATTCGGTGATTCTCATATCTGAGATGGATGAAGATGAAGAGATCTTTGGAAGTCCTTTAGTAAATTCTGTCCGAAGTGCAAATGCATGGTCTGCCATTTTAAAACAAATTGAACACCTCGCTGGCGTTCAATGCACAGCTGGAAAAATAGAAAGAGGCGGTGGGTGATGATGTGGTGAATCAGAGATAGATAACAAACAGTCCAAGAGAGAGGGCTTTATCTTATTATATCGAATAAGCTAACTTATTTGATTGATCGGTGAGTAAAGCTGGGGTGTATTTCGAACGTTTTCTTCATATAGTCGATGAGTTGTAAGAATTTGTCAAATGGCATGGAAACATTCTTTGATCATCATATCATGATGGCATGTGCAACTTGGGCTAACCTGAAGCCCCTGTAAGAAACGCCACTTTTAGCCACTACACCCACTAAAATATCGGAGCAGAAAAGCCGAACAGGCGCTGAAACCAATGAGAACAACAAACCATCTCATATACCTACGGCACTAGGTAGCTGGCACAAACAACGTTGTTATGATCGCCGATACATTGTGATCTTGTATCGTTTGACTCGGGGCTGCCTCTCAACCACAGTTGGCTGAGATTGATGCATAATAAAGTTATAGCTGCGATTGACCTTTTCCCCCCTTTATATCGTCCCATTGACAAGCGACGATGGACCAAGATTGGAGAAGGACAAATCCGTGGTTGACATCTCAATCTCCTGTCTTTCCCATAATTATCGAAAAGTTTTCGGGAAAACAATATCCTTCTCAAAGATCTGTCAACAGCATTCACTATAGCAATATGTCGTTTATTAGTCCCAATGTTTTTTATCTTTATCTTAGTAACTTCAGATGGAAGGGTTTTTCAAGACATGTTGGTGTTTGTGCTATTGTGTGGTTAGCTGTTACGTGTTTTAAGAGATGATTGCTAGATGTACGAATGACAATTTAATTCTATATGTTCTGGCAAGCTGACTACATTTGAGCATGTTATTTCCGAACTCGAAGCGTCTCAGACTGCTTCAGCAATTAGTTTGTATTGGGCGGCTATAAAACCACTTAAATGATTGTACGGATCCATATTTGAGAAAATCTCTCGAAAACATCTTGGAGACCTTCTTTTGGTGTCATCGCAGCACTCGACAGCAACAAGTTCTGTCAAGTCCGAATTAACAGGACGCTTTCATTTTGCCACAAAACAGTATTGCTAATTGGCTCTGTATTCCAGATTTCATTGTGATGAACATATCACAAGCCGTGTGCGAAGGCAAACAGAAACCAGAGGGTCGTCCCTCAAGTGCCATATCCCGCCTGGACAATCGTGCTGGTTTTGAATTTTCGGAAAGAATGAAAGAATTAAAGAATTTCCCCAACGGTTCGTCAAGCTTGCACGTATTGTTTCTGAATGCCCTCCCTATGGATCTATGGACTAGAACTATGACTTGGATGGCTGCGCGGTGTTCTCAAGACCCCGATGAGTCGAAATGTTCTGGTTCCAACAAGAAGCGAAAGGCTCATCAATCTATGCCTATTCCCACATGGCTGATATGGGCTACTTCTATAATCATGGGCATTGGAACTTCTTCAGATAATGGGAGGCTCCCAAACGATGGTGTCGGACGCAATTTCCAAGAATTTGATTAATTAAGATTCTGAATCAGACGGTCTTTGACCTACTGTATTTGTCAATTATTAGTCAGCAAATAAGCCCTCGTACAAGCAGGGGTCGGGCCAATAAGAGACCGACGAACATGTATTACAAAAGCTTAAGTAAGCCTAATACCCGTATCTGAAATTTGGTCGCCATTGTCTGCGATTTTTCAAAGCACTCGTATCTATCTTATATAAACCAAGCGATACCGGTATCAGGGAAAATAAGCAGCTTCATTATTATTTGGTCAAGTATTTTGTGCATTTCGATGATTGGTCCTTCCTACAATTCCTCAATACTATGTGCCAAACGATGCCTCTCATCAAACCGAACACGTCCTTTCCATTTCAAATTGATTCCATTCAATCCACTCAGGTTAACCTCCTCGGGGTTCAGTAGCTTGATCTTCCATTGGGTAAATGGGGTGGGCTCGGCATGGTCTACCGTTTCGAAGATAGGTTCATCACGTGTCATTCCTCTCTCGCCGTTGGAATAAAGATCATATGAGCATCGTCTGACCTGAGGAAGACTCGCAAAATGATATACCTTGTCTTTGTAGATATCCGAATAAATACCGGAGGTAGTGATCTGCAATTTCACCACCACTACACTTCCTTGCCTAGGGAGAACCCCATGAAGAGTAGGATCCATTCCATTCAATCGGTAATGAGAACCCTCGACAAATTGACTTGCAAAGCGTTTCTCGGTAAGGAGAGTGAAGCTGGCAGTGTTACCTTCACTTCTGATACCATTGATCATGGATTGACCTTGGTTTGAGGGGAGCTGCAGACTTTTGTCAATTTGTATTTCTTTACGTTAGAAACGAGGACAGGAGTAATGTTACCGTATTAGATGGGATATCGTAATTGAAAGCTAATAAATACGGTTAGTCGACTGAATTGTAAGGGACATGGTAATATTGATACTTACGTTGGTGATCACTAGGATACCTTGAGTCGGCATGCTCCAACTCCAAGACAACGGTAGCGAGATCCTGTTGGTACTCGACTAACGACTTTCGAGCGTCGAGAACAATGGAACTATCGGAGAGTGCCCAGTAGCGATACGCCCAAGCCATGTTGCGGAGTGAGAGAACAACACTGGTCCGCAAGGCCATAGCCCGGTCATAGAACATGGATTTGGCTTCGAGATAAACAGCCTCTTGACCATGAAAGCTAGCTTTTAAAGCTTGAAGATCTGCGATGTTTTGCGCACACCGAATCACTTCCATCTGCGCCTGAACATACTCATACCCAGACTTGACGGCTTCTGCCTGTGCTTGAGCTAGCTGCTTTCCATTGATAGCATGCTTCCGCAGGGCAAGTTGATAGGCACTGGCACCATCAACACCGTTCTCAACAGCAGATACCATCTGCTGATCAGCTTCCAAAAGCCATCTATCCCATGCAGCCATAGCGACAATGGCAGCAGCATCAGCGTCTCCTCGGCTTGTACCGGAGATATCTCCTGTGGAAGGGATCTCAATATTTGGATTTTGTTCAAATCGAATCAGTGTCCGCACTACTGTATCTACCGAGGGATATAGAGTGCCAAGGGCTTCGATACAATCCAGAAGTGTCTGTAATGTACCAGAGGACAACACTCTATTCACCTGGCCGGCGATCCTTTCTGCTGCCACAACAGCCCCAATTGCCTGTCTTCCAGCTGCTGCACCTTGACCAACCCCACCGGGACTGCCGAGACAAAGCTGGCCAACCGCAACCGCAAAAGCTAATGGAGTCGTTAGCTACCGTCATCGAACTATCTTTGTGTAGAGCGAAAATAAAAACGAATTTCGCTTACTGATAGTTGCTTGGAGGATCTCGAATACAGCTCTCCACTTTTGTTCCCAAATCCATCGGCTGAGGCCCATTTCAAAGGTAATTCGTATCAATTCCAAAGCAAAGACGTCGCTCTCGAACTGCTGGTGACAGCCAGTAGCTGTTTTCACTGAATACTCGTACTTGTCGAGCGCCATGTTACGCACGTTAATTCGCATGTTATATTCATTGATTGCTTGCGATAACATGGCGTTCCATGCTTGGATCTGAATATCCAAGGACTGTGCTTTGTCCTGAAAACGTTCAAATTGCTGTTCGAACGCAAATGCAGCGTTCAGTGCAGTTTGCGTCGTCTGTTTATATCGACTCAGTACTAAAACTGGGGCATAGCTCATATCTTGTCCAGCCATGGCTTGTCCAGCGATTTGCTGACCTAAGGCCCTTGCCTGGGTATTAAGAAGGGCATATGCTTGTTGCTTGGTGGTAATTCGAGCAACGTGAGAACAGAGGGAGATCGCAATAGAACTATTGCGCCAGAATTGAATAAGGGCAATTCGCAGCTGCGTGTTCAGGCTCGCTTGAAGATCCTTACTGGTGGTAGTAGGGTAATATCTCTGATACTCAACTTGCAAGCCAGTTGGGCTGAAGACCACAATAACCCCCGCATAGGTCTTCCCAGTGCCTATTTGATCGAGGTTAATGCGCTTGGAGTTATCACCTGTGGCGACCGTAATTGACTGATCAAGTACGGATGCATAAATTGAGACCACCGATGTTGTTGTAAGACCCCTTGGAACAGTGAGGGTGACTGGCCCAGTAGCAGTAAGAACTCTGGACTCAATTAAGATTGTTCCATTACTGTTAGGGGCAATAATGGTGGTTTGGTCGGTGAAGGCAATAACATCGGCGTAGACGTTTACCCTGCTCATAGAATGGGGGAGAACCCTGGAAGCCGTGAGAAAAACACCGCGGAATGTCGCGATTTTCTGCGAGATGAGAATTGTATCAACAAATGCACAACGGAATCAACTGAAGAAACTACCCACCGAAGTCTCATTCACATCTTGAGATCCTTGCAGAGGAATGCTGGCCACTGCTTCCGAGTTGGCGTAGGCCTGCCATCCAGCTGGAGAGTTTGGTTGAGGGATAATGATTTTATTCATGGTATCTTTGAAAGACTTCGAGAAAGATAAAGAAATGATGGGTCATGCTGGTGTGTTGTCTACCCGTTATTATGTTGTTACAGGAGCGGATACCTGTCTTATTGGAACTTGACAGTAGCTATGCTAGAAGAAGAATGGTAAACACGATTACACCTCAACCCCACATCCAACGCCAGACATACAGCTGAGACGCAGTGTCTAGAGACTAGTGACTAAGGAGATGGAGAGAAACTTTCAAGTTGATCGATGTCCGCATATGGCGTTGTACCAAAAGTTCAAATTCTAAATTCTAAGATACGTGTCAAAGTGCAGAAATTGCTATTGCTACATTGATTGCAAGCTGAATGTTGCCTGACACGAGCATATAGGGGGGATATTGTCGATGTGTACGATTGAAGCTTGATGATGAGGGGTAATTCACCCCACATCTAAGCTCAAATACCAAGAGGTGTGAACGATTTCACATTTCGGTTCTATTATGGTTAAATGAATATACTTCCGATCCAGTTAGATGGAGGTGAAATCATCGGTGTCTGGAAACACAGGAGCCGGCTACCGTCTCTAATCATAACAATAAATGTACTAAATGAGGGGTCAACCCCCCGTTTGGTCTTCCTATCGTATGCGTTTGGACTAATCGAGCGACTACCCACCCGCGCCAAGTTGCTCTATTGCATGCACAGAATCATGTTTCATTCAAGACTACGAAGAGATGCTCGAGGGAGCCCATTGAAAAAGGCAAAATGGTGAACCCCTCAGAGATATCACAGCCAGTTAGAGGTTGTGCGGCTATTGCGACAAACCCTCGCTTATGGTGTCTGTCAAGTGGCTTACGGATCTAGAACTGCGGGATTATCGAATGGCAAATGAACACCGCTCTTCGTGTGTGAGCTGTATTCCTCGGCGCTCCCGTGGATCGAGTCAAAGGATATTCTTTCTAGAGTATTTTTATGGAGATTCAATTGTGGGCCGACTTTGATAACTTCATGGTGCAAGAAGAGGAGGTATGGAAGCACAGCTCGAGCGAATTACGAACGACACAAGATATCAGGATGTATCACAGCCAACACGCATTCCATTTGAGATTATAAGAGTAGGAAAGTACAATGTTCAAGCTCTCCCAGTCATTACCACCAATTGTGTCGCATCTCCGTTCTGTCATTTTCTCGCCTAACGTTACATTACCCCGCACCTCGATGTTCCAATTCGTCTGTCCCGCATTCGTCGCACATATTTGATAGCTGCGCAAAAGAAGATGACTATTCATCCAGCTGCCTTCCTGCATCAATTTTGACGCCATCCACATATTCTTAGCTGTAACTTGTAAAAGTAACTCTGGATCAATTAGGCTCATGTCCCACCTTTTTTATGAGTAAGCTGTGGTATACAGTATCTTATCCTTTGACCCCAAACCACGCACGTGCAGAACCGGTTGCTGCAGAATTGAATACTCAAATATTCAGCTTTTTTGATGTGTCGATGGCTGAAGTCACATCACATGTTTTCTACTGCAATATTGCAACATCTCGGCTACTTCCGGATTTAGCCTGCAAGAGTCACCTCATGATGAACATCAAAAGCAAGCCCGCAGTTTCACTGCATGTGTATGCAAGAGGACTTGAACATTTTCAAAACGTGGGGATGCATGAAAATATAGGAACTTACAGCCACATTATGTGAGAACTTAATCTCATTCAACATTTGTGCGACGAGGATGCATTGGCACAGTTATCCTGCTGAATGTAAAGGCTTTAAGATACGGGAAGATCCCGTTGTTTCTTCCTGTTTTCATCCTCGTTAAAACCATCCTAATTCTGATCAATCAACTAAAAACTCAAATTTCTTCCAATTTTTACTCAAACAGCCATGTCGTTCGACCCCTCAAGACCTATTGACGATGAGAAGGTCTGGTTTCCCAAGGGAATGTTCGTCGACAACCGCAGTAACTCTAGGTTTGCAGCTGTTCCCGACGACGATGAGAGAGCTTTCGTCTTTAACTCCTCTGACATGAAGGCCTTGAACCGGTTCTTAGGCACGGGCAGGTTGCTTCAAACCAGACGCGATGATTATCTCAGATCACTGGGAATTTTGGCAACGGATCCGTTGAGTACAGACCTTGCGAATGAAATAGATGATCTTATGTCGACTTATACCAAGGTACGTGCCCTAATCAAGCGACAACCCCCCCTTGAGAGGGCTTTGATCCACATGCCGACAAGCGAGCGTGTATTAGACGGTTGGCTAATGAGAATCAATCGTCTATGATTAGGTCAAAGCAGACTGCGTATACTTCAGAGACCACACATGGCGTACTATTGTCGACATGGCGGCGCAGATCAGAATATACGCCACCATGGCAGGTGGAACTGAGGAAACCTCGTATACGGTTCTTATGCTGAAATGGATCGGCGACTATCACAACGAGAATAACAAAGCCAAACCTGATCCAGCAAAGTTGAAGGAGCTAAGAGAAGGTATCCAATATGTGATTGACGAGGAGCTCAGGATAATCAAACAATTGCAGACTGGTGCACAAGAAGCATTAAACGGGCTGGGAAGTTTCCACAGCTTGTGTGAGCAACACGAATCTCGCATCAGAATTAATGCGACATCTCTTGACGCTCAATTGACGAGGGAGGGAAATGATATTGTGAGTATGCAGAAGAGAATTCTGGATGCCCAGGCGGAACTAGATGATTTACAGAGCAGAATTGATGGAAGTAAGGAAACGTTTCCCTTTTACTGTTCACTGGAAACCTATTACTAATGGCGATTTTGCATTATAGAAAATCAGGTGCTCACCGACGCACCCAAGTACATGTGGGTGTAAGTTACCCAAAGACACACTTCATCTTAATAAAGGACTGACTATAATCAGTTGGCCGATCGGAACTGCAATCGGAACAGGGCTTGTTATCGCCGCAAAGAAAGAAATCGCACTTATGAAAGAGGCCATGGAGAAGATACAGGCTCTGATGAATGAGTATGAAGCTAAACAGAAAACTGCCTCTCGCTTGCAACTTAACATCATGTTTGTCAATGTAAGTGCTTAGATCTCAGCGAGACGAGTCCTACAATTATGCGCAATACTGAACGATCTTCAATACAGGGCCAAGTCAACAACCTCACCCAGGAAATTGCACCAGCAATGCGGACGCTCGAATTGCTTCAAGGAGCTTGGAAATCCATGGTCACGGATCTCGAGACTATCAAACAATTAATCGATAATGATACTGAGAAAATTCCTCCAATGATACTTGCGCGACCACAGTTGCAAAAGATTGTCGATGAGTGGAATGAATTGAGGGATTTTGGTATGTTGGATTTATACTATGAAGTGCTTTCTTTGGATTTGATAATGTGGATGATAACTAACCTCACTGTAGCGAGCAATTATATCCAGAACTCCTATCTTAGCGAATCTCCCGAGACAGTGAGTGTTCAGCAGTATATTCATCAGTTGAGCACTCGTGTTATGGTTACGAGAAGGTGTTGAGATGGAGGATGTGGGTTATGGTATATATTAGGCTTCTGATGCAGGATATTGAGATTGAGATTGAGATTGAAATGAACACGCGACATGAACTAACGAACGAATAATTGCGGTATTGTAATTCAATTTCACATTCATGAATTTTCAATAGTTTTTCAAATACAAGGTCATTTTCAACCCATCTCTATTATCCATAGGTTAGACATGATTGATTGGCTCAAGTAATCTCACACCAATTAAGAATCTCACCAATTTCGTCATCGGCTCTCCAAATTCCAGCAAATCCCCCGCTGCAGCAAGGGCAGGGTATGACTTTACCATTGGTACTCCGTACCTGCAGATGACACCCTGTGAAATTTGGAAAATTTGCTCACACAATGTAACAAGGATCGACTATCCTTGAAGTGATAATCAAATCCCCAGACCGGTACTGTGGTACACTACTCGAGTAATGCTGTCATGTACGTGTACGCATTTGGCAAAGTTGCAGATATGTACTCGAGTATACGAGTATATATGCAGAGATATCCAGTTCCGCATGCCTACTTGATTTATTGTTCTCGTCGTCGTCGTCGCCGTCGCCGTCGCTCTCATCTCATATTACGAGTAGAAAGACAAAGTGATAAAGAAACATAAACAGCCATTAGCGATCTCAATCCTATCCTAACCTGACACTGCAGGAAATTGGAAATCCGAAGCTATTACATTACTTTCTCTCTCTCTCTCTCTCTCTCTCTCCTTAAACAAACACGACGTGAAGAAAAAGCCAAAAAAAGCATACTCAGTATTCCACACCTCTAACAATATACAGTAGTCGTATAAAAAAGTCAGCATAAATTCAACATTCAACGACCTACTCGAGTACATTCTATATATAGTGTACTGTACACCAAGAATACTCGTGCAAGTATACCATCGGCCACATCATCGAAAACTGCAATAACGATTGATTTCACAAAGTCGCGTGTATGATGTATCGTATCCTCGGGGTATTGTGTTGGGGGAGGGGTATCCGCTGCAAGAGAAGTAATGCATATGGCTTGTAGTTTGATCATGTTTTGCACGAGTTCTGGTGGGAATTGATGATGATAGCGAGGACTTTGTACGTATACATATATATATACAGTAGCTACAAGTCAGACGGATAGTATCACTAGTCTTGGGTTGGGTAATAACTGTTGATTGATGTTGCATTGCTGTCTATATTTTTAAAAGTTTCTTCTAAGTTTGATAGTATCTAGGATGGGAAATATGTAATCCCTTTGAAGCATTCGATAATCGCCCCTTCTATCCGTGCTGTACGGAAAGATGAGGCGGAGTACTACATCCCCGATTATCTTGTATCGGTCTTCAGATACTCAAGGCGAGCTGCGAAGTTGGGGTATAGGAGGTGCGTAATTCGTGCCTCCAATGCCCGAGACCAGGTGGCATCTTTTTCCTCCCCGAAGCTGGCTCGACAAGAATTGGTATGCACCGGGGCATTTTTCCCTCGATCGATCGATCATTCTTGTGGCCCGGCCACGGTTTCTCCTGCATCCAGCTCACGATTGTCTGAAAGTCAATCCATCAATCATTTACGCTCCCCTCAAACACCACTCCCCTGCACCACCAACCCCCACTTTCCAAGATTTGCACCCCACCCTGGAGCCTTCCTACCAAATTCCCCAGACGAAGGAAACTCCTTCAGATTCAATCTCTCCACCACACTATAACCCAAATCCAAAAACTTGCACAATCTCAGCCACTTCTCCCCTCTATAGTGTTCTCGTTCATCAAGTGAGATTTCTAACAACCTTCCTTCTTTCTCGAGTGAGCTTCTGATAGAATTGAGTTCCTCGTGCTGAGCAACATCGATCACTTCCACCGAGTCGATATCCGAAGCGAATTCGGATAATCTACTCCAAGCAGCCAAATGAGTAAGCCAGCTATTGGCGCATGGTCTTCTCTCCAATTCACTTTCACGATTCTCTTGTTTCCGCGTCGAGGAAATAGGGACGATGAATTTCGTATTTGGGTATTGTATCATGAGCTCGTTTGCCGCAGCGTTGGTGGGGAGTTCAGTAAATGTATGAGTGCTGAGGTGTGATAACGAATTATTCAATGTTTTGGGTGAGATGTGTGTGTATCCTAACGTTTGGAGGGCATTCCCTAGTGCCGATGTGCTGGATGTATGATCGCTGAGGATGAATATGCTGGGATGTTGGGAAGTTTCGATTTGTGTGGAGGTAGCCGCTAGGATTGGGAGGAGGCCAGTGATGAAGGGTGAGAAGAACATATTTTTCTTTTGGTTCGTTTTGAAAGTGTGAGTGAATGGAAAAAAGGGTTTTTTTTCTTTGAATAGAATATGTAGAGAAAGTATCGGCAGAATTACAATTGGAGTGTTGCTGTCATGTATGTTTTCGAAACGTGACTTTCACGTGTATGGGGCTCCAGGGTATATGAAACGGAACAATCAATGCAAGTTTCGGATAAGGAATAAGAATCAAAAGATGGAGAAAAATAAAAAGTTTAAATGATTTCGAAAGAACGATGGCATCGATCGAGGGTATCAGTTCAAGATATACTTTACAGCAAACCTACTAGTAATGTCCAGGTAAGAAATACCCCTGATTCAGTTAACACCGCGTAGTGACATCGGGAGTCGGTGCTTTCATTTACCATGTTTACGCAACGTCTCACAGTGTCAATAACATGGCAATCCTTTATCATGGCAATCCTTTCAATCTCGACTTCTTTCTGCATGATTATCGTTGCGAGAACGATTTGGTGGAGATGATCACCATATTAAAAGATTTCCAAGGATTGTGATTCGTGGATATGGTAATCTGTTCTGAGCATTACGCGGATACGTAGATACGAACGGGCAAAAGCTTGAGCGAGATGTGGGTTCTTGGTTGGAAAGAAGCATTATTCTGGGGGTTCTTTCAAATTCTTCCAAAGCTTCGAAAATTGGAGGTCCAAGCCGAAATTTAACCCACATTAGATATTCATTTCTGATGTCGGATCAGCAGGCTGTGTTGAAGCTATTTGTGGTTCCGGATTGGGATGAAACAGTTGGGAATCGGGGCGGTGTGGGCTAGAACTGGAAGGCGTTGAAGCGAAGTTGTGAGTGGTACTAGGATTATGCTGTTATTTATAGAGTGGGGGAATTTGGAATCCAATTCAGGAGAAGAAGATATCGATCTAGATCATAAGAAGGGCTCCGATTGAACGAACGGCAATAGTATATATCGTAGGTGGTATGTGTCAAGAAATTTTGATAGTCCGGGAAGGGTTCGAGTAGATACTGTATGTATCTTCATTTTCTCAGTCGAAGCTGAACGGTGACATTGGTGTCGTTTCGTCCGACCTTTGCAACGAATATATGGCATTGTGCGAATGTGACTTAGATAACAGATCCGATGGATATCGATATCAGTATAGGAGAAACTTAGGTGATAAATACTGATTGGTGAGTATGAGAATGAGGCGCGTGTATGTAATTCTTGAGATGGATAAAGCCCGACTCGAGTGGCAAGTGTTGGCCGACAGGATATCAATAATAGCCCTCTCATGATCTGGTGACATCAGCAGCTCAAAATGACTTCCAACTCCGTTATTATGTGATAAATCAACGTGGACGGAGTTCTGAAGCACAGACTCATAGATCTGGTGCATGATGACCAGAGTGTACTGTGTGTTTGTCGCAGCTTCCATAGTCAACATTTTTAGATTGTCACCCTATGAATATAGTCCTTTATCAATTCGAATGGCCTGGTTCATATCACCCCAGTTCCCATCGCGCTTGTGAGCATTTGACGACACTTGCACATACAAAGCGAGCCACGATATTCTTGCAAGAGCTTCCATCATCGCCATACTCCTGGGCCGCCTTCCCATTGCACAAAAGCCGCCAATGTAAACGGGATCCTGAAGTCGAATTGAATATCTTCACAGTTTTTTCAATCTGTGACCTGGAGTGTTTAGACACCCTGAGTTTCGTAATAATTCGTTTTCTCGGTCTCGAGTGCCTTATCGCATCCAGCACAAGGTTCCCAGGTTGTATTACAGAATGGTAGGCATAATCTCGTTTCGTCGCGCAAGAAAGTGTTCGTCCGATGTAAGCCAATCTTGCCTTGCGGGGAATTGGAAGCAACTTCGTGCGTATTGTGCGAGTGGAAGGTTGAGAGTTGGAGCATTACTGTACGAGATGAGTACCAAAACTTGTTCCTCATCAAATCACGACATTATCGATGTACCAGAATTCGGAAGGATACATGATGTCTTCATCGAATGTTGATTCAATTGCTGGAAGTATACAGGTTGTGAAATGTTAGAACTGCAAATCTAAGCTCAAATCTAAGCTGAGCTGAGTTGGAGCACTAAGGTTACTGGGAGTCAATGCTGGATTACCTAAGCAGGAATTCACAAGCGCTAGTAGCAGACCTTTCCTTCCAAATTCACATTATTCAATAAAGCAACTGCAGAACAAACATCAAGTCAATCATATTATCACGATAGTTTATGAGGCTTTTTGAATAAACGATTGACTTTGTTAAATACCCATATGTTTCCTACTTATTGTTTCCTGTTTTGACTTGCAATTTCAAATTTGTCAACAACTAAATACATGAAAGAAAACGATCAACATCTAGTCGACCCTTATGTACAGATTTTTGAGATCTAGTGCGCTTGATCGAAAGCCAACGTGTTGTCAGCGGAATTATCTACAAGCATTGAGAGTAGAAAGAGTTCACGACGGTGCAAGTGCTTGAGATGCAAGTGGTTGATCCGCTGTATCCAGTACCTCCGCACTGGCCATACTTGGCAACGCCAGTTCCTGAAGTTGGAGAAGAGACTGGCGCTGTGCTCGAAGAACCTGGGGTTGTTCCAGTACCACCTCCAGTGTAGGTAGAGTTGATGGGGCCCCATTTGATGTTGGAGTACGTGACAGAGGCGCCCGGAGAGTTGGCCTCGACATCAGGGGGAGAACCTGAGGTGGCACTGCACGCTCCTCGACTGACACCGGGGGCACTTGGAGACTTAGTTGCTGGGTAGGGAGCGTCGAGCCACGACATATTGGCGGTATGATCGTCCCAGATGGACATAACAAGCACCATTCCCTTTGCCAAGGCTTTGCTCATCGCGGCAAGACCCCCCTTCTTTGCGAACTCATTGGTGTCGCCAAATGCAGTCTTTTGTGCAGCACAGAAAGAATCGGTAATGGAATTTCCAGTGACTCCAGTACTCTTAGATTGAGAGTTCGGGATGACTACGCCGTTTTGAACATAGAATCGTCGAATTTCGCTCAAAGTGCCTGAACTTGTTCCGGTGTTGGTGATGAATTGGGTTACCACGGTCACAACTTTGTTGGTGTCTACCTTCAAGCCTGCACCGTAGAAGGAGGTGTCACCCATGCGGTATGAGTTGAAGTCACAGCCGTCAGCATCACAAATAGAAGAGTATCTTGCTCCAATGCCACAATCTGTTCCGCTGCAACGAGTTTGTTGGTCAACGGAGCATGGGTGAGGGGTATAGGCGGCAGAAATCTTGTTGGCCTCCCAAATATCCATTTCTGTACAGCACGAGCCATATTTTCCACCGCCAGCGTTAGAATCATTGGTAGATGGAGTCCAGCCCACGGAATTCGCCTGTGATATAGTCAGAAAATGATGAAACCCGAAAAGATCAAGAGAGTTATTACTTACCACACCATTGATGAATTTGATATCTTGTGGGCATTGGGCATCACAGTAGCCTGTGCCGTATTTGGCACCGGCCTAATAAAAAAACAAATTAGTATTTCTCGCTGTACGAAAATGTGAATGCTTTCTTACCTTGTTTGTTGGGAAGCGGGACAATCCTCCATCGGCATCCATTTCAGAAAAATACAAGGCGCCGTTAAGACCGCAGGGAAGGTTTGAAACGTCTACATCAAATGTGAATTCTTGATTCAAAAGCTTAAGCATTTGATACTGCGTCGTCGAGCCAGCGGCCATCAGATAGGTGCGCGAGCCAATATTGGTGTTCGCACCCTTGGTCACGAAGTTGAGCTTGAGCGAATTGCCACTTGTAGTGATGCCGTAAGTTCCGGAATAGTCCGCACCATCCAAAGCACAGTTTGCAGCGCATTTTACTCCATCAGGACAGATGGAGGTATCCCAAGTATTGCCTGTGTAGCAATTGGTGTAACCGGTCGTCGTATGGAGCCATCTCCAGTTGGCGTCGATGACAATAGACTGGCTAGAAGTAGTACAACCACTGGCTGTACATTGACTGACCGTGAGGGCAGGGTGAGTCTCCGCGGTATTAGTACCAACCTGCTGTGCGCGGGCTGCTGCTAGAAGGGAAGAAACGACAAGTACTTTCGAGATCATTTTGAAAGGATGATGATGATTGTGTTTGAAAGATGGGGATTTCCCAACAGCGAGATCAAATACATTATATAGCCCTCAATCTTGCCAAGACGCTCTCATTGTTACGGCAAATTCCCTTTGATGCATGTCAAGTCTCATATCACGCTGATTGCAAGTTCCAAGGACAATCGTTGAATATGGAAATACGGGCAGACAGCCGGCTGATTGAGAGCAGCCAAATATGGTGGGGCAGTCAATTCGCAGTTTAATCTGCTCTAAGTATTCCAACTCCTACATTGAGAGCGGGTTCCAGCAGTTGCCTAAGCCCATGCTAATCACGGATGTTTAATGCAGGACCAGCATTCATATCCGGAGCGGAGGAAATGAAGCCGCAAGGAATAAAGTCATGGCGAAACTACCAGTACAGGAAGAAACATGGCATGTAACTTGGTCAACATTTTATTTGTTGCCGCTTTCACATTCGATCTGTCTCGGTATAAGCATAATGCTACTTCAATATCAGGATGCGGTCCTCGCCCCGACCTTAATGTTATCACGGCGACAACACTAAGAGATTATCCGTTTCGCAAGAAGACTTGTCAAAAACATCGTCGGGTGACGAGCAGGAACTTACAATACATTAGACTGCTACATGTAGTAAGATGGATCCAATAAGATCTATGACTGTCAAAAGTTCATTGCCTGACATCAAGAGAATCCGGGGACGCCAATAAGCTTAATCAAATACCCGAGGATGCATGTACGAGGTCACAACCGCTCAAAGTGACACCTCAGAATCTACATCAAGCCAAGCCTCCCCACATTATCTTCTGGCATATTGTGGGGTCCCCATATAATGATCTATAGATTATTGGGTGACACAAGGAGAGTAATGTGGGGAATAACCTAATTCCATCTACCGCTTATGTTTTAAACGAAGTGCGGATCTGGGGAACGCCAAACAGGCTAAATAGAACACCCGAAGTGCCACAAACACCACACAACCATGCGTCGCCATCTGTCCGCTGCAGTTTTTTACACATAAGGAAGTTCCGGTTTCAACATCATCGAATTCTGATTACCCTTCAGGCCCTTGTTTTTGAAGTTTGATATAGTATTGTATCGATGAATGGATGATGCATATATCAATGCTAAACATAGTGAGATCATAAATATTTTTCAAGGCGCTTCAGCAATGCCCCGAGTTGATGATAGTCAAGTGGCTGATTGAGATATCCATCTAGTTATTCGTGTCAGCGCCTAGCAACGGACCGGCGAGCCGCCTCGAAGGTACCTCAACGCTCACATCAATCCACCAAAGTTTGGAGGCGAAGTGCTTGGCGATAAGTTACAGTTCATTTAATCTATCAGTCTAGTACATAAGTACAATGAAAAGTGGGAGACTTTCATACCTTCGCGCAGAGTACCTTTCCTTGAGGTGAATTAGAGTCAAGTTGAGTACCACCCTAAGATTCCCCATACGAGTAATGCAATGCTCATTGCCTATCTTGCCACAGTTTGAAGCCATATTAACAATCCACTTTCAGCTCATTGCAGATTCATCTGCCGAGGCACAGAATGTGAAGTTCTATCGGGTCTTTACTGTTCTCGTGACGAGCAAATATCTTCAGGACAGGTACGTTACCAGATTACCGAAAATATGCTTCTCATTTGGTGGAATATGCGGTGCATGCCAAGACGATACAGTTCTCGATCACGATGAAAATTGTTATTTTCTTGGCAATCTCCTTATCTTCCGGATTGATAGGGAACACATAAACAAGAAACTTGACCCTGCCAAGTATATCACCTGCTCCTGCTATTCATAGCTATCTAATCTTTGCTAGTGATTAGGTTCGGTTCGGCGTACCCGCGTTCCTATCTTTGTGCTTTAAAGATCAACACTGACGTCTACGAAATTATCTTCGACAAGAGTCGAGAATAAAACGTGGTTCAGATAAGTACATTATGGAGTGGCAAGTCACTTAGTAAAACCTTTTTCGGCAGCAGCAAACGATATGTTGAACCGGTAGCTTTGGCCCGCAGATCTCGTCGAGATACGCATTGTGCCACATATGATTGTCATCTCAGGCACCAGGCAAGAATCTGAGATTGATTTTGCTACATGTATATTTCGCATAATTAAGCTGGATAATTTCATGATGACATGATATGTGATCGGAATAATCGGATGTTCTCAGGACTGAACCTACCTGTGTTCGATTTCCTCTTTGTCATTTTCTCTCACAATCTACATCTATTTCTCCTCGCTGTCTATCTCAACATCCTCGGTCATTGTAATTATCATATGTTTTGTCAATTTCAAAGCTTCTCACAAGTTTCTTCATTTCGATGTGAAGAGGGATCTCGAGCTGAGTTGAACTGACTCACAACAGCACATGGCTAAAATTAGTTTCATACTATCTTCTGTAGAAGAAACAGAAGAGTATACATGATCTATATGAATTACTTCAATGCAAAGATCAAGGACTTTCAGTGTAGACACTGGACACGTTGAATGAGAACCTCTGTACTATCCCAAAAGTTTTGTTTAATATCTAGATTATTGTCATCTCTTTTTGCATTGTTGATATCTTTCAATCCCTATTGTCGTTTACAATATTCATGTTGTTTATCTGTGGTATCAATCATTGTCGCCCCCATAGACCTGATGCAATTTTAAAATGATTGTCGACTGATCATGTTGTTATCACTGTCATTATATCATTGTTGTTATTCTGTATGATTACTGTCGCAAACAATTAAGTCTAGATGCGCCCGAATTATTCACTTTCTGTACATACCAACCCTTGAGATACGATCATACAATGAGACATCTTGGAATATTAATCAATTGGATTCAGTTGGAACATTATGTGTGCATCATCTCACTAGATGAGATAGGGTATTCTGAACATTCGATGATGAGTTGAGTTAACAATGTATCTATATATCTATAACATAGTTCGCCTTCACCGATACTCAACTGATTCGGTTTCCTCGATTTTTCGAAAATGATATTTGTGCGTGTGTGGGTAGGGCTTGGGCAACGCCCCACTATCACCACATTCAGAAAAACACATTCCATTTAACAATTTCGACCATACACATCTGAACAGAGCTGGAGGACATCGCACTTATGAAGGCATACAAGGAGCTGGTGAACAGGACTGAGAAGAGTGGTGCCCTTCTACTGCCATTCACTAGCGTGAGGACCCTTTGCTATGCTGGAGGTAACCTTGGCAGGGGTGACTCTTGACCTCTGTAGAGAGTGATGGGTGAAATAGCAGATTGGGTCGGAGCAGAATATTATATCAGTGGGATGCTTTAATTGGCAAGGGGTAGGGGGAGAGCGAAGAAGGAAAGGTCTCAGAGGAAGAAGACAATATTTTTATCCCTACTTGCATGCCGAGTAGAGATCGGGCTTTGTTCCCCAACATTTGTTTTCACTTCCCCAATTTGAATATTTCTATCTTTAGAAAAACCAACAATGAATCGCTAGTGCCCTTAAGGCATAGCCGTCCTATATAGTCTTGGACTGAGAAAGGACGTAAATTAAATCAATCAATCAATCAATCAACTGATTCGGTTTGACAGATTCCAAAGTTGAAAAAAGATCAGAGGTATGCGAGGCAAAAGAGTCAAAAAGAGAAGATCTCTGACCATTAATTGTGAAATCTGGCTGGCTTAAAGTTTAGATTAAGGAAGTCAGTTAGGTAGTCAAATATTTGATTGTGTTATACATCATCATACACACGATACTAACTCTATCGCTCACGATCTCATACTAGATTGAAAAACATCTTGAAGAAGTCGATTCTAAAAGGTGATTGGGGATTGGGTTTGTGTAAGGAATATATGTTCAGATTTGCAAACGTGCAACGACATCTAAAGTATGTAGCCCTTTCTCTTAGACTGTTCAGCGTGGCACCGCATCTCGAGTTTAACAACACTTGGTCTATATACAATTCGATCAGCCACATGTAATTACTGTTGCGCCCTTCTGACCAGGAGATCATGCAATTCTAACGTCATCCAAGGAGCAGTCTCTACCTCCAAAGTTTACTCTATCTTTCGACCTCCTTTGTGCACCCCTTTATATCCAATCTATTCACCTACTTAATAAGTACTAGGCATGATACTCAACCGACCTCCATCAATTACAATAACGGTGCTGGTACAATAAGCTCCAGCTCTTGATGCCAAAAAGAGGATACAGCCCGCCATATCTTCTTCCGTGCCCACTCTTTGCAATGGGATTTTATCATTGGAGAAAACTCCGTCACCGATGAGCGCGGCGGCCATTTCAGATGGGAATACTAGGTTTGTTTAGCATATTTCTTCAAATCAGTCCTAGAACTGTGCTTGATAACTTACGACCAGGGGCAATAGTATTGCACCTAATTTCATACGGTGCTAGTTGTGTACCCAATTGCTTCATCAAATGCGTTGTAGCAGCTTTACTCTGTCCGTAGGTGAATCCTCCTGGTACATTTCTATTGAAACCACCAATCGAACTTGTGGCAATAACCTGACTCTTCTGCTCTACATTTCCCTTCTTGTTTCCCTTATCCAACAAATCCAAGAAAGCCATGATACAAGAGAAGACGGCTACGGTGTTCAGCTCAAAAGTCTTGGTCATGTCCGACATACTCGCACTTCCATACGAGGAAACAAATTCGGAGATGGAGGAGGACGACGTGATGGGTTTGGTGGCTTGGGGACCGGCGATGCCCGAATTGGCAATCAGAACGTTGATGTACCCTACTTCAGACTCGATTTGCGAGACAAGTGAGGATACAACGTCTTTATCAGTCACGTCGCCGACGAGCGGGATGATATTACCGGTCTCAACGGAAGAGGCGGCAGCTTCAAGAACTTCTTTGCGACGCCCAATGATGTACACTTTTTCAGCACCATTGAGAGCGAGGGCGCGGGCCATCATTAGACCAATACCTGCAATTTGATGTTAGGATTGATATCACACGTGAGCAAGAAAGGGGGTGGGAGTAAGCTTACCACTGCCGCCACCGGTAATGACAGCTACTAGCCCTTTAACATTGAAGAGGTTTGCTGCTTGAAGAGATGAGGTTGCCATATTGTCAGTTGGTATGGTATGAGATGAGCAATTGGAAATTAGCTGATTAGATGAAGGATAATAAAGTGTAGTAAATGAAGAAACTATTATACAAACCAGGTCTATCCCAATTTTTATACCAACCCTTCTGTGACACCGGTCAACTAAAGGGCGCTCACTAATCATTACCATCCACTCCACTTCCCGCACGGCAATCCCCTCCACTTCCCGAGGTTTTTCCCCTCCTTCTATGTGATTGATTCTGCCACAATATTCACCGCCTTTGAATGCAAAAGTGAAAGCGGTGAAGATGACCCCTGTCACAATTTCTGAGCTTCTTCGTCCTTGACTATTTTTCTGCGTTTGAATTTATCAATTCCATTCAATTCATCTCCCAACTTTCCCAATATCCGCAACCCAAAAATTCCTAATCGTAATAAGGCATACAAAAAAAGAAACAATGCCGAAACGAAAGCGCTCCGATGATCAAGATGATTCCACTCCCTCCACCAATCGCGTGCGCAATTCCCGCCAAAACGATTTCGACATCCATCTCATCTCTGCCCGTAAACAACTGCGCAGCGCGCTCAAAACGGCCAAGGGTTTCGAGAGACAGCGGCTCGGGAAAAGATTAACCAATGCTACGAAAATTGTGGATGCTGCGCAAATGGCGAGATTGCGCAAGGAAATTGAAGCGTTGAAATTGGTGGATTTGGATAAAGTGGTGGAACAGCGGTTGGCAAAGGGATTGGGCAAGATAAAGGTTATGGCTGAGAGTGGATTTTTGCCGGTGGGATGGGGGCAGAGTGGGGAGGGGGTCAAGGGGTGGGAGGGCGAGAAGGGAGAAGAGGATGTGAGGGTATGGAATAATGTGGTGAGTGGGATGTGGAATTTTAAGATTGTGAAGGGGGTTTGGGAGGGGGTGATTAGGGGGAGTTATATGAGTATGGGGATTCCGGCGCCGGTTTTGGAGAAGGGGAAGAAGGGGAAGGAGAAGGTGAATGAGAAGGCGAAGGGGGATGATGATAAAACGAGCTCGAGGAAGGGGAAAGCGCAGAGTGTGGATGCTGGAGAAAGTGATGTTTATATGGAAGATACAATTCCAAATTTTTCGAAGAAAGAGAATAAAGAGGACTCTTGGGAAGGCTTTGACTCACCTGGTGATGATGAAGATGAAGACGATTCCGAGGACGATGAGAACGAAGAGGGAAATGCTTCAATGGATGAAGAAACACTTTCACGTTACGATGCTCTATTAGGCGCTTCCTCCGACGAAGAATCATTCGACGAAGAAGAATACCTCAAGAAAACCCCGTCAACTTCAAAGTCTAATCCACGACTCTCACTTTCGCTCTCACCCACACCATCCCGATCTCCCTCCCCCGTACCTTCCATCTCCCAATCCTCCGACGACGAAGCAGCAAACAACAAATTCCGCACCTCCCACCTCTCCCCCTCCCCCCAACCCGAACCCAAAGCCAAAAGACCCAAAAAACCCAGCCCCAACACCGCCCCCACAAAAAGCAGCACCTTCCTCCCCACCCTAATGGGAGGCTACTGGTCCGGCTCCGACTCCTCCGCCTCCTCCCTCTCCGACACAGACATGAAACCCGTCATCCGCAAAAACCGCATGGGACAAAAAGCACGGCAAGCGCTCGCCGAAAAGAAATTCGGCAAAGGCGCTGCACATATCGCGGCAGGCAAAATGTCCATGGAAGAAGAGAGGGAAGCGAAGCGCGCCGAGAAAACCGGGAAGAAAGTTAGGGATTTCGGGAGTAGAGCAGGGGGGAGGAGAGAATATGGTAATGCGAATGACGTGGAGGTGAAGCCGAGAGAAAAGGTTAAGACGAGAGATGATGTGGGGATTCTACATCCTAGTTGGGAGGCGGCGAAGAAGGCAAAGGATGAGAAGGCGAAGGCGACGTTTAGTGGGAAGAAGGTGGTTTTTGATTAGATTAGATTAGATGAGATGAGATTAGGTTTTGCTGTGGAGGTTTTGAGGATGGATGTTGAGTGTGAGATTGAGAGTGAGGGGAGAATGCGTGCGATGCGATGCGAAGACTACCTATTTTTTTGCGAAGTAAATAAATACCCGTAGAGACGATATCAAAAATACTATAAATAGCTTGGTGATTGGTGCCTTTTGCATGGAAATATAAGCAACTAACTAGCTACCATCATGAGTCTACATTTTACCTTTATCACGCACAGATTAATGTGGGATACTGAGTACTCAGACTGCCAATTTTATATTCCATTATCATCATTCCATCTCATCTCATCTCATCCCACCTCATCTATAATGCTATACTTACTACTGATGATACTAATAATGACACCCTATCCCCATCCCGTCACTAATACACTACACTATACCCTCCATGAAAATTAGCGAATCTATCTAATAGTCTATCAGACCAGCTTCCGCTTTCGCTTCACTTCATTAAGAATATTCGCTCGATTCGCTGTGAAAAAAAAATAAGCTATTCCAAAACATCAGTCTCAAGGGTTTGATATCATTTGACTCTGACATGAACCTGACATGAACCTGCATATCACATCATATCATATCTCAAGATTCCCATCCCGTCCAATCGTTTCCTTAATCGCTCATTCATCGCTAGTGTCTTCCTACGTATCGACATATCGTCCGAGCTCGTTGTGTGTCGTAAGTAATTCTTCAATATCGCTATGTTGTTCGCTATGTTGTCTGAATAATTATTCGCTTCCTCATTCTTCGTCTCTGCTTCGGTCTCGATTTCGCTATCGCTTTAGTCGAGCTGCACACCATTAAGTGCTTCCTCCAAGCTATCCAGTTGAATATTCTCCTTGCCCTGAATCTCAACCTGCGCATTTTGTTCCGGTATGCCCGGTTCCACTTTCTGTAATTTTTCATCCAATTGATTCCCCGACTCCTTTACTTTTGCCAAATCCTCAGGCTCTAGCTCCCCTTCACTCACACTCCTCGTCCCCTCACTTTCCGTCAGAGGCGGTGTAACTTCCCCACCAACCCCGCTCTGTACCCCGCCATCCCACTCTCGTTTGACGTGGCTTAGATTGCGCTTCATCAAACACATTTCTATAGCGATACCCGGTCCAAAAGCACATCCCACAACCATTTCTTTGGGACCTCTTCCTCCAGGTGTAAGGGCGTCCATATCTTTAGATCGTAATCGATCCATCACGCTGAAAATCGTCGCGCTGGATGAGTTTCCATGTTTCATATATGTATCGTATGAAGCTCGCATGTGTTCGGGTGAAATGTTCATGGCTTTTTCAACGCCGGTTAGGATGGTTGCGCCGCCGGGATGGAGCGCCCAGTCGAAGTCGGCGGGGGAGCGGTACGAGGCGGGGAGAGAGGGGAGATTGGACATGAGGGAGTCGTAGCTGGGAGAGACGGCTTCGGCGGCAAGTTTGGGGACGCGGGGAGAAAGGATCACTTTCCAACCTTTTTGAGGGTAATCAAATTAGCTTTCTGTATCAATCAAAGGCATCATAAAAAAATCAGACGAATGAGGGAAAGAGAATATAGCAGAAATAAACATACCCAGAGGATCAACATCAAATCCCAAATCATGTTCCGTATCTGGAATCATCTTGTGTTCCCAACCCAACAAATCATACACGCTCTCCTCTTCTTCCTCACCAATCCCATTACTGAGTACACACGCACTCGCACAATCGCTAAACAGCGTAACACCAATCCTCGTCTCCTGTAACTCATGCACACTATCCAATTCGCTCCTCACCAACAACGAACTAATCTCCAGCGCCATAATCAAAACCTTTGCTTTTTTCCCCCGGAAACTATGTCCCAACGCCAAATTCGCCGCCGTGCGCAAACTCGCCAGTCCGCCACTACATCCAATACCATGAAGCAGAACCTTCTCCACAGGTTGCGTGATCCCTAGTGCTTTGCACACGAAATGATCGTACCCCGGATTGGCACTATTGGTACATGTGGTGCTGACGACGTGGGTGATGTCGGAAGGTTGGAGATGCGCTTCGTAAAGGGCTTTGCGACAGGCGGTTACGGCGAGGGCGACGCCGTCTTGTAGGAATATGGTGCAGAGTTCGGTGATGGTGGGGGCGCGCTCCATGTTGGCCATGGGGTGATCCACGGTGCCGATTGCGGAGCGCGTTTCAATGCCGGTGAATTTGTTGATTGTGCAGACTTTTTTCATTCTAGAGGAGAGTGTGTTAGTATCGAGTAAGTGGGCTCACTCATGCGCATTTTGGTGAGAAGGAACTCGAGGACTGACGCTGGAGAATCGGGATAGTGACGCTTGGTTAGAATGTCTAATGCTGAAGGTTCAAGTAAAAATGGAGGATATTCAACTCCCAATCCAACAATTGAAAGATTGAGGTTCCCAAATTCATTTTTATTGGTAGGCTGTTGGGCGGTTTGCCCTTCTGTAAGGTTTGACATGGCTGAAATTGTATATTTATGGAGTTGGCGGAAGTAATGCAAGAGATTCAAGCACCAAAGTCAAGGAAGTGAAGGTTGTTATTGAGAAAATGAATGATATTGAACAAAATATATAAGATTATGATATTCAACGACAGTAAAGTATGTTGTATTGATGATGTAAAAAGTAAAAGCCGAGGCTGGTGTGTAAGATGTAAGATATAAGATGTAACTCCGTACCGTATCAGAATATCAGAACAGCTCTCGATGCGGGTAAGTTTAGACTAAGATTAGGACTAGCTCCCTTGATACTAAGAGGGGTACGATCTTATATTTTTAATTCCATATGTAGAGATAGGAATTTAGATGTTTATACGATAGAATTCTCACATGCCAATAGAAATGAATGCATTTTCAATCACGATCACGATCACAATCACAATCACAATCACAATCACAATCTCATACAGTACATTTAACTTATAAACAGCCCACCAATCCAACCCATCATCACCCAGTCAAACCAAGAAGATTTCACTGAAATATCAAATTATCATCTTATCCATGTAACAGCAATGCAAGGCTATGTCACCAACCCGTTTCGACAAGGGGAGCTTCACTCCAATCAGAGAAAAATGGAGAGCTGCTTTTAAATTTCGCTGAAGATATTCTGCTGACTCAGAGCGCATAAGTCCATTCCAAATCGCTTGATAAGATAAGATTAGATAGCTGACTGGTCAATGTGTCGCCCCGGATAAATAAAAGCGGCGTTACACTACAATACCTCAATATTACATACAAATAACGTGGTT